TCGACTTGTCTAAGTTCTACTCGGTGAGCATCCTGCACGATACATCTATACTTGGCTCATTCCTCATCTCAGTCCGCGTTGATGCCCGATAGTCTGGTTGACGAGGAGGAAATGGATCCTGACAATCCGACCATCCTCCCGGAATCCATCTCAATATATAGAGCCGAGGAACTTCTAGATCAGATGCGCGTTCACGAAATTCCCAAGCGCTCTCAGTTCAGCATCCCCTTCCAAATAGCCCAAGGCTTTGTTATCGGCGTCAAGGGGTACGCCGTTCTGCTTGCGACTCTCAGTTCCTGATCCACTGCCAGCTACGGCTTGGTTACCGAGCAGAAGAAGGGGCAGTACAAGTACTTTGTGGACCTGGGTGACCGCATGGAGGTGGCCATTTCCCGCACGCAATATGTGGACCAGGTTAGTGCATTCTCTTTGCCTCTGGAATTGAACCTCATCGAACTGTATAGGCACTGGAGAACGAGATTGACAAAGTGAAGATCGTTTATGGCGGCGACGTCGGTGGCGACGAGGCGACGAAGACGGTGAAAGCAGGTCAACGGGTGTGTCTTCTTGCTTGCAGTAACAAGACTCGTTGGCTCAATGAGGACAGCCATTCTACAGTGCAGAAGACATCCAGTCATTCCGAACGCTGGGTTTGGAGCCTGGCATGAAGCTGCTCGGATTCAAGGATCGCAGCGAGCTTAGGTTCGAGGACAACATCAAGCATTCCCTCTTCATTCAACCAGACGAGATGGTGCGCATCTCCCGTGCCGTGTGCTCGTCGCTGATGTATGATGTATGCAGGCTTATTCTGGTAGCAAAAGGACGTTCAATGCCATGCTCAAGTCTATGATCAAGAAGAACAAGATTGGGCTGGTGCTGTCTCTGACCAGGCGGAATTCATCCCCTACCTTCTGCGCCTTGCTACCCCAGGCAGAAAGCAAGGAGGACGAAGAATGGAAGGATCCTGCTGGCTTTCATTTGATCCCACTACCTTTCGCAGACGATATTCGCGAGGCACCGGTCGATACCGCAGAGTGGCATGGTGGGAATATCTGTTCTTCGAGATGGAACGGTGCCTTACAACCGAAACAGCTTCTGAAGATGCACAAAACGCAGCTCGGGCGTGGATCGACAAATTGACAGTGAAAAATGGTGGATACCCTCCTGACTCTTATCCGAATCCCGGTCTGTGTCCTGTCATTCAGCGTCGGCCAACGGGGGATTGATTCTGCCCAGCCTTGGCGTTCCATAACGCCCAGCTGCAAGCCGTGGCATTGCATGAAGACTTTGATCCGGACACGTTCGAGAATCTGACGAATCCCAATCATGACATGATACATAAGGTTCGGCATGTGCCCACATCCCTGGCCGCATTATTGCTGAGCGACGACAGCGTGCTGGGAAGCTTATCGAGGCCTGGAAGAGTGTCGTTGCCAATGACCCAACAGTCCAGGCGTCTTCACTGATCCCAGCCAAGGCTGCCGCGAAGGCGCCGAAAGCAGACAAGGCGACGAAACGCAAGGCTGATGAGATGGCGCGTTGATGATTGATGCGTTCGTGCGTTGACACTGACCATAGACAGGATGATGCTGGCGACGCCGAGATCCGAGCACGACATGCCGAGGGAACGCTGATGAAGGTAGGTGCTTATGTGGCAAAAGCAAGAGTCGCTGACGGTTTCTTTTGTAGCTCAGGGTAGATGACCTGAAGGTTTGTGTCGACTGTCATCCGCCACTTGTCACTGACTCGGGTCCAGAATTTCCTCAAGAGCAAGGCGCTGGCTTCTTCCGGGAAGAAGGCGGATTTGATAGAGCGCGTGGAAGGTTATCTTTCGTCGAATTAAAGAGCCGAGTCAGGGGTGGGGCTGCTCACGGTAGGCGCTGCGGTAAATCATGACGTGCATTTGCATAGCGAAGTCGAGTCTGTAAGCACCTACTTATGACCCACGATGCACCTCTCAGCACCACCACATGTCGGTCTCTTCGCTTCTCAAATATTGGTATCAGTATTCGGAAGTGACCCGCATTGCGCTTACCGCGGGACACGCGAAAAGTTTTTACAAAGGCTTGTTGCGCAGATCAACGCGCAGACTGCGAAGGCTGCAGCAGCTTTTGAGTTCCGAGCCCTCATCCGTCGGATGTGTTCCTTTGCCATGGGGAAGCGGGCATCCGCCGGGGCCTATGATCGATCGCGTAAAACAGCCAGACGCGGACCCTGGTCTTCCAGTTGGTGGATGTCCACGGGAGCTGTTCCTTGCAGTCTATACGTCAGTTTTCACTCACCTCGAGGCGGCATAGAACGGTGGTGCAGACTTCATCTTGCGAAAAACGGGTTTGAGCGGTGAGATAAATGAGCACAGCCACTGGACCAGTCGCGCGACGAACGGGCGCTGATCAAATCGTGCTGACCGTCTTCGATTCTCTCGCTTCAACTTCAATGCCTCGGGCCGTTAAGTATAAGAACCTGGTCTGCAGGGACCTTCTCACCCAGGTACAACATGGCGTCGCGCAGCAGCTCCCTCACGCACGTTCCGGCACACGATGGGCTGTCGGTGACGGACGTGGACAAGTCCGCCGCCGCTGAGGTCCCGACAGCCAACGGGCACGGCAACTCCGCGATCCCTGAAGACAAGAAGGAGGAGATCATCGAGAACCTCGAGGACGACTGGCAGGATGACGAGCGGAATCCGCGGAATTGGACATCCACCAAGAAATGGGTGACGACCGCCGTGGTGCGCACGATCATAGTTTCCCTCACCGACGCGTCTCACGCGCGGGCAGGTCTCGTTCTACACATTTGTCAGCCCTCTCTCGTCCAGCATCATGGCCCCCGGGCTACCCCAGATTGGGGTAAAGTATCACATCACGAACGAGACGATCCTGTCCATGACACTCTCAATCTTCCTGATCTCCTTCGCCATCGGGGTGCGTCGGTTCCGGCCACCGTGGCATCCGTCCATCTGACCATATCCAAGCCGCTATTATTTGCTCCCCTCTCGGTGCGCGTTGTCCGTTTGTTTTTTAGATGCCGATCTGACGCAGCGGGCTCTGCAGGAGATGTACGGACGGTATGTCTAGTCTGTTCCTTGCCGCCAGATGAATACTTAATGCGTTGCAGACGAGGGGTGAATACCAACCAATACGCTTTCGCGCTTGGGGCTGAATTGCTCCCAGGTGCTAAATATCATGAACGTGCTCTCCATCGCGTTCAGTCTCGGGTGTGCGTTTGCTCCGAACCTGGCGGCTCTGCTCGTGTTTCGATTTTTACGCAAGTAACTTTCGGTTGTGCATTCTTTGCTCTCCACTGATCTCTTGTTTCAGTTGGCTTCACGGGAAGCGCACCAGTAGCATGTGGAGGTGGTGTCATCAGCGATCTATTCTCTGAACGGGACAGGGCAGCAGCTATGGCAATATACAGTTTGGGACCACTCATTGGACCCGGTATGTGCTCATCTGCTGTTCACACTCTAGTCTAACATGGCTTCTAGTGGTGGGGCCGATTGCTGGGGGTTCGCATGATTTCTCCTCACCGAGCATAGCCGGACCGACCATCTTGCATAGGATTCATTACGGAGACCATCGGAGTCAAATACGTGTTCGTTCTTCTGGCGGGGCTCCAAGCTTTGGCTGCCATCACGGGCATTCCTATCCTGCAGGAAACGTACTCGCCGTACATCCGTCTGAAGTTGGCGAAGCAGTCGCCCGATCCTGAGAAGGCCGCAGCGGCACACCCAGCTTTGACTCAGGAACATACGAGCTTGGCGCACTATCTGTGGATCAACGTCTCGCGGCCGGCGATCATGCTGTTCTGCAGCATGATCTGCTTCCTGCTCAGTCTTTACATGGCTTTGTGAGTCTCCTTGCTCTATCTAGTGCTTCTTTCTGAGCAGTTCCGCAGCATGTATGGCATCTGTATGTTAATCGCCCCAATCCGCGGCGCTTCGCTGACCGTTCTCTAGACTACCTCATGTTTACCGTCTTCAGCAGTGAGTTCTAGCCGGCTTCGTTTGCCACCGTTGTCCCATCTGGTCGCTGCAGATCTTTTCACTGACACCTACGGCTTCAACACTGGCACGAACGGACTGACTTACATCGGCCTCGGCGTCGGTTTCCTCTCCGCAACTTTGTTCAGCGCCAAGTATGGAAACGAGATCTACATCAAGGTGTGGAAAGAATCAAGACAGTGGCACCGGCACTGACTTGTCGCAAGCTTTCCGAGAAGAACGGTGGAGTTGGGGAGCCTGAAATGCGTATTCCAGGGCTAGTTTTTGGCTCGATCGTCGTTCCCATTGGTTTGTTGTAAGTTGGCCTTCTGCTCTGTCGTACTTTCGTAACGGAAGAGTGCAGCTGGTATGGTTGGTCAGCGCAAGCGAAGATCCATTGGATCATGCCCATCATCGGCTCCGGTGCGTCATGTTGTTGCTTCTCGAGGGCGACCTGATCTCAACGTGTCGCAGGAATCTTCGGATTTGGTGTGTGATCTTGATTTGATTGTCTGGAAGTCGCGTTGACGGAGCGTGAATCAGGGATGATGTCAACATAGTGGGCACACACCTCGTTATGGCATGGTGTCGGTACTGATTTGTCTTCCAGTCTTCCCATCCAGCTGTACCTCGTCGACACTTTCTCGTATGCAGCCAGTGCTCTTTCTGCGGCCTCGGTGCGTGGGAGTTGTCCTGGCCGCATCTACCTCTCCCTCATCCTGATCCGCAGGTCTTCCGGTCACTCTTCGGATTCATCTTTCCCCTGTTTGGCCAGCAGATGTACAATGCGCTAGGCCAAGGGGGTGGAAATTCGCTTCTTGCTGGGTTGGCTATCGTGCTAGGCATCCCTTTCCCTATATACCTCTGGTTTAATGGGAAGCGAATGCGAGAAAGTAGCAAGCTGGCTCGATGAACCTGACGTTCTTTACATGATCGTAGTTTTCAATAATTAATTGGGAAATCTCAGATTAGATTAGATCCAGTCCCATGTGGCTGTGCACTTAATATCTGTTGTTAACAGCCTCCATGAAGCCCCCCACTTTGCGCAAGATAGATCTTGCAGAAATCCCCCGCCTCGCCACTCCAGAATCGAAGATACGCACTGATGAAGACATGGAGACCTGGCGCCAGTCTTGTGCATATCGCGACTACGCCATCTTTCTGCGACGCTTGAACGAATCGGTCGTGGGCGTGGACATTCCAGATTCCCCTGCTGCAACAAGTGAGGTCCGTTCCTGGAACACTGTCGGGATGCGTCACGACTATATTCACTGCAGCCGGTGACCAGGATCGTCTCGCTGCTGGATGCACTCGATAGGTGGATTGACGAGATCCCGCCTTCTGCATCGCCCCAGAGATTCGGAAATCTTGCGTTTCGGACATGGGGTAAGCGTTTGGAAGAGGTGTGTCCTCTGGATTCAATCTGTTCCAACTCACTTTCTGTAGGAGAGCGACATGCTGTTGCGCGACCTTCTCCGTACCGAATTCGCCGCGGTGGTGCCCCAGCTCAAACCGTATCTCCTCACTTCATTCGGTTCCTTTGGCCGCATGGACTACGGGACTGGGCACGAGGCCTCGTTCGCACTCTTCCTACTTTGCCTCAACCTCATCCGCTTCCTCGATCCCATTCCCGAGGAAGAACGAAGCGTCGTCCTCGTCGTGTTTCCTCGCTATCTTCGCCTTACGTGGAGGCTGCAGGACGTTTATAGGCTAGAGCCTGCGGGGAGCCACGGTGTCTGGGGTTTGGACGACTCGTCTTTTTTGAGCTACATATTTGGGAGCGGTCAGTTGCGCGGTGAGTGTCGTTGCCAGTCTGACTCTGATTCTGGCTGACCCTTCCGGAAGATCAGACAGCAGTTCCCGTATCTGCCGTGTTGCATCCTCCACTGCGTGAGAGCAACCTGTATTTCATGTCGATCATGCGGATTCATCAAGTCAAACGCGGCCCCTTCCACGAGCATTCGTCTCAGCTCCACTCCATTGCCACTGGCGTGCCCAATTGGGCCAAAGTAAACTCTGGGCTGTTCAAGATGTACGAGGTTGGCCTGTCAACTGGAAGCAATCTCTGCCTGAGTGTCTGACCGTGGGTTCCAGGCGGAGGTTCTGGGCAAACGCGTTGTGGTGCAACACATCCCGCTTGGAGGGCTGTTGGAGTGGGACAAGGCCCCGGCGTTGATGAGCTCACCCGGGACTGCAACGTCGGCTGTCGCCGCATGGCACTCCAATTCAAATCTGCCCCCAGTCCGCGCGCGCAGGACGGATATTAGTAGGATGGGCCCGTCGTCGAGTTCATAATGAATCGGACTATCCATTTTGCATGTATAATCGTTTTCGTTAACATAGTCTGCCAACTACTTGCGACTGCATAGCTCGGGATGGTGCAACCAGTCATCTGATCAGTGATCTGTCTGATCGGGGATCCCTATCCGTTCTCTTAGCTTCTCTACAGTTGTCCATCATTTACAACCTGAACCGACGTCTCACTTTCCCTGAGCCGCGCCACACCAGCTTTTCCGTCTGGAGACTGACGGTGGATGCTGGTACGCTTGATATTCAGATCGACGTCCACATCGCCATTTCCAAGTAACCTAGCACAAGCGTGTTCGTCAACAGTGATGCTCAGCATATCCCGATCCACCGCCTCGTCGATGGTTGTAGGACTCTCACGACAGCGCGTAGCAACAATCATCTGTGCTGTTCAAGAGTCTGAGATTCTGGGCAAGTGAGGCGGCTGGTACCTTCCATTCCTTTGTCTTTCTTTTCTTCCAGCGCCCTTTTGTCCTGCTCTTATTCTCGCGCGGGCTGCTTGACTTTCTTCTTCACTGTCTCGTAGACCTCACTGGATATTTCTTTTCCTTCCTTATCTCTGTAGACGTATCTCCTCATGTCGCAAATGGACTTTGGACCGTTTCGAAATTACCCATTCTTTCTGGCAACTCAGCTACTCGCTACGGTGCGTTTCCTCGATACGCTGCGCATGGCAACGCTCTCATCCGCGCTCAAGCTCGGATGGTTTCTCGCGTTTATCTTCCAAGCCGTAGCGACTGGACAATGTGCGCCCTCTCATACACTTCTTCGCGCGCGCTCCTCATAATCTGTAGTCGGGAACAGATCGGTTGGATCTCTGTGGTTCGCCATATTCCTCCAAGCCGCTCTCAACATCGGCGTCCTGCTCGCTATCACGACGGACTCGCTCCACCCCTCTCGCATCCAACTGACCGCGTTCAGCGTCATGGCTACCATCTTCGCCGTTCAGGGCGTGCAAGCCGGGTTCTTCCCGCCCTTCACTCCACGACAGAATCCGGAGGGGGCGCTTGTGGGCATGGGGTTCGGGTACCTTATCCTCGCGGTGGTCGATCTGCTGTGGGCCTTGTACTTCTCGTCCGACGAAGACTCGGTGGGGATGAGATTGTTCACCTTGGTGGGCGCTGCGCCCATCGCTCCTCCCCGTGGTCGGACGGCCGTTACCAATCGGATGCACACGCCCTCGCTTTCTCGACACGGCTCTCGGGCAAGCAGCAAAGCCAAGTATCGCCTCGGGGCAGGTGTTTCCTCTGACGATGTCATCACGACCGACCTCAACGGGGCTATCGACGTCAGGCGCGTGACCCCGCCACCGAGCAACCACCGGCTCTCGCGCAAAAGCACGAGCAAGTCGGTCGCGTCGAGCATGAACAGGAAGAGCGCCTCCGTGTCGTTCAAGGAAAAAGAGGCGTATGGGTCGCCCTCACCGACGCCCGCTGGCATCCCCCTTCCCGCTTCGCCGATCATCCCCCCTGTTCCAACGCTGCCGTATGGAAATGGAGCTGCCGATATCGAGGCAGGGATGGTCACCCGCGCGTCTAGTCCAACGCCGCTGGCTCTGCCAACCCCGGTGTTGTCTGAACCTTCACCGGCACCGTCTGAAACATTCCCGAAAGCCAGAGCTTTGCATTCTTGTGCGTACGCGTCTCGTCTCAGACCGGACCCAGCAGTGGCTGATCGCTTTCACAGACACTGGGTCGCTGGACGATCCGAACGAGCTGTCTTTCAAGAAAGGCGAGATCCTGGAGATCGAAGACCAGGAAGGGAAATGGTGGCAAGCGAGAAAGGCGGATGGATCGTATGGAAGTGGGTCTTTGGTGTCCTCTCTCTCTCAAGCCCGATTGCTGACGCGCTCCTTCTCCAGTCGTGCCCTCAAACTACCTCGTCATGATATAATACCCGTTCCCTGTGTACACTATGTAATGCGGCTGCTCATTTCCGAGCTCGTTCATTGGACATTCATGCGACTGTGCATCTCAGCCGTCTGGGCTTGTAAACAACTGATGGACACAGATTTCAATGTAATTCGCATTTCAGACCCTAGGACATGTTGCTCGTTCTGAGATACTGCTCGCTGCTCCAAAGGCACCTTGCCTGATGACTTTCATCCAGTTCGTCGCAAACGTACTGGCTTTTATGATCCGCTCATGCTGTTCGAGACTTGGCTGGATTTGTTGACACCGCTCGAAACGCTGATCGATCAGAGTATCTCAGGCTTGATGAGTGGATGAACGGATGAACGGATGAACGACTCTAGAATGATTAATATTGGTCGAGCAGCCGACCAATATTAATCATTCTAAACTTTGGCAACGACCCGCAATTTCTGCATGTGATATGCACATGACATTTTCAAATTGAGTTTTAGCCTTCAAGTTTCAAGTTCCCTGGTCGATCCAGCTGCGTGATTTAGAGGTCCAGACGACGATGAACTGGGATCCAGTTGAGAAGAGGATGCAGTCGCGGACTTCCTCGGATCAAAATATTCCAAGTGGTCGCGGCTCTTGACTGTCGCGTGACGTCACACCGGATGATGTTCTTCCACTTCTTCCACAAATGAGGCCGAAACGTCGCAGGTGGTGAAATCAACGTGAAATGACGCTCCGCCTTCGAATACTGCACCGGCTAGGCTTTATACGACCCGGATCTCGGCGGCCGCTTATTCCCAAGTTTGGAAATTCCTGTTCTTATTGGCTGACGGTTAAGGGAAAAGGTGGACCCGTGCGTCATTCTCCTCACGCATCTTCGGTCTCATCGCGCAGTTTCTAATGGGATGAATCATCGGCTGAATCAGGGCTGAATCATCGTTCTGTGGTGTCCTTATATACCGCACCTCATCGTCTCGATGAATCCACTCAAACGAGATGTCTATCCCTACCACCGCACGCCAGTACATTCTGCCCACGGTATGTCTATTTGACACCTGGCGCAATCGTCCTTATTCTATCACAGCTTGGGTCCTACAACAACCTCGTACTCACCGACGTGACGGTGCCCAAGCCAAAGCCCAACGAAGTGCTACTCAAGGCGCATGCAGTGTCACTGCAGGTATGCGATCGCCTCCCTCTTCCCATCTCAGATCTAATGGATTCTCCTCAAGTACCGCGACCTGCTCGTCGCGACTGACAGATACCCTGGTGGCGAGTGCGTCACATGTCTTTCCACACCCACTCCGAGCCTCACTCCAATGATGCAGTATGCCCGCGAACCTAATCCCTTGCTCCGATGTCGCGGGTGAGATCGTGGCGATCGGGGAAGACGTGAAGGGCTGGAAAGTCGGCGACCGCGTGTGCCCGAACTTCATGCTGGAGAAGCTGCATGGGGACCACACGACCCCGGCGATTGCTGCGACCGCACTGGGTGGAGCGGTGGATGGAACGTTGACGGAGTACCGGAATTACCCCGCTTCGGTGTGTGCGGCCCTTGTCTCCGATGCAGATCATTCAGCGTTGTCCCACAGTCTCTGGTCAAAATCGCCGATCACTTGACATACGAGGAAGCATCGACTTTGCCGTAAGTATCGACGCTGATGGTTGATAATGGGTTCTCATTTTCCGGTAGATGTGCTGCTCTCACGGCTTACAATGCTCTGATCGCTGGCTACGAGCCTCTCAAAGCGGGCGACACTGTTCTCATCCTCGGTACAGGTGGTGTTTCGATGTATGCGTTCCGATGCCATGCATGATCATTCCGGTATAACATCATTCACAGCTTTGGTCTCCAATTCGCTCTGGCCTCGGGCGCGACAGTCATCGTGACTTCTTCCTCTGATGAGAAGCTCAAGGTTGCAACCAAGTTGGGAGCCCACCATGTCATCAACTACAAGACGAACACCAAGTGGGACGAGGAGGTGCTCAGGCTCACCAATGGGGTGGGTGTTGACCATGTCATCGAGGTGCGTCACAGTGATCTGTGTCTGCTGCTGCAGCTTGTGAGCTGACATACCGTAGGTCGGAGGCAACGGAACCCTCATGCAATCAGTCAACTCGATCCGCATGGGTGGCTCTATCAGCATCGTCGGTTTCGTCGGCGGCAACACGCCTCCCCCGGATCTGATCGCGCTGTTCATCTGGAAGTCCCTCAAGATCAGGGGACTGTACGTCGGCTCGGTCCAGCAGTGAGTTTATCTGAGTGGCTTTCATCGGATTTAGCGTTCAAACCCGACAGATTTGCGGACATGAACAGGCTCATGGCCGTGAATCAGGCCGTCACGCGCCCCGTGGTCGACAAGGTGTTCCCGTTCGAGGATGCCAAGGCTGCCTATGCCTACCTGGAGTCACAGGCGCATGTCGGCAAAGTCGTCATCAAGGTCAATTGAACGGGCAGCATCTACTACGTAGTAACAATTCAATGTATACATCATATCACAAAAAAGAACAGTTTTCTGGATTGAAAAGATTCAAGACTGAGTTGTGGAAACCAGAGGTGACTTGCGGAACACCCAGTGCGTGGGCTGCCCTGGTGGGAGCTTGTGCACGCGCGGGCGAAGGTGAACACCATCTATCCGTCATCTTATGTGGCAATCTATCTCGCCGATCGACACCGCCTGGGCGCATCTTACTCGAGAGAAACGACCACGGACCCCATCTGTGTAGTGGCCTGCCAGCCTCCATCTGCGGCGCATTCGATACGATCAAGCTCCTACTTGTTTTGGGTCGTGCGAGGGCGGTCGATTGGAGAGCGCCGTTCGCCTATTATAAGGCGGAGCGGGCAATGTTGGCAGGACGTGGAGCTCGGGCAACCACGGGCGCAGCAGGTGGCGTTTCTCGGCCACTCGTCGCTTGGGGGATGAAGCGTCTACAGATGGTCTCCAAACAGCTTGATATCCTGCCACATCGTGCCTCCGCCCAAGGATGGTCATCGGTATCTGCATCGCAAACTGCACTCGCACCGCAATTTCTGGATTCGGGGGCCCCTTTCAGACTGATGGTGCTCACGCGCGCTTTGCCTGATGCTGATTTCGACATGCACTGGCTGAAGCGCCACAGATTGCTTCCAGGTATGGAGATTTTTCAATCGCCTGAAGATTCGTCCTATCTGAGCGGCACTAAAGAGCTTCAGTAGATGATCATCGGTGCTGGTGAGAGGACAGGCAATGGTCGTGGGTGTTGCGGCGCGATCAGTCACATTGCATGATGATTGTCACAGTTCAGCACAGCTCCTTCTTGGGTCAAACCACATCGAGTCCGAGTCGGGGGGTGATGTGGCTGGCACCAGCGATCAAGCGTTGAACAGGACTCAAATTAACCTCTCATGCCCTCGAGTCCAAAGGCTTTCCGGATCTGTCCGGTACCCTTGCGCGCAACACGTGTCTGTCACCCAACATTCCACCCGTCGAGATTGCGCACGACGTCGGATTCCTGGGTAAAAACAGACCGCTATGAAGTCGGATAAAAGCCAAGCGCATGCGCATGTCCTCTCGTGGTCTTGAGTGTGGATATGTCGCTGGGGACAGGTCTCGTTCCGCACTTGCTGGACTCAGACCTCTTTCGTTCCACTGCCCACAACGTGCTGCCCGATGAACGAGTCCATCTCGCCTTAGCTAGGGCTCGGGAGATTGCTGCTACATATCGTAAAGTTGCCTTCACATGCGAATTTGCCATTCCGCTCACGCCCGTCCGCAGCCATCACCCTCGACGATATCAAGAACGCGACCTTTCCATTCTGGAATTTTCACTGTGACCCTATCGTATGCAGCGATGGCGCGGCGACCACTTTGCTATCCATTCAGTGGAACCTGGTACTCGGAACAATCCTGGATCGGGTCGGGGAGAGAAGGGATCTCGTGGACAGTGGGCTCTTGCACGGGTTGCTGAAATATCAGATATCGTACGTCGTGGTCATTCTTCCAGGACGACTGGCTGATCACTCATACAATCTTCCAGTGGCCAGTTCTGTCTGACCGAAGTAGACCATGGATTAGATGCGGTAAACCTCGAGACTACAGCCACGTCTCTAGACGACGATCGTGGCTTCATCTTGAACACACCACACCCTGGGGCAGCCAAGTATGCCATGTCGACTCGAATTTTATTCGAACGCTGAGTACTGTCACAGATTCATGCCGCCAACCGCTCCATTCGGGATTCCTTGCGTAGCTATTGTCATGGCCCGGCTCATCAAAAATAAAGTCGACTTGGGGATCAAGCCTTTTCTCGTGCCGCTCCACAACGGTCAAACAATGAAACCTGGGGTTCATATCAAGCAAGTCCCTCTCTCAACGCTCTTTCGCGTCTCTCACCCGGCCAAAGATTGCTTCCCTACCGTGGGGGCTCTGCGCCCGTGCATCATTCGATCACCTCGTTTCGCGGCGTCGCTCTCCCGGCCACTGCGCTCTTGCAGCGGGATCCACCGGACGCGATCACCGACCCGACCCAACGACGTATTGACTTTCTCCTGTCGCTATGGCGAGTCGCGGTGGGCTCTTTGGCCTTGTCAGCGACGAGCATCCCGATCCTCGCGCACTCAGCCTGTCTCGTGGCAGCATACAGCAGCCGTCGTGTCGTCAACGAATCTTCATCCATCTTGCGTTTTCCGACCCAGCACAGGCCGATCCTGACCGCGCTTGCCCAGTCGTTCGTGCTGCGCGCGTTCTACCGCGCAGCGGTGCCCGTCTTCCGGGACGCCGCGGTGGACTTTCGCGTGCGGCATGGGATGGCGGCGTGCTTCAAGCTCGTGGCGATGCAGTTTACACAGGAGGGCGCGTTGTCGCTGTCGGAGAGGTGTGGCGCGCGGGGTCTCTTCGGGGTTAATCGTATATGCGAGATGCAGGTAAGTAGTATGATTCACGGGCATGTCGTAGACCGTCTTCTGATCATCTGCAGTCTGACGCACGAGGGATCGCGATCGCAGAAGGAGACATGCTGGTGCTGGCTATTCGTGCGTTTGGACCACTCGAGAGGGATATTGCATTGACCATCTGCTTCTAGGGCTCGCTACCGAACTGCTTCTGGAGCGTTATTCGCTGGACGACCTCTGGCCCACCGTCGACAGCCCACTGTCTCGTCACGCCCAATCCCTGCTCGCCACGTTCCGCGCGACCCTGCAATCGCTCGACTCGCACCGCTCAGACTCCTTCAACTCCAAGATCATCCCACACTGTACGCTTATCGTCGAGGCGCTCGGATTGCAGATGGCCTACGACGCCGCCGTGAGAGCGGGCCTGGCCGCGGAGATGGTGGAGCTGTTCCTGGTGACTTCGATGCGGCGCGACGAGGGGTGGTACATCGAGAATATGCATATGCGGCAAAGCGAGCTCATTTGTAGAGAGGAGACGGCGATCGCGCGGGCGTTGCCGAAGCTTGGGGAGTGGGTGGATGCGTCCGGAGCGACGCCGTATGTCACTGCGCCGATCCAGTCGCAGGAGGAGTGGGACAAGTTCGTTGCGGGACTGACCGCGTTCAGAGCACCGGAAGAGCAGCACCTAGAATTGGCGAAGCTGTGAGCGATTCACTTGCGGTGGGCAGAGAAACTGTAGCAGGTCGCATGCAGAGCAGTGCCCAGAACTGGCGAAGTGGTGAGAGATTCAGTCGCCGTAGATAGTCTATCGCAGTCCGGCAGAGAATTGGCGCTGGGATTCTTTTGTGCCACAACAAAGGCGATCGCATGCAGAGGTCTCGGATCTGAATGCATCTCTTCGACAGAATGAGAACGTCTACGCTGCAAATTATTATATTACATGGGATGGTAGACATGATAATGAGGATAACATGAGCCGTCTCTTCCAAGAGATCAGACGAAAAGAACATACAACTAGATGTGTACAAAGAACCCCTTCTGCCCTTCCTCCTGCCGTACACTCCCCTTCTTCACCAAAAAGTCCGCGCACGCCATCCTGATGCGCTCGCTGGTCATCGGCAGCCGGAACTCCTGCATCTCCGCCACGCCCGCATCCGCTCGAGCCGACTTGAGCGCCGCACGGATCGCCAGCGCAACGGAGCACCCGAGGAACAGCGGGGGCTCGCCGACGCCCTTGCTGGCCTTGATCGACCCGAGGTTCGGCCACTCGGCGTCTTTCAGGAGCGACACGTTGAACGTCTGCGGGATGTCCGAGAACCCGGGGATCTTGTATGCGCCGGGGCCAGTGGTGAATATGGCCCCCGAGTTGAGCCAGAGGGATTCCTCGATTGTGCACAGCCCTTGGCCTTGGATGAAAGCCCCCTCGCTGGAGATGAGATGAGATATCGGATTAGATGGAGAGACGAGATCGGCGGGACTTACATCTGACCGTAGTCGATCGCCGGGTTCAAGCCTGTCCCAATATCAAGCTGATGAATGGAAAAGTAGCCGCAATGGACGCACTCTTTCCCACATCCATGTTAATGTCAACCCGCAAGACCGTGTGATCTCCAGTGAGCGTGTCCACCTCGACCTCCGTTGCACAGACGCCCTGCGTAAAGTAGTGGAACAGATTCCCCGTCTCATTCGGGTTGCTGGAACGTATCAGGCCACCACATCATTCAGCAAACAACCCAAGAACGCACTTCCACTCGTATCCCAGATCGGGCGTCGAATGGTGCCCCGTTGCGCTCAATGACACTCGGTCCCCCCATGCCGCGTTGGCCAGCGCTGCCAGACTCGCATCCGGCCCGAGTTTCTGGCGATACGGCTCGATACGTCGGTTGATCTCCGCACAGGCGTTGTACACAGCATAACCGTTCAAGCTACATGCATGTCAGATAGCACAAGGGAGCAGCCAAGCCGTACGCACTCGCTGCCAGCAGATGCTGCAGTGGGAACAGTATTCGGGACGGTGCTCGTGGCCGACTCGGACGTAAACACATCCGTGAGCGGGACACGCAGTTCCTGAGCTGCGATTTGACAGCACTTGGTGTACAGTCCCTGGCCCATCTGGTGGAATCGTGTTAGATAGGAATCTCGTGCAGTAGATAGCAGATAGGATACCTCGACACCCCCATGAGCGACCAGTACGCTCCCGTCAGTATAGACATGCACCAGCGCTGATCCCTGGTTCATCGCTTGGACACCGAAAGCAAGCTGAAATCTAAATCAACTTGAGCACCAGAAAGAAGAAACATCACATACCCCAAACTTGGTCGGCACCAGAACGATCCCCCGCTTCCTCCACTTGTGCTCAGCATTGAACTTGTCCACCGCAGCTTTGCGTTCTTCGTAGCGGCTCTCTCGCTTGCAGTCTCCCAGCATACGCGGCACGTGCCAGTCAAGCACCTTCTGGTGGTATGGGGTCTTCTCGGCTTCCTTATACAGGTTGATCTGTGCGAAATTGAGTGATCTTCACTCATGCGCGACACAACAGGTAACGCACTTGTCGCACATGGTCGATATCCAGATTGAGTTTGTCAGCGATTGCCTGGGATGGCTCAGCTTCCGTGACGGTTGCTCATAAGCACTCTCTCACCTCAATGTAGTGCTCTGCCACCAACATCCCTCTGTAGATCGTTGTCAATGTGCGTTTGGGAGATACAAGATCAACTCACTGAGGTCCCCCGAATCCACGGAAAGCCGTATTCGAAACCTAAAGGATCCCGTTGAGAGAGTTCTATACGCGCTGAATGCGCTGCTTACTGTATTTGTTTTACACAACTTGCCGCGGACATCGACGTCGGGAATGTAATAGCTTGATGAACCGGATCAGCCAATTTGCAGTCGGACTAAATGATGCGAGACGCACCAGTTTTCAATATGCGCCAGGGCTCGATCACAGACACCACCACTAATGTCACTCGAGTGGCCAGCGTTGACCCAAAAGCTGTTCACGCATCAACGGACACCAACAATATGAAATCGGCCTGGAGACGCACTCAGCCGACAATGCCTGCAGCTTCCCCTCTTTGGAGAATCCAACCTTCCACTTCGAGAGACAGGGATGACGTTGCCCCGAGGTCATGATATCCTCTTGCCGGTCGAGCATAATGCGAACAGGACGACGGAGCTTCTTGGCAGCGACCGCAGTGATAGCGGCTATGTGCGAGGTGCGGGTCTCCTTCCCGCCGAATCCACCGCCCAATCGTTTCGCATGTGCGACGATCCGGTTCCGCGGCACGCCTGTTGCCGAGGCGACCCAGCGCTGAGCGCCCGCCAGATTCTGGGTCGACAGGTAGACATCCATCTCTCCGCTCTCCAGTTTCGGGACGACGAGCACGGCCGTGGTCTCGAGGTAAAAGTGTTCCTGCCCACCGAGACGGGTGCTGCCTTCGAGGACATGATCGCACTTGGCAAGCGATTCTTCCACCGGCTGTCCTCGGCGGATGAACCTGTCGTATCCAGGAATGAAGGAGCCTTGCTCGAGCGCCTCCTCGATGGTCAGTATCCTGGGAAGGTCCTCGTACTCGATCTTGACAGCTCTGGCGGCCTTCTGAGCGAGGATCTTGCTCTGCGCGACGATCATTCCAATGGGCTGGCCGTGTGACTGCACTTCGTCCACAGCGAAGAACACCTCGTCGAGCGCAGGACCACCGCCCCAGTAATTGGCACGCTCGTTGGGCAGGTCTTGATAGCTGACCCAGCTCACGACACCCTCCATCTCCAATGCTGCACTGGCATCGACCGAGATGATCTTCGCATGTGCCCGACTGGACAAAACCAGTCCCCCGTATAGCTCGTTGCCCACTTTCGGCATGTCGTCGACATAGACCGCCGCGCCCGTCGCTTGCAAGAGACCCGACATATGAGGCTCCTGCTTCCCGACAACTTCTTGCGCGTACGGATCGCTGTTGTCGTGTCGTCCTGAGCTCAGTTGGCGATGGATGAGCGACGTGATGTCCAGATCCGAAGCTGCCGACACATTCGTTTGTTCTCCGACGGAGGTCCAGAACTTGAAGAAGAAACTGAGTGCGAGCGTCTTTCGATAGGAAGCCATTCCGCCAGGGACGTCGAACGGAAGGTGCATTTCGTTGCTCAAGATGTCGAGTGCAGCCTCGAAAGTCTCTTGCGAAAATGCTTTGCCGACGAGATACTCTTGTGTCTTGAGCGCGGAAACCACGGTGGGTCTGGAAGGGGGATTCAGTTGGAATTCAAAATTAAGCAGATGCGAGACGCACGCCATTCCACCATAAGCCAGTCGAGCGTGGGTTATGGTGCCAGACGACACACGCATGACCATGCACGCAGTGACAATAGCGATATCGTCGTCTCGCCGCTTGGCCTAAAGCAACATTCAGAATCCACAAGAGGTAGCCTCCGATGAGGATATCTGACCTGCTTGTAAGCTCTCACAACCTCAATATCACTCGACTTGTTCAACGGAACGACCACCTTCACCAAAACCCCGTCACGAGGCAGCATCGTCCTACGGTACCCAGTGAAGAAGGTGGACAGTGGCAGCTCCAACGCCTCGTTATCAGGACTGGCAGCGATGACATACGACTCCGTCGCAACCCACACTGGATTCAAATCCGAGATGGGACTCGCAGTGGCGATATTGCCACCCACCGAAGCCGCATTGCGGATCTGCAGTCCCGCAAAGTACCGCAGCTGGGTCTTGATTGCTTCAATCGGCCCTTGTAATCCAGAATCCAATTCGCCGCATAGTCGCTTACACGCAACTTCTAGCTCAGCCAAAGACAAGTTCGCGCCGAATTCAAAGTTTCCTTGCGCGTTGATGACTGCTGGGGCCTGGAGTTCCACGATGTCGGAGACGTACACCGATACAGGGTACGCCGCCGCTTTCAGCTTGACTTCGATCTGGATCTCAGATGATCCGCCAACGAGCCTGGCATCTGGATACTGAGCCTTGATGGCCAGAAGCTCTGCCAGCGTCGTCGGGCGCAGCCACTTTCGCGAGCCGGAGCCGAACGCAAGCGGGGATGCGACGGTCTTGGCCAGGGAAGGAGGAAAGATGAGCTCCGTCCCAACTTTGTAAGGCTTGAGCTTGAATCGGGGAAACTTGGGCGAGGTTGCTGCTTCGGCAGATGCGTCGCCGGTGAGCTGGCAGCAATCCGCTCGCCCACAACCCACAGCTGTGGCATCTGACGGTCCAGGATTCGTGCAGCAATCCGAATGGTCCAAGTTGGCCGATTCGAAGTTGATGGGTATCACAGGGTCTAGAACGGATTAGTTTGGCACTGAGCACAACGAGATGGACGTTGCTGACCAGCTGAGCTATTCAACTTCCCCGTGTATTCGCCGACAAATGTCTTGGCTGCATCCAGGATGGGTTTATAGCCAGTACAACGGCACAAGTTGCCGTCAAGTACGCCATCGAGCTCGATATCCGCGGCAGTCAGAGAGCCTTTGTATGCCGCATTTCTGACCAGTGCATATAGAGACATGATAATACCTGTGGACTGCATCAAGCCATACACCCCCAAGCGGGCTTATCGGGACATACCAGGCGTGCAGAAACCGCACTGCGACCCACTCAGCTTCCACAGTCTTTCCTGGATGGGATGCGGATTCTCAGGACTTCCAACACCTTCGACAGTGATGACATGTTTCCCATCGACAGATATTATCGGTGCGAGGCACGCGTTCAGGGTAATATGTCTGGGAGGGGTCGAAGGATAAGAGAAAGCACACTCTGCATCAAGAACGGACTGACTGAATTTCTCTGGTCCGTGGATGTCTGCTCTGTACGACAACCGTACAAGCACCGCAGCCTCCCTCACCACACCCGAGCTTCGTGCCCGTGAATCCCTGACCCTGCGATCGGATGAAGTCGAGCAGAGTCGCGTCGGGGTCAAACGAATTGCCGTCGAGAACGATGGGTGATCCATTGAGGAAGAATCGCAGCGTCGATGTAGATTTACCCCCAAAGTCACTTGAACAGTCGGCTGAAGCCATCCCTGAGGGCTGGTTAATCGGCGATGAGTGCGAAAGCGGGAAGTCCTGAGAGCATCAGTGCCAATCACATAGCCACCTTGCCCTGCCATTTTCGCTGAAAACCGAGTCACACGACCTATCCTCTCCCGGGTCTCTATCCTCACGTACAACCAAGCGGGGCGCAAGTTGAAACAACCCCAGTACAGATTATGCATTAACAAGCAAATTATAACAACACCCAGCACAGTACTACAGAACGAAAACCTGTGAATTCGTCAGTCAGCTGGTCTGACGGAAGAGCCAGCGCCCGGACCTGTTCTGGATCAGACATCTTGCGGGTCTTCATCAGCTTGACAGCTTCTTCCCGCCAGTCATGCTCTACTATCCGACCCAGTCTTTGCTCGACGGCCGCGATCCTCATGTTTTCCGGAACATAGCTGGTAGAGCGTCAGTTGCATCGGGTACTTGGATCTTGGCATGCAAACCTTTCAATAGGATGGTCCATGGCATCTCTGATTGCCTGGACGAAGCCGTCGCGGTCGTTCTTGAAGACGTTGTACACATACGGCGGACTGGAAAGCTTGAGCATGTCATGTTGGGTGCGCCAGCTCGAACGATCGTGAGGGCGAGACCGGTCCCAGTCTAGAATTGGATTGATGAACGGCACACCAAGACAAAGCGCATCGTATGGTGTCGGAGACCTTGCTCGATCTGTCAATAGGCTTCGTAGCGATATGCCGCCACTACTCACAACACGGGATTGCTCATTCCGATGAGAACCTTCGTCCGCGAGAGCCTGTTGAAGAACTCTTCCTGCGGCAGAACCCCGACGTTCTTGACATGCGAACTCATCACCACTGTGGCCGGATCGACCGGGATTTCAGCAATAGGATCTCCAGCGCCTGTAAAGAAGGACACCCGCGCATGTTCCCCAGCCATATCAAGAACTTCGGGATCCCAAGCACGAACATCAGCGCCAAAATATGAGATGGACTTGGCGAGGATCCATGCTTCGTCGTTACGCTCGTCGTGCGGAATGAACGGATGCTGGGCGCATTGGGCTTCGATGCTGTATCCGACGTACGAGTTGTGAGGTAGTCCCTTGTCGAGGAGAATATACTGATCCAACAGAGGTGGTCAAAAACGGTGCAGAGGCAACGACGAAGCTGCGTACATCTTCCGGGTTGAGCGTCCACCGAGGTCCAAGTGGGTGTTCTCCTCCAGGCCACCAAGCGAAAGCAAAAATCTTCCAAATAGGAATTCCAGACGGATTCTCCGCATCTCGCACTAGTCCCCACTGCACGAGCTCAAGTACACCCGTCGATTCGCAGATGACCATCACAACCAGCTTCTCGAAGATTTGGTATAGTTGAATCGTCGAGGGACCCCCATGCGAGTACATGATGCTGTATCCCATATTCTCGAAGGCACGAATCTGAAAGGCGATGGATGAGAACATAACAAGCTGCGGATTGGGATGCGCTCACCATCGACGCTGCCCAGATACCTTCACCACCGGACCATCCTCGTTCCAGGTACATGCGGAAATGGTGGCTCTCAATGATGACGACTGTGCTCCCATTCAGAGACCGGAAAGACGGACGGCAACACACGCACCCTTGGTCTGATTCTGCGCACAATCATCCAGCGCAATACACTGAAACAAGTTCGCGGTCGTGTTCTGATTACGCGTGATCCATTTCCTCGATTGCGTCGGGTAGAGAGTAGGGGCGAGGAGAGTCATGTTTGCGCTGAGACCGGCTCTGAGTGGGATCGACAATGACGGGGGAGGTGTGGGCTGCATCCGTTGTAAAACACGCTCAAAGTAATCGGCCCTGGTCGATGGCGGAGTCTTAACGATTAGAAAGGAAATGAGACATGCTAATCCAAGGCCGAAGAAGACGATCCGCTTGATGTGCCGCCTGCAGAAATAACGCGTGAGTGCAGTTCGTGAACAACGTGGTCGCCCAGCACTCACGGGCCGCATAGCATATAGAAAAGAGAAGAAGATGTCAATGGACGGTGCATGGCGAAAGCGAAAGAAAGGTACTTAGTCCCGCTTCGCCACCACGTTCTTATGTCGTCCGAACTGAATCAGGGTGGGCGGGTAGCTTCTCCCCTCTCGATGAACTGAGATGGGTGGGAGATGCGGAAACAGATGCGAGACAGTGTACTCAGACGCGCCGCGTGAGGTCTCATGCTGTCGCGCGTTTGATAAGCGGTTCACCCGGGTTGACAGATGGCGGCGACGTCGCGAAATCTTGCGGTAAGGTACAGCGGGGTCTCGACTGCAGAGTTTGACTTCGTCGGTCCAGCATGACCACGATATGGATCCCGAGTCGACATGAATAGCATTGCGGGAAATGACCAGTTTGAGCAGGAATTGACTGTCACAGTGGCAAAGTATGTGGTTGAACTGGTGCCAGTAAGATTCCGCTGATCATTGGCATGGGCTTGTTCCTGTTTGTTCGTCCATCAAAGCACATCTCCTCCTCGCCATGAACGCGACCGAGCGCATCGGAGCAGCCGCTAGTTTCTTGCTGCAATCCCCACCTGGGGAAATCAACGATGTTTTGAATGGTGGGACTTTCCCCTTTCTTGCGCTTAACTTCCGATGGAACTAACTCATCCTACAGACGTCAGAAACATCATCTCGGACGACGATTCCCTTCACGAGGGCGTGCTGCCAACGTTGAAAGAGTACAATATCACACAGTTCATGGTAGTGGATGTTCCAGGAGCTCAGCATCAGGTACGGTGCGTCGTCTAAGCGCGGTCCGACTGTGTATTTGACACACGATCCCAGACGATAATCAGCGAAGCTGCACGCGTTTCCACGTCCGGCGATGGTCAAGAGCGCTTCTTAGACCCGAGGTCGAAGACGTCGTTCCTCTTTGACCATCTTACTCTCGTTCGTAATCAACTTCGGACCGTGGCTGTATCCTGGACCCCTCATCTAGGAGACATCAGACTCACAATCCGTGGATCCCAACACGGACTCTGAACCCTTCAGGTGTGTCCTTCGAGTAGTGGAGTCTAATTGTCTCATTCCGTGTAGGGAGGCACTAGACAAGGCCACCCAAACTTACTTGACTGCGCATTTCCATGACGGTGTTGCATCTGTGTTCGCCTCCAAAGACACCACAAACCAGTTCGTCATCCAGGTGGTGGCTAACAAGTACAATCCGACGAACTATTGGTACTGGAAATGAAACGAAGCTGCAGTTCTGTTCGCTGATCTCCTTCGTCGCAGGTCGGGCCGATGGCGGTCACAGTACACGGTAGATTTGAATGAGAATACGGTCAAGGGAATGGTGTTGGTGAATGTGCACTACTACGAGCAGGGCAACGTGCGTAACTTCCGTCTCTAGCGACTGCTTGCATAGCGGTCTAATTACATCTAGGTCCAACTTTCGACAACGCACGACATATCAATTTCTCTACCTGCCGCTATCGTAACAGCTTCCCCCAACGTCTCAACAACCAAGCTACTTGCCTTGATCGAGAACGAGGAAAGGAAGTACCAGACATCGTTGAACGACACGTATCAAGAGATGGGGGAGAAGACATTCAAGAGTCTTCGTCGAGCTCTGCCACTCACCAGGCAGAAGATTGATTGGGACAAAGTATGTTTCGGTCTTTTCGGTCCTTCTGCGGAAACTCACCGGCGGTAATAGGTCATGGGGTACAAACTGGGAGCCGAGTTGACATCGAGCAAAGGGTTATTCGCAAGCTCAAGCTCGTGAAGGCCAGCCAGTAGCCTGTGTAATGTATGAGTTGCTTTTAGTATCACCACGGCTTGGCCAAGCCCCAACGGCAGCATGCAATATGCTCAAAGTTCTCTGTTCTCTCGAGACTGCTCGCAAACACTTTCCTCGCTGAGTCAACCCCGCTGCGATCCTGCACACTCGTGCTTCCTAATCCGGTAGATTTCGATGTACAACGACGATTGGTCTAACGAAGGACATAAGGAGCGGACACCCTGTGTAGTATACCATTTGCGTAGATCGCATTCAGATACCCTACAATTCTCTCCGTAGCACTTTGCTTGTACCAAAAATCATCCCCATTCAGCACTCATGCAAGGCATGTCTGATGCTCGTCTGTGATGTCCCCGGTTTCCCCACACCTGTTCTGGCTTTGGGACATACTACCTGCCGGATTTCTCCGGAAAGGTCAACAAACGCCTGAGTTTGAACGCATACATGGGGAGATCGTCCTCTAGAGCTCAGACATAGCACAGATGGCATAACGCATACATCCAGCCTTATCGCTAGTCGAACTAAACAGCCGAATGGGAGCAGGAGCCTGCCTTTCGGGCTGTAGCAGGAGAAGGGCGATCGAATTCCGGAGAGCAGCAGGAGTCGATCTGGGCCACTGAATCGGAGCACGAATCGTTCTGTCGGATGGGCTGAGAGCAGGGCTCGGTCCCCGGATTGGTTTGACAGCAAGAGTCGGGCTGGGTCATTGGAGATGAGCAGCAATTCGTCTGAAATAGAGCATATCAGCATCAAATGGGACACGCCACGAGAAGATCACACTGCACCGTTACGCGAGGGATGACATCATGAGTGCAGCACTTCGAGTCGTCGACAGCAGTGGGTTGGCAACAGTCGGTCTGGAAATTTACGGTATTTATCAAGAGATCGACCGCAAATACACGGGATCTCACCGGCTGGTCGAGGTCTACGCTTGAGCATTGGCACGAATCCGCCTCTTTGCATTCGCTCTTGTTTAGACAGCATTCACACAAGTCACGGTAGGGCTCTTGTAGTTCTTTCCCGTCTTCAAGATGGATAGTAGCAGGGCGATCATGCGCACAGCAGCCCCCATCAAAGGCGGGATTTGTCACCCATCTGAGCATCTTGTATCCTTCCCATCCGAAAAAGAGGCCGAGCACGATGGATGTTGCACTATCCACCCACCATCCACCTTTCCAGAACCGGAAGATGAGAGAGCCGACAAAGAGTACAATCGTGATCTGGATGCAAGACAGGGAGCATTTCGCCTCGCCTTGCATCACACTGCTATTCAAAGCGCGTGCGAGGTATCCTTTAGGGAGCCAGATCAGGATCATGATGAAGAGCGCCGAGCCGGAGATGATGAGCGAAGAGTCGGATGTCTCGGGAGTAAGATGCAGGGCAAGCGAGACGATGGAGGATATCTCCGTTGCAAGAGCGAGGAGAAGGAGAAGTGCGCCAATGCTGCCTGATGCGACCTTTTCGATCCTACCGTCCAGTATAAGCATTGATATTGAGGACTAGGACCAAGAAGCACGCGGTAGACTCACTTGAGGTCTCTCTCACTCAAACAGTGGTCGTTCTCTTCGCCGGGTTGAGCAACGGACTTGAATCTCCACAGGACGAGAAGGGCGGAAGCAACTTCGATGCCGGACTGGATCCCAAAGAAAACGAGAGAACGAGAGCCGGTTTCAGAGCCAAATGCAATAGAAACTGCGCCTTCGGCGCCATTGTAGAGAACGCTGGCGATGCTGATAGCAATGGCGTACTGCTGCAACCTACGGTAAGTGGGCATGGTGATAGTGAGGAAGGAGCGTCCAATCAGGCATCAGATTCAACTGCTGAGAAAGGGCGTTCGATTACGAAACACTTACAGACCTAGTCCACTAGTCTTCGTTGCTCGAGTTGGTTTGGCTCTCGTCAGGCATACTGATTCTACACATTGTTTATTGTTTGACATTTGGGGAAGTCTCGCTTCCCGAAGTGCTTCAAGCCATTCCGTTGCTCGATGAGCCACGGCTCGTGCCTATGCCTTCGATTCAACGGTACCTACGAGGATACCACCGTCAAAATGGCTTACGCCTGTGAGGAAATCAACGTCAAACGGCTTACGCTCCCTCCTCGGATCCATCTTACTGGGGATGATGCAACTCTTCACGCCTCCGAGGTCCCAGACGAGGACGAATGTTCTGCACTAGTTACCGAGTTTAGGACAGTCGACGCATGCCCTTTAGAGCAGGTCGTAGTGACTAAATACCAGTCGTAGGAACATATACCTGAGGATATTACTTGGTAGGAATTGGCATCAGCTGCAACTGCCGGGAATAAGCGGATCTTGTCCTCCTTTGAGCGATTGCCATCAAAGTTTGGGCACTCTGCTTAGCACTTGAAAATGGCTTTGTATTCTCGCAGGCTATGCCACCGTTCAACAACAAAGCGCTTCTCTACTGCCAGAACAATTTAAAGGCACTCATAAGAGCATAGCAACGTACGCTCAAGCATCAATATTCGTACGAAGTTGATAGGTGCGCGAGACTGTCACCCTATACCGTTTTGGCTTTCTGAGTTAGGCTGCTGCAGTAGTCTTGTCAGAGTCAACTTCGCGTCATCAATGTCCGGTTTCAACTCTCCCGAGGATCCCAGGAAGCGTGCCCCCCGCTGCCGCAAATGCCTGCAACCCATGAAAGGCCACCGCGCAGAATTATGTCGCGCCAGCCCCGCCCGGTCTCCCACGATCTCTCCTCGCCACAACAACGACAACGGCTACCTGGGGCCGAACCACTGGCGGTCTCCGTCCTGGGGCCGGAAGATGGACGCCGCAGACGCCGCGGCGCGGGAGCGCGCGTCGTTCGAGCCGCTGCTCAGCCAGCCGGCATCCTACGTGCCCACCGAGCGCGTCGACGAGGACGGGAACACGATTAGGAACGGTGGGGACGACGACGACGACGACGACGACGAGGGGGATGAGGCGTCGTCGGACTCGGGTGGCTTGCGCGGTCTGCGGGCGCGCACGCCGATGGTCCAGGTCATGGACCAGGCCAACGCGCTGCGGCTCTGCGGGGATCCCGTCATCAGCATCGTCAGCGTCGCATGGGGAGACCTGGCCCGCATGCAGGCGACAGCCGGCCAGTCTGGACTGTGCACCGCCGTTGTCAAGACTCCGTGGGCGCACTGGCGGATCAAGTCCGAGTCCCAACGCGAGCTGTGGGTCGTCGTGGGCAAGGATCCCTCGGTCGTTCACCAGATGGCGGAACTGTATCACGCTCTCTCACCGGGACGGAAGAAAGAACGCGTCGCTATTACCACTCCATGGAAGCAGCTAGTCCTGGCGAGTGTCATCGGCGGCATCTTTGTGATCCTCGTGCTCGGTCTTAGTTATATCAGATACTGGCTATGAATCTCTCCTCGTCCTCTTCATCAGTAAACTCCATGCTTTCCATATGTAAACTCATGATCATGTTCTCTCTTGTCCCCTCCAGAAGTTGCTGGGCCATCTCCAAGTTGGCAGCCCGAGCTTGAAGAACAGGAAGGCAGGCTGAAAAGACTCGCACAAGCTGAGAGCGAGCAACGCCATCGGCATCCTCGTCTTTGGAGGAGGGATCCGGTGCTTGAATCAACATGGTAATCGATGCTTGTAGATCATCGTATTCGTCCTGCAGATTCTCTGAGTGCCAGAAAGGTCAGATCAGGTAAGGAGGTGGCAAGTTCAGCCACTTGCCCAGCTTCTCGAGCATATCATCGTATTGCCGCATCGGAAAGTCGGGGTCCTGTTCCGGAGGGCACATGGCAAGCTGCATGACGTCGGCTTCGAGGGAGGTGCAGGCATCGCCATGAGCAAGGAATGCCTGCATTAGCGCAGGTGCGAGCTAGACGAGTCGTTCGATGAGCCGCTGAGCAGTGAGAGCACAGTGAATCACACCTTGTCAGTCTCCATTTCGTTGTAGAACTGAAGCGGGTGAGGTTGCTCTCCATCGGGCGGAACCTGCGGCTCAACGTCCTCCAGTGTCACTTGTTTCGTTCGTTCAGTAAGATCTGCCTGGATTGGACGTCATGCATTGCTCCGTCGAAAAGACGAGCCGACACACCTCTGCATCTTGGAAGCACGCGTCGAGGGTCGAGTTCATGTACAGCCATGGGTACTCTGGCGCAGCTACTGGCAAAGCCTCGGTTGATGGGGGTGGCTCATGATCAGGCGCATCGTTCGCATCCGCGGATGCTTCTAGTTGCGGTTCGGAGCCCGTCTCCTCAGAGGGTGCGCTGGCCGCGTCCGATTCCTCTCTCCCTGGACAAACATCAGCGACAACTGGGTTGTCTCCGACAGCCCATTACCCCGCGGCGAGTCCGTCCCGGGTTCCTCGAGAGCTACAGCACTGGATTCTGACTCCGACATGGCAGTAGCGGCACTGGACAGCTCGAGTGTGATGGGGCATCAAACCGACGGTGGACCAAACAACCAAATACCCGGCGTAGTAAGACGCGTACCTTCGGCGATGAACGTTCTTGGAGCCTCAATGCATCAGCGGGCGACCTGATCTCTGCTATTCCCACATAGACACTGTAATATGTCTCTGCTCCCTCAGGCCGCAGGGTCGATGAGGATCATCGCCGTGCCGCTCGCCCGCACGGTGCTGCCGACCGTCCCCGCTTTCTACAGCTTCAGAATCATCTCACCTCCACCCGTACCCAAGCCCGCCGCTGCCCACGGGTTCCTCGCGCGCCGGCTGCCTGAGGAAGGTCTCGGGAGGTGGGCTTCGCATAAAGCGAACACTACATGGAAGAGCTTCGGCAAGGCGCCGGATGGGACGTGGAAGGTATGTGTATGGTGGCCCGCGCGTCGCGCCGCAATGATGCGACTGCCTCCCTAACTCGGTGCACCCCCAATTAGCTGCGCGCGTTCCGGCTGGGAGAGCGGCTGATGGACCGACTGGATTTCGAGGAAGTGACGCTCAAGACCATCGACATCTCGATCGCACCCAAGATCACGGGGAAGCCGAAAGATGTGGAGGTAAGTACTGCGCCGCATCTCTGTTTCATCATGTCGGTGATGGGCCTAACCTTGCGCAGGTCCCGTTGCTATATGCTCCCTCGGTGCACTCAGGCCCGGAATCGCTCGAAAACCTCAAGTCATTGGCTGAACAACGGATCCCCATACACCGACGAGGCGTCGCCACTTGGATATTTGTGCGGTTCTTCAGTGGTCTCTTCCGCCCATACTGAGACGGTACCGCAGCTGGCCATTCTCAGCGCGCCCCTCAAACTGATTCGTGCGTGCCGATCATGTCACCTCTCACCCGTAGACTGACAGGCCCCAGCTATCATACCTAATCTTCCGTTCTATTTCTGCGCTTGGAGATCCTGGTCACATTTCAAAGGTGAGACATTCATAGTCTGTGGCATTAGCCTGAGCGCTGACACTCGAACGATCGGGTAGCTATGCGCGCCGCTCGGTACCTGCAGGATCTTATCAGAGTCAACGCAATCGTCCCGAGACCATACCCAGCGCTCGACGGTGTCTACGCCCCTGCGCTTTCCGGCCCATCAGCAACCGTCTTCCCGACTGCAACACTCGGAAAGGCGATGAAGGTGCTGTCCATGGAGCCCGAGGAAGCGAAGGAGCTGCTGCGCGCTCATGATCAAGTTCTGTCGCGTTTAGGCACAGCGGAAAAGAAATAGAAATAGAAATAGAAATAGAAATATAACTCAATGCACACGCTTCAGCCGAATCTCGGAGCCATATCCCTCCATCCACGCCGGAGAGCCCTGGACCTAAGCTTATTAATGCTCGAATCGCGGTGCAATTAACGTGCAGGAGAAGATTCTTTGCACTGATATCAGCTTCCACTGCCTGAATCTTTTGTCATCAGTGGCGATAGAAGAAAGTACTTTAAATAAATAGGAAGAAACCGAAGCCCAAGCCTGCGCTTTAACAAAGTTCGTGCTCACCCAGCGTGATCGAAGATCTGACCACAGTGAAGTAGCAGCCAGTCGTAACGCGATCACGTGATCTAGTCACGTGCGCAAAATGAGAATGTATGCTGGAAAAGCGCTCAAGCTCAATTCTCTTCCGACTAAAGATGTAAGCCAGAAATATCTGATGCTCCGAATATTTTTTCGCGAGGATGGGAAATATCAAACAGACCAAAGTATACATCATGGCCCTTTTCGATGCAGTGGGGTTCGGGCATGAATCTGGGGCTGGTTGAAGAAAGCGTGAGATTCTATGTGTTCGAAGAGCTTCTCAACTCCACATTTTATTCCAAGCGGACCCTGAGTAATAATTACACCGATGGAACTCTGCTTGATTCCTGTCGACCCGGCAAATATCGGGCGTGGGGTAACTCGTCCTGTGACATTGACGAGGTGAAATGCGCGACCGGAATTCACCATCGTTGAAACGTCAAACTTACCTCGTAGAGCTGAAGTATCCGTGCTCAGTACTCACAGTCTACAGCGCTCACAAGGGAACAGCCGATGGGATGTATCATTAGCACGACTTGACGTTGATACAAGGAAGAAGTTGTTCCGATCAACCGAAATGAATCTCCCTGTGATATTTATCTCTGGAAACTAATTTATGTAACGAAACCATGCGATCGTGCCCGCTTTGAAGTCGCAATGAAGTGAGCCGGACAGACATTTATGCTGATTTCTTGGTCATACTGTTACATATCATGGATAGATGCTAATATCGGTAGCACTCGATAAACGTTAATTTGGGGTTCAATCATCAATGGCGGAGTGCATCGCTGAACAATCCTCTGGCGATGGAGATCATAGTCGTCCGACTTTCCCAGAGCGGCCAGAAGATGCAGACTAGCGCGCTGAACCACACCCAGATGAACGACACAACGCACCAGCCCTTAAATCCTGCTCGGGTAAACTCCCACTCGGTCCCGAAGAAGGTGAACGGGACGAGGATGACCGCGATCGCCCAGTACGCGATGTTGAATCCGTAAGCTAGTCGGGTGGCCCTGCGTGCTTCGGCGGGGTCCATCGGCTTGGAGTACGAGGAATCGAGAAAGTCGACGACCGCGTTGCCCGTTTGGGGCGAGACCGAGTCTTTCTCGCTTGACGCCTCGGTTCCATGCGCCTCGGCATCCCCGTGGAGGATTTTGGCCAGTCTATTTTGGGCGTGAGGATTCCCCTCGGCCTCGGCGGCACCCCACTTTGCCGGGAAAACATACGACAGCGCGAATGACACGATGACACCCACGCAGCACGACGTGATGTTGCCGGCGACTGCGTTGGTGACGTCCCCGGTCGTCTGCACGGAGATGCTTCCGCTGCGAAGCTTGGTCACGACGAACCAGGCGACGAGTCCGAGAGCGGTGCCAGCCCAGGGAGCAACCAGGGCTGCGGTCGAGGACATGGGTTCCCACAGCAGGATCATGCCCACTGGGACAGATCCACCGCCGACAATCACACCCAGCACCGTCAGCACCCATGTCAGGTTGATGTTGACTGCATTCAGGATGCAGCAGAACGAGGCCAGCACGACAGAGAAGAGCACGATCCCGGCGTGGCTCATCCTGACCAGCTGGTCAGAGCTCGCCGTGGGCTTGAAGTAGGTCTTGTATACATCGAATGTGATGAGACTCGATACCGCGATCAGTTCAGCACTCGTCGCTGACGTCACAGCCATGAACAGCAGCAGGAGCATCAGCCCAGCGCCGCCGCGGCCCAACAGCGCAATCGCCGTCGCAGGAGCCGATAGGCCACTGCCGTTCTGAGCAGCAGACAGCGGATTGGGGAACGTCGGGAACGCCGGCGTCGCGGTGAGCGCAGCACACCCGAGCCCCATTGCCGTAGCGAAACCGAACGGGATCCCGTACCACGCCATGCCACCGAAGAGATACGCTTTGACAGATGTTTCGGGCCGGGATGCGATGGCGCGCTGCCAATAGGCCTGGTCCAGCCACACGGTGCAGAATCCGGCTACGAGCAGGTCGACGGCAAATACGAGTCCGTCGTTGGATTTGAACGTGAGATAGGATCCCCCGTGCGCGTTGTTGGGGATCGGCCGCGTCCGCTGAGCCTCGAGTAGTAGATCGTAGAATCGGTCGATACCGCCGTTGGATGTGTACATACTGAACCCGAACGTGAAGATGGCGACGAAGAGGATGACTGTATGCGCGTAGTCCGCGATGAACGTGCTGCGCAGACCACCGGCGATCACGTACGCCGCAACGACTAGCGGGATGAGGAAGCACGCGCCGTAGACGTTCACGCCTGAGAGCGCGCCGACTACCTGGCTACCACCGAGTACGAGACACGAGCCGACGAGGAGATTAGTCGCCCATCCGAAGAAGAGGTAGGTGATGTGGTTCAGACGTCCGTGGTGCGCGAGGATGATCTCCGGGAAGGTGTGAGCGCCGGGAGCATTGGTCTTTATCTTGATCGCGATGAGAGAGAAGAGCAGGATCTGGGACGAGCCCATCGCCGCGTACCACATCCCACCCCCGATCTGCTCCTTTCAGCTGGGAGTTACGACGAAGAAAAAAAAACTGACATACCCCATAAGAATATGCGAATGTGCTCGACGTGAGCAGAGTGGAACTCCATGTCCATGAGCTCACAATCCCCGCTGCGATGAGCCCGGGCTTGACGCTCCGCGATGCGGTATTGAACTCCTCCGAGTTTTTTGTCGAGTATGTCGTGTAGCGGTTTTGGAGATAAGTGATGGCCAGCCTGGTCAGGGCTGAGAAAGGCAAGAATGGACAGATTTCCGGTCGCGCGACTCACATTAGAAGGGCGAAGAAGGCCCCGATGCCTACAACGATGCCATAACCCACTCCTTCATTCAAGACGCGAATTCCACCCGCGGCCATCGAGACGTATTAATTGTTGCGGGCCTACGTGAGAGGCTGAAACGCGTTATCAGCTTCTTACAAGTAGCTCTTCTTGTAGTCTGCACTTATCGCGGGACGGACAGCGACTTATCTGATAGAGGGCCAACAGAAGACTGTTGCGGGGCTGGGACTCCTTCTCACTGTGATTCCGCATTCGGCAAATTTGGCACATCGTCGCAGGAGTCCTGCCGCACGCAGCATTGGCAATGGCAGCAGCGTCCGTCCGTGGACGTCCCGGTTGCTGGGAGCTATTCCTGCGTATGTAAGCTCACAGGCTATTCAGAGTTAAGCATCCAACTGTTGTCCTCGAAATCGAAGCGAAGCACGGAGATTCTAAGCGTCGCAACGGGAAACACGCGGGTGATTAGATCAGATCTGCCTCCCACATCGGGGAGATTGGTAGCTTCTTGCCATCACCGAGCCGACAGGACTTTGCTTTTGGCCACCACACCACCCCCACAATTGGTTGGTCCTGTAGGTCATGGGCTCCACTGAGGCCGCCGGTGCGTCTGCGCTCCCCCGCGCCTCTGTTCCTTGTCCCTCACTCCCATCTTCGCAGTCAACGCAGGGCCGTCGTACATCTCATCCCACTCAGCGGACGTCATACTTTCCGATATTCGGCCTATCAAGCTAAAGCTCGAGGGCCTACGCTCCATCAACGTCCTACTCGATGAATTCCTGTTCAACATCCTCAACACCGCGCGGTCGCTCTCGACAGACAATCTGCGTGCCAGCCTCCTGAGTGTCCTCCCGACGAGTCTGGGCAAGGAAGCGCTGCTGGAGGCCGAGGTCGAGTTGAGGGCGTACTGGGACCGAACTGCTAGGCCGCCGGTGCTCGAGAGCGACGAGGGGACGTTTAATTTGCAGTGGGCCTTCGAGGTGGGTAATCTATCTGTGGCGTGTTGCGATCATGCTCAGAAATGGTTCTTTGTTCCCGTTTTCCCTCCAGCTTTTGAGACTCAAATGCGAAGCATATTCTACACTGAATGAGACAGATGAGGACGCTGGGGCCGTTGCTCGTCTCACTGAACGAATGACCCAGGCCGGAGGCACAATGCCCCCGGCCGCCGCGTTGGTGGCCCCTGCCTCACTGTACCTGACGGCGATACTTGAGTGCGTGCCCTGTTCCTGCCTGTGCTCTGCGCCGACGAACTCATGGTTATCTTACTCCCAGATCGATGTGCGAGTACGTCTGACATTCGCTTTCTGTCCATCATTCTGCAGCTTAACTCCTGTCTGAAGACACATCTTGTCGAATGTCGGTCGCGTTGTTGCACGGGACAGCAGTCGAACAAGTGCCATGGTGCAAGATGTGTTCGTTGCCTTGTGCGAAGATCACTCTATCTATCCACTATTTAAGTCAATGCGAGGTACGTTGACGACTAAATCCGTTCTGAGACCACAGTAATTGACCAGGGTGCAGTCTACCAGCAAATTGAGACGCTATCGCAGACACCGAAGCCGCAAAGGAACAAATCGTTTTCGCGCAGCGACCGACCGTCTCTCTCGAACTCGCGGTCTTCTCATCAGCAGGATCAAGGGTCGTCAGGTCGGGAGTCGTCTATGCAGCACCGCTCACGGAGCTCTGTTGATACGACAACAACGACCGGGACCGCCTCTGGATCGCGGTCTTCTTTCGACCGGACACGCAAGAAGCTGATGAACGGCAATCGCAGCTCGAACGAGGACAGTGCAAACGGCCACAAGCGGACGGATTCTGGGCTCAGTGGTACTGAGGGGCCCCAAGAATCACCGGTGCATGAGGTGGGCATCTGATGCATGCATCTATCTATCTGTTCCTGATTGACGGGGATTGCCAAGACGTCCTTGCAAAAGGAGTTCGATATGCTCATGAGGTCCGACTCAACGATGAAGGTTTCGTTGACGCCAGACAGATTGAAGACCATGGAGGTGCGTGCGACGCTCGGTGGTATCAGTTATGTAATTGATGGCCGGCTAATGATTTCTGCATAGGTTCACAGGCAAGAAAAAGGGTTGCGCGGGACACGACGGCCGGCCCCTCTCACAGTCGGCAAAGAAGAGCCGGCGCTTCCTCCTTCTTCCTTTGCACCATCATCATCACGGGCGAACGGCAGACGGCCTTCTCTCCGGCAGGTCGACTCTATCGTGGAAGACGAGGAAGAAGCCCCTAGATCAGTTCCCACGCAGCCTCCTAGTAGTCATCACCCCTCCTCTTCTCTTTCTTCCACGACGACGACGAGAGGTGTTTCGTCCCTCACCACACTCGTTTCGGACACTGCCCCTCCTCTACCCAACATGGCCTATTCACGACGCACAGGCCCCATGGGCTTTGACAGCGAGCCCTCGTTTCCTCAGAAGACGCGACGGATCCAGAAGAATCGCGAATCTCTCGACCTTGACGACGTCATGGCCGGCTCCGATGAAGAGAACGACGCACCTGAACCAGCCCCAGTACCTACAGCGACTCGTGCCCCGGTCAAGACGTCGTCACCCACCACCCCTCGAAGGATGAACGGGTCGCCAGGAACAGTGTCCAAGTCGACGCGCGACCTGATGGACTTTCTGAATGATGGGCCGCCGGATGTTCCGCCTCCCAAGGTGTCGGCCGCCGGGCGGGATATGATCAATTTCCTCAATCAGGGGCCGCCCGAGTCGTTTGGTGGACCGAATGGGCTTCCCCCCGTGCAGCAGGAAGGGAAGAAAAGTTCCGGGCGGCTGCAGCGGATGATGTCGAGGTTGGCGATGGGCGCGGATAAGGAGAAGAAGACCGGCGACGATTCGGGGCGAGCGAGCACCATCCAGCGTCCGTCCCAGTCGATGCCACCAACGACTCCCATCAGGACTACGGGGAACGGCCTAGCGCATCAAACGTCGTACAGTTCGCTCGCGAATCGACCGGTGCCGCCCCGTCCTCCTCCAACTCAGCCGATTTCACCGCCGTTGTCGCCTTCAGATGACGGGTACCAGCAATACTCATCGTCAACGGCAGGATCTAGATCGCGCAAGTCGTCTGTTAACCAGCCTCGGGCGATGCCGACTTGGGAGCAGCAGATAGAGAACGGTCAGATGCCCCCACCACCGACTACCAACGGACACGTGTATAGCCGACCGACGGCTGTCATCCCCATCTCACCGACTGCACCAGCTGCTGCCGTTGCTGCAGCCGCCGTTGCTGCCGAGGAGCAGCAGCAAGCTGCGGTGGCGGCGGCGGCAGCCAGTGCTCGGGTGCCTCGTCAAAAGGCCGTGTCTGATGCCAGCCGACGGGTGCCGCCGAAAACGACGATCACTACGTCATTACCTCCGCCACCTTCGCCTGTCGTCCAGCGCAAACCGAGCCCCAGCCCGGTGGCGACGACCCCCGCCTCAACAAACGCGATTGCGGACGAGGACGCACGTGATATGCGACGGCTCCTTTCGTGTGCGTCGAATGTGGACGAGTGCCGGCTGCTGTTCGAGATGTTCCTCGCCAAGGCCGGCGTTTCGGGGGCCGAAGGGAACGTGCCTACTACCGGGAGGGGGTTCGAGGTCCCGTATCCGTCTCCCTCGCTTTCCAATGACGACGGGCATCAGAACAAACTGATTCCCTCGGCGGCGGATGCTTCGTTGGAGTTGTCGCTCGTTGAGCTGTTCCTGGGGGGCGGGGGTGTGTTCGAGGAAACGAAAAAGCCGGAGGCTGAGGCCGCGCCGACCAAGTACACCCATGCTCCATTGGAAACCTATACCCCTGTAGCTCAAGTGGGTGCTTGAAGTTCAGTTGATACGGATTCGGAGTTGGATTTACGGATACTCAAACTACTTACTTACGCTAAGTAACTCACACTCGCTTGCCCATGCTGATTTGTAACTTAATCTTGTTTATACGTATCTTGTTGAGGCAACAAGCTGGTCCGTACTAGATGATTGGGTACTGTAGTAATTCTGTTTTAGTTACCTATGATACTGTGCATGTGCGTCGGATTGGCATCATGTTGGCGGTCGATAGCGACCGTATGGGAAGCGAAAAAAAAAATCAAGCGTGATGACCTCCCATCCTATGTTTTGCATCAGGCTTTATACGTCCGAGTCTGAGCTTGAATGGCATTGAGCATGGACAATGCATGTGGCTGTGCTATGCACCTCATCAAATCACGTGCAGCCATTGTCCTCTCGCTTGCCATCACCCGCACTGTTCTGCAGACAATGGAGACTAAGGAAGTATATATGCGGGGCGTGAGCGGGAGGTATGTCTACACTCACTTCTTGAGCAACTCGTCTCTTCGAGCTCACTTCGCTCTCACTTTACCAGCGGCACGTCTTCTTATTTCGTTCACGACTTACGACCTTTACATTCACGATGAGCTGTGCGTTCTTTCCTCACTTCTCATCCATAACTGAAAAGACTGACATCCTTTCTCAGTCCCTACATTTCGCCGCCAATCGCGTGTCACCCGCCGCAACACGATCAACAACCTCACGAGCATCATCGAAGAAGATGAATTCGGCGTCATCTCGACTGCCGCCGCACCGAAAAAGAACAGCCTGAAGGCCCGCCGCCGACTCGGTGTCTCCGACCTGCGCATCCCCGCCTCTCTTGCATCCCCCGAGAAGAAACGTTTCTCGCTGCCTCCGCGGGCACGCGTGCCCTTATTCGCGCAATGCCCCACATCCGATTCGGACGACGAAGAGGATTACGGAACCCCTTGTGTCTCTGGCTCGAGCTCCGATAGCTCGTCGCCATCGACGCCCAGCCATAGTCCGACAAGCGCCTCGTTCCCCGCCCCTCCGCTTTCGCTCAAATCCATCCGCCCGCTGACAATTGTCAAGCGCCCCGTGTCGCCCATCTGCTTCGCGGAGGGTGAAGAAGAACAGCAGGAGGCCGGCTGGCAGGATGAAGAGGAGACCGAGTCAGATAATGAATATTACGCCCAGCATGCCAGCGGGCTGGTTACTCTCCGCCCTGAGGCCGCATATATCCTCCTGCCAAGACGCGAGTCAATGATCATCCCCATGCCAAACCGCCTCAGCCTCAACCTGCCTTCGTCGATGGGTGGGTTTGTGCCGAGGAACCGCTCCGCGTCGGAGAAGTCGGAGGTGGACGTGCCCGTTCCCAACTTCTCGCGGCCGAACCTGCGGGTCTCGCTGGTGAGACCCCCGCCGAGGTCGCCTGTCCCAATGGACGCTGGCGACTGTGCGGATGAGTACGTTGTCTATACGCCGTCGCGTGAGTTGCTTCTTGCTGGTAGTTTTGTTTAATGTTAACCCCCTCATTTCAGCTTCACCCTCGTCATCATCTTCGACTTCCTCCTCCTCGTTGGCCGCTCTCCTCTCTCCCTCGGGATTCCCGCCCGAGTCTCAGGGTTTGCCGTCCGATGTTGATGCCAACGACGATGAATGGGAGGAGTGTGATATCGAGGTGATGTATGACGAGATTCCGTTGTCGCCCCAAGCCGGATCCTCTGAGCCGGCCTCGCCGCATATATCGACGGTCATCCAGCAGGAAAAGAGCACCCCACCCCCCATCCCGCCGAAGTCGGCTCACGTCGAGCTCTTGACGCGCTCGACAACGCCTCAGCTCAAATCTCGCTGGTCGTCCTCGACTTTGTCGTCGATCAATTCTGCGCAGGACGCGCCTTCGCCTAAGACGTTCAACTCATTTGCGAGCCGGTACTTCCCGAGCAGCACCAGCAGTCATAGCAGCAGCAAGAAGTCTGCCCACCAATCCCCCAAATCGCCTCTGTCTGTGTCGTTCTCGCCCAAGAACCTGAAGCGGAAGACTGCCAAGAGGCGCATCACTGCCGCGGACGTCGTGATTGTGCGCCCTGCTACCTCCGGGTCGTTGATGGCTGCTGTGTCCTCAACTGCGACTGCTACCGCGACCTCGCCGGTGTCGCCCAACGGCCAGTGGGCTTCGTACCCGACCTCGCCGAAACTGCCGCCTGTGATCCGGCCAGCTCCCACCAAGGAATACAAGGAGTTCAAGGATGTCCCACTCAGCCCTGCGCTGGTTACTGCGTACACGACGCAGCGCTCCCCCCGGCGTCGAACGTCGAATGCAAGCGCTTGGTCGTTTGGGCATCCGCGCTCGGCGAGCTCTTCGGGATGCTCGAGCTCGGGGATGTCGGACTGCGGATCTGAGATCACCTCGAGCTCGACGTCTAGCAGTGGGTTGCGGAGGAAACCGATTCCCGTGGAGATGTTCCTGCGGTGAAAAAATCTCATGTTTTCTGATTATATCTACCTAATGCCCATCATCGTCCATCAACTGCTATCGTATTTATTCTCTTCGCTTTCTTTTGCCTACCGTCACGACTTTGAAACACACACACACACACTACTATCACCTACATCTGCCTTTCTTGCTCTCCTCGTCTGCTTTCTCCCTCTCTGTAGCCTTACTATCTCGTTCATCTTGTATCACTACCATCCCTATCGTACATACCTTGTCAATGACAGAATGACTCCACGAGTTCATGCCCATATTCACATTGTCGCTCATAATTTGAGCCAAAGACGCAGATACCGCTTTTCTTGGTTTCTACTCAAAACGTCCATTTATCGTCTTTCTGGATGAACGGAAAGGTAGCAAGATCGGCAACATGGTCACGTGCATAGTCTCCGCTTACGGTAAGAGTAAACCAGAGACTTGCATATCGAACGTCTCCTTAGGCCCCTCAGAATGTCAAGCGGACATCTGTAGGGTGTGATGGATAAGGCAGGCACAAGGATGAAGCGCTTAAGTATCTGGAGTGGCAAGTCTTCGTCGGATCTCCTCGATGTTCTCCGAGTATCCTGCTCAATCCACGCTTGAAATTCAATCTTCTCACCGATCCCTAAGAGGAGCAATTTCAGTGTCGAATTCCCTCTTACCATACTTTATAAGAAAGACAATGCCGACTTGTTTTGATAAGCTCAAGCGTGTTACTTATAAATGGATTATCAGAATTCGTGATCTACTATGCACTGGGGCAGATGACTTCCCACGGCCAAATAAAACATGCGACTGTTGCGTGCTCCAGAAATCGAGTTCGGTGAGACTGAGCCGGCCTTAATGTTGTCATGCCCACTGTGTGTGCTCAACGCTAGCCTTAGTATGACATCCAACCTGGCACGTCGGGCCCATTTGGAGAAGAGTCCAGTGCGCATTGGTACAAGCATGGTGCCACTGGGGTATCGGACCGCATCCGGATCGTAGCACATTCGCTCACCGGTAAGAACCTTGATTTATTCCCGGAGAGGCGTGCTGCAGCTATGCCAACCTTCCAGTCGTCTTCTTTCTTGCAGACGTGAGCGTCCGCACAAGCATGGCAGATTGACGGGGCTCGTGCGCCTGCGTGTTGCCACCTGCGCCTGTATGTTTTCTCTCTCGCCAAGTGCAACGTACATAATTAATTGCGTTTTCGAGAGGGAGAAGAACGGCGTTCGAGTGGAGACCAGTAGATAGGTTTCGGATCGATAGCAGTCAGGTGGACGAACTTCGCATGTTTCGGGCGAGGTTCAGAAGTTGAGTTTGAACAGATGATGTTGGGGACGCGAGGACAGGATTAATTTCATGGGCCGTGGGCTGGCTGAATAACCGACTGCCCGAGGGGAATTGACGTTGGGGCACGAACTGTCCCCGAAGAGAAGCGACAATTGTCCCTGCTTGCTGGTCGGTCCTCGAAGGCCAAAGAACAACTCGGAATGAATACACCGGATGAGACCCGGGGATGGCAGCCCTTCAGCAGTGAGGCTACTTGAAGAAGCTGATAGCGACACAGTCGCAGGAGACCGAGAGGAGCAACTTCCCAAAACGGCAACGAATACTATCTGTCTCTTGTCTGCGTGCGTCCACCTTGGTCTACCTCCTTCCTCCCTTCCTTCTTCCCTCCATGGCTGCGCTGCTCGCACTGCTCAAGCCAGTCGCCTATGTCTCGCTCCCCTTCGTTGCGTTGCAGTCCTGGCCGTTGGGGAGATATTACTCGCGCACCGTAGTGTACGTGAGCACGATGGGCTTCGTGGCCACCATCAGCGCCTTTGTGGCCGCCGGCATGTCGGCCATGGGCAGCCGCTTTGATGTCAACTTCGTCGTCGCGCGGACGTTCTATTACCTCGCGGGTTCGGTGCTGGGAATCACCATAGAGATTGAGGGCGAGGAGTACTTGAGGGACGAGAAGGATGGCGGTGCGATGCCTGCGGTGCTCCTGGCGAATCACCAGAGTATGCTAGATATTCTTCCCGTCGGTCGGTGCGTCCCAGCATGCACGCTCATGCGCGCTCAGCTGTGCTTACTATCATATAGCGCGATGCCCAAGCAAACGTCGATGACATCGAAAAAGTCGCTCCAGTTCTCACCCCTCGGGCCCTTTATGACGATGTCCGGTGCGATCTTCATTGACCGAGGAAACTCTGCAAAGGCGATGCACTCGCTCGACGACGCCGTCAAAACCATGCGCGCAAAACGCATCTCCCTGTGGATGTTCCCCGAAGGAACCCGCCATCAGTCGCCTGAACCTTCGATGCTTCCGTTCAAGAAGGGCGGGTTCCATCTCGCTATCCAGGCCGGTTTCCCGATCATCCCTATCGTTTTTAGCAACTACTGGAGTCTGTACCACAAGGGCGTGTTCACTAGTGGGACTATTCGTATCAAAGGTGAGTTGTTCCACTAACGCTCGTCACTCTAGACTAAAGGTCAACCTTCAAGTGCTTCCCCCGGTGCCCACTGCGGGCCTGACGAAAGCCGACATCCCGGAGCTCATCGAACGTGTCCGGGGCCAGATGATCGCGACTCTCATCGAGATTTCGCCCGCTGCACCAGCATCAGCTGAGGTCCCATCCAAAGAACAGCCCACTGTGGCAGAGGAGGTGGTCTCCGCCGCTGTGAGCGAGAGTGTGCGTGCCATGCCAGACGATGCTACCATCGACACCGTCAACGCGGAGAAGACGCCCTCGGCGACGGCTACCGAGGTTTCATCCGTCGCTGGGTCTTCGAACGACAGCGTCGAGACCGATCAGGAAGAAGAAGGCATGGTTCTGGTCGGGCGACCAGTCCCAGCGTAATCACGGAGCCGGAAGGCGATACCACAAACTTAACTGACGTTTTATCTGCGTATAATGGATCTACTTATGATTGTTAACGATGTTCAGCGTTGAATAGAGCGTACCATTGGATTGTGCTATCTGCTTGGGACTCAAGATCTGGAATGCTCTTTCATCTGCAACATGGACAGCCGAAACAATCCGACAGCTTGACCAGTTCACCGTGGGTGTTGAGACTTGAGAAGGAAACTCAGTCAGGCTTGGACCAGGTCCTCAAGGGCGAGATTGGTCACCTGCAAGGCTTCGGCATTGCCTACGAAAGCTCGATCCCAGCATACATCTCTTATCGCGCGAGACATCTTACAGCTTGGCTTAGAAAGATACGCGTGCATCCTACAGGATCGCTGGTCATGCTCCGGGATCTCTTCGGCCTTGGTTCAGCGATATTGAGGGAGGATTCCAGTCGGGTATCCTGGCTCGAATAACGACAAGCATCCGTTGCGAATCCTTCCCGGGCTAAGAGGTTGCCGACATTGAACAACATGTTCGCGAAGAACGATCGCGTTGTTGGACTCAACCACGACCGGATCGAGTGCCTTTCGGGGCAACTTTCCTGGCGAGGTGATCACCGGGAGGACATCATCCATCTGCAAAGCTTCAGAGTCAAGACTCGACACCTGACTTGGGGTCGGGCACTATATGTCCCAGTCGACAAACCTTATCTGCTGACCTTGCTTGGAAAAATATGGAAATATCGCTGAGGAAATGAGATTGGGACCTGCCTATTTTGCATTCGTAGGCCCTCCGAATCATTTCATTCATGCCCACAGGTCACTGACCACCCAGTGTGGCTCAGGAACTGGCACGAATGAGTTCTGAGCGGCCTGCGATAGCAGACTTGAAAGCAGACATCAAGGTCCAAGAAGACACATCTTTTAGTGCGCTACAAGATCAAGGGATTTGAAGGAACTTGAGACCTTCAACAGATCATCGACACACAGATGAAATCCGGTGATCATGAACCGCAAAGACGTTGTGGCAAAAGTACCTTTAGTGAATTCGCTTCAGGATTTCTCCGACGTCCGTAGGGTCGTCTGGCAGAGGAGGGCACTGTGATCTTTCTACTCGCATATTTCAACACAGAAAAATCGATCAGCGGATCCGTCATTTTTCATCGTTAGTTGCCTCCGACTGCACAACTGTTCTATGCCTTGCTCAATCTTATCCTCACAGTTGGGTGATGACGTATCGTTGATTTGTCCATCAAACTCATCTTGCTCTCATGCCATTTGTGGACTAGTATGAATGAACTCAGCGGTCCTAATGCGCATCTGTCCTCGCCATGATACCTCGCGCACTTCTGTGTCAGGACATTCGCCGTAGAGCCGGCTTCTCCGTGCGTCTCGCCGGGTCAAGCGTATATCACATTCCACGTTTGGTGCTCCGCCTCAAATTTGAATGGCAGCTTGATCCTTGTCCGACGATGGCTGACCCGTTCCCGTTCCGTGTTTCCCACTGTACGCCATCCTTCCTTTCCATGCCTGTCCTGCAGCCACACTCGGAACTGCCGTCTCTCCCGCACATCTACCGGGATGATATCCGATCGCGCGTGTTCACGCACCGGAGCTACTTTGGGAGGCCCGCTAATGTGTTCGAGGACCCGATCGAGGACCTGAGCCCGGATAATGAGAAGTGGGTGTGCGATGGGAGAGCTGCGGTGGAGTGTGCTCATGCAATGCAGATTGGAACATCTGGGTGATGCGGTACTGGGATTTGTGACGACGAGCCTGATCATGGAGACGTATCCGGGACTGCGAGTCGGGCCCTGCACGGCGAGTTTCGACCACACATTCTTTCCTCCTATGTCTGCTGAGAGAAGGGTTGCAGAAAGTGCGTTCGTTGATTGTAGCGAACACGAATCTGGCGGATATGTCTGTGCCGATCCTGTTCATCTACCATCATTTGACCTGTTCGGCAGCTCTCTCAAGTACAAGCTACCGGAGAACCTGATCGTGCATCCCGCCCAAGCTGATGCATTGCGAGTGTCACCTAAAGTTCAAGGTGCGGGTGATGATTTAGCTGTTGTATCGCGTTGACTATCCTTCCAGCCGATCTCTTTGAGGCGAGTCTTTGGAGACCAGGTGGACTCTCATCTGACATGGATTAACAGTCGTTCATCGGAGGATTGTACCTCGATCAAGGACTGGAGACGGTCCAAACCTGGCTGTTTGCTCTGTTACGGCCGTATGCACGAGTCGCCTACCAATCAGTCCGTCGCGAGCATGGTCTCGTCACGCCTCCGGACTCCCCCACGGTGCCCACGAGTTCCCCCACGAGCCCTCTTCTCCAACCGTTGACACCCTCCGAAGTCAGCGGTTATCTTTCGCGCTTCAACGAGCATCTGCAGAAGACGAATCGCCGTGTCGAATGGACTTACTCGGCACGCGATCCTTTCGGTGTGGATCTTTCTTCGGGAAGTGGGGGGAAAGCTACACCGATGTGGTTGGCGCAAGCTATTGTGGACGGACAAGTGTATGGAAGAGGATTGGGTAATACCAAGAAGGCCGCGAGAAACGAGACGGCGAAACAGAGCCTGGCCCTCCTTGGTGTCGTCTCTCTGTGATCTTTCCATCTCCAATATGTACCAGATTGATTTATACGGACCGATGTACTTGTAGTATATATATGTATACAGATTGCTTGTAAATTCAAGTTGTAATCAGGCAAGCCGATCATCGAGCCTGATCACGTGCCTCCAATTTTTTGCCTCGTCCTCCGTAGCCATGCCTGATTCTGAGCACACGCGACGAAAACCCACGTTCAGCACACTCGAGCGCGAGCACTCGTTCCGAAACCCGCCAACAGAAGGCTCAACACACAAAATCCTGAATGAGTTCGTGGCACCGCATATCGAGTCTTTCAACGCGCTCTTCGATGATTCGGGACTGCCCTCTGGAGACGGCGATGGGCGGGGACTGATCAGTCTCGGTTTGGAGGACATAGGGGAGCGGGTTGTGTTTGATGGGAACGGCAAAGCCGATGAGCGGGGGTGGGGGAACCAGATGCGAAGTACGTTCGTCTCCTGCGGTCGCGTTCCTTTGCACATGTGCCTCAACACGTACGCGCATAGTATGGATCGAATCTGTCGCTGTTGCGCGCCCGATGGTCCCCGAAAAGGACAGACACTCGACGAACCGAAAGGTGTTCCCTTCCGAAGCGCGAGAGCGGCTGACATCCTACCGCGGGCGCATGACCATGAAGCTCTGCTGGACGGACCCGCAGGGGCAGCGACACGAGATGCCGAAGGAGTGCGGACTGGTCCCGATCATGGTCCGCTCGACGCGCTGCAACCTCCGCGGGATGTCGTCTGCCGAGCTCGTTCGGAAGCACGAGGAGGCAGAGGAGTTCGGCGGGTACTTCATCATCAACGGAAACGAGAGGCTCATCCGATACCTCATTCTCCCCCGTCGAAATCACGTCATCTCCCTACTCCGACCTACGTTCGCTAATCGGGGGCCGTCGTATACACAGTACGCGGTCCAGATTCGATGTGTACGACCAGACCAGACTGCGGTCACCAACACACTGCACTACCTGTCGAACGGGAGCGCGATGCTGAGGTTCAGCTGGCGGAAACAGGAATACGTGATCCCGATCATGCTGGTCTTGAAAGCGCTCTTCGGCGCATCGGACAAGGAGATCTTCGAGGGCGTAGTGATGCAGGATTACGACAACACTTTCCTCACGGATCGGGTCGAGCTGTTGTTGCGGAGCTTCAAGATGTTCACCCTCAGCACGGGGGAGCAGTGCTTGGAGTATCTGGGAGACAAATTCCGCGTCGTGCTTGGAACGCCTGAGAACTGGACCAACCATGCTGTCGGCGCATATCTTATCAACAAGATGGTCCTCGTTCATCTGCAAAATCCTCGAGACAAGTACAGGATGCTGTTGTATGTCTTTCTTTCACTTTCACTTGGCAGAGGACGCTCAGCTGTGACAGGTTCATGCTTCGGAAACTTTACTCGCTGGTTTCTGGTTCTTGTGCGGCAGACAATCCCGACTCTCCCCAACATCAAGAAGTGCTGCTACCCGGCCAACTGTATGCTATGATTATCAAAGAACGGTTGGAGGAAACTCTGAATCAGGTCCGACTAAATATCAACATCGATGTTCGAAACGGCGTGACAGTGGATTTCAATGACAGTGAGTGGTATTATCCGGAAATGAGCGAGATCTGATGACCCATGACCAGAGAAATATCTGCAAAAAGTCTTCAGCAAAGTCAACTTCGACATTGGCTCTAAGCTGGCTAACTTCCTTGCGACGGGCAACCTCGTCTCGCCGACCGGCCTCGACCTGCAACAAGCCTCCGGGTTCACGATTGTCGCGGAGAAACTCAACTGGCTGCGGTATATCAGTCATTTCCGCTGCATCCACCGCGGTGCCTTCTTCGCCGAACTCAAAACGACGACCGTCCGGAAACTGCTCCCCGAGGCATGGGGATTCCTGTGTCCGGTGCACACACCCGACGGCTCGCCCTGCGGGCTGCTCAACCACCTGTCGCGCACGTGTCGGATCGTGACCGCTCCGCTGACGGTCGCGCACATCCCCGCGCTGCTCGCGGCGCACGGGATGACACAGGGGTTCTCTTCCGCCGCAGTCGACGGGACTAAGAATGTATGCGTGCAGCTCGATGGGCGGGTGATTGGGTGGGCGCGGCCGGCCGTGGCGGCGCATCTGGCCACCGCGCTGCGGGTGTGGAAGACGGAGGGCCTCAATCAGGTGCCGCTGGATCTGGAGATTGGTTTAGTGCCCGAGTCGCATGGGGGCCAGTATCCGGGTCTGTTCCTGTTCTCGACGCGCTCGCGGATGATGCGACCCGTGAAGTATCTTGCGAACGGGCGGGATGATCAGGTTGGGCCGTTCGAACAGGTCTACATGGATATCGCTTGCACGCCGGAGGAGATCGAAGTGGGCGTGTCTTCCCATGTCGAGCACAACGCGACCAACTTTTTGTCGATATTGGCTAATCTGACGCCGTTTTCGGACTTTAATCAGAGTCCGCGAAACATTTACCAGTGTCAGGTGTGTGCACCTGAGTTCTCTCGCAAGTCTCCTGGCTGACCTGCGATGTAGATGGGTAAACAGTCGATGGGCACACCCTCGACGGCGCTGCAGCACCGGGCAGACAACAAGTTGTATCGACTGCAAACAGGCCAGAGCCCTGTCGTCCGGCCCGCTCTGCACAACACCTATGCCATGGACGCCTTCCCGAACGGGACCAACGCCGTGGTCGCTGTCATCTCCTACACAGGGTACGACATGGAAGACGCCATGATCTTGAACAAGTCTGCGCACGAGCGGGGCTTCGGCTACGGGACCGTCTACAAGTCGCAGATCGTCGATCTCCGCGACATGCACGGGGCTGCGAAGACGAGTGCGCCGACGCTGCATTTCGGGCTGGGCCGCGACATCCAGCGCCGAGGCGAGCGTGCGCACCACTGCCTCGACTTTCTGGACACGGACGGGCTGCCCTTCGTAGGCACGAAGCTCGACTCGGGGGACCCAATTGCCGCGTATATTGACGACACGACGGGTCGGACGCGCTTTGTGAAGTACAAGGGCGGGGAGCAGGGCCTGGTCGACCAGGTGCGGCTGCTGGGGTCGGATGCCGGGGACTCGGAGTTGCAGAAGATCCAGATCACGCTGCGGATAACGCGGTCGCCCGTAATTGGCGACAAGTTCTCATCGCGGCACGGGCAAAAGGGTGTTTGTTCGCAGAAGTGGCCCGCGGTGGACATGCCGTTCAGCGAGAGCGGAATGCAGCCGGACGTGATCATCAACCCGCACGCGTTCCCTAGTCGAATGACGATCGGGATGTTGGTGGAGAGCATGGCGGGCAAGTCCGGTGCGATGCATGGTCTGGCGCAGGATGCGACACCCTTCAAGTCAGTTTCCGCCCGTCCGAATCTCTTTCCCTGGCTGATGTCTTCTACAGATTCACAGAAGAGGACACGGCGGTCGACTACTTTGGAAAACAGCTGCTCGCGGCGGGATACAACTACTACGGGAGCGAGCCGATGTACTCGGGGATCACGGGCCAGGAGTTCGCGGCGGACATCTACCTCGGCGTCGTCTACTACCAGCGCCTGCGCCACATGGTGCTCGACAAGTTCCAGGTGCGGACGACGGGGCCGGTCGACCCGGTGACGCGCCAGCCCGTCAAGGGGCGCAAACGTGCTGGTGGAATCCGGTTCGGCGAGATGGAGCGCGATGCACTGATCGCGCACGGAACGTCGTTCCTGCTCCAGGACCGGCTGATGAACTGCTCCGACTACTCGACCGCCTGGGTGTGCCGCACGTGCGGCAGCCTCATCTCGCTCGGCTACGAGGACGTCTCGCTTGGGGCGTCGGGGCGGCCATCGGGCCCTGGCGGGGAGTACTGCCGTGTCTGTCGGGCCGCGGCGGACCAGCAGGATGAGCGGGAGCGAGCGGCGCTGGCTGCTGGACGCCCGGCTGCGACGCCCCCGGGTGCCGATCTGCGCGTCTCGATATCGTCGCAGCACGTTCTCGGCACGGGAAAGGGCGGGGATCTGGACGTCGTTGCAGTCCCGTACGTCTTCCGCTATCTTTGTGCAGAGCTCGCGTCCATGGGAATTGCCGTCTCTCTTGCTGTATCCTAGAAGCTATCATTCAAAATCGCACATGTATATATCTACTTATCGCAGCATTCAGCGTTACTTTGAGATGCGCGATTGATTTTGGTCGAGTCCACGGCACATCCCAGAGGCGGCAATTTCCGGATGATAGTACCGTGCCTCTTATGACCAAAGCGTAGAGGGTTGCTACACTCTTCCTCGGATTCGCTAAAGTGGCCAGCAAGTAGTTGCGTAAATACGAAACCGCGGCGGCCGATTAAATCATACATTGCGCAGCAATCTCTTCTGTTCCAACTAGGGCAAATGGCAATCAGTTCAATTGGCTGCGCTTACGAGAGTTTGTCTCTCCAAAACTCCTGCAGCTCTGACATCCACTGATACAAAAAGGCCTATATTGTTTTTCACTCGCTATGTGTCGTTTTGAATGACAAGAATATTCCGTTCCATCGAAGAAGCACACTGTGGATAATTAGATCCGCTTTCAATACGGATAAAGTGGCAAGACGCATCACATTTGTCGACAAGGGCTGGTTAATATTCTTGGCCCTCGAGTCTCACAAAGGCTGTTCCTTCTCTCACTCCACAGCGTTACGAGAAATATGGAGCCGCTTCTCAGTATCGTTTCGCCTTACACGGGCACAGCAATCCGGGGCACGTCGTGCGCAATATGGCTCTGTTCGCCTCCAGCCAGCGGAGACCGGCGTAATCGCGCGTGCTATGGCAACCGCAGTGGTGTCGCACCCCCATTCCAGGATCCCCGCTTCGGTAATGAGACTGGAAGGGATGTGCCGAGCTCGCCGGCGCTGTGCGTGGTATTCAGTGGTGGATTTTGCAAGGTGGTATCGGTGTGTTAGTGCGGGGGAATCCGTCGCTGCAGGACGAGGTCAGCGAGGGTTTAAAAGCTGCAGAGGCCGCGCAGAGAATACTCCAAGGTCGAATCAACCTCAGCGTCCTTTGAATCCTCGACTCGAATATGCGCTTCCAAACCCTGACTACCCTTGTTCTGGCTGTCTTTGCCGTTGGCGTCGCGGCGGTGCGTGTCGCACAGAGTCGCATATGATATTCGAGATCGCTGATAATGTGGACATTGGCTGCTGCAGGCCCCGACCCCCAGCACCGAGCAGTTGGAAAAGAAGAACTACGGCCACGAGAACGGCGACCACGGCAAAGGTCACGGCGAAGGTCACGGCCACGGCAACGGGTATGGAGGCGGGAACAGCAACCACCGGGGCGGCGGCGGCGGCGGCTACTACCCGGTCTGCCTCATTTTCACCGCGTTTGTGCGCCTCTTGCCCGTCTAAACTGACGACGGGCCCCAACAGCTAGCTGAGAGACGCTTTGGCCCCGGGCCGGCAGAGGGCCCTGGCTATGGCGGCGGACAGCACGGCCACCAGGGCGGGCACGGCGACCACGGATACGACGGAGGGTACGGTCACAACGGAGGTCACCACGGAGGCCATTACGCTGTGCGTCGGTTTCGTCGACTCGTCAGATAGCCTGGCTGACGGTTCTGCAGCTCGAAAAGAAGGGATTCGGATACGAACACGGTGGCGAGGGGCACCACGGCGGTCAGGGATATGGTGGCGGTCATGACGAGCACCACGGTGGCCACTACTATGCTGTGCGAGACGGTTGGCGTTCTTTGAACCGTGATCTGACGATAGCGCAGCTCGAAAAGAAAGGCTTTGGTTACGGACACGGTGGCGAAGGTCATCAGGGAGGTCACGGATACGGTGGCGGTCACAACGGCCACCACGGTGGCCACTACTATGCTGTATGTGACCCGCTCTGCTGTGAGAAATGTCGTTCTGAGGATGTGCAGCTCGAGAAGAAGGGGTATAGCCACGAGTACGAGCACGAGCACGGTGGCTACGGCGGAGACCGCGACGGTCACGGGCATGGCGGACACAACAACTACGCCGTATGTTCCCGCGTTCTGTTTTTCTTTAGCTCGCAGTGCTCAGCGACGCGACGGACAGCTGGCCAAGAAGGGTTTGCTGCTCCCGATCTTTGGGAACGGACATGACGGATACGGGCATGGGCACGAGGACCACGGCTACGGTCACGGACACCCCGGCTACGGAAACGGGGGCCACAAAGGATCTGTGAGCAGACTCACCATCGTTCTTCGCACCTTGCCCTCGTTAATTCGTTTCGTTCTCTGCCCGCAGTACGCGAAGAAGGACGAGATCCCGGCCGAGACCGCTGTCTCTTCGGTCAAGGGAAACATCGTGCCCTACTGAGTCTCCAAGATGCGTCCTCCGATTCGGCATGCGTCAAAGTAAAGGGATGAGAATAAAGAATTAGTCAATTTGTACCACCACTGGCTGTGTTTAGGAATCCACGTTTGCATATTACTTACTATCAGCTCACCAACAAACAATTCAGCCAAACGACTATCCGAGTCGCTCGCATATATCCAGTCCTCTGACTCCTCTCGAGATAAAACAATCACCCAGTCAGCTATTTACACGCTGCAGATCGTTTTATTCGGGTACTTTATCTCCCCGCAGACTGTGTGATTTAAAGATGCTGATAAATAGATCACACGCAGGCACCCCTCCGGCACGACACGCGAGCGAACGTGACCTCACCCACGGACTCCCAGCGAAAACCGCAGGTCCGAGACCTCGATCGTCGAAATGTCCCGCACCGGCACGTCCGTCGTGATCTCCTTGATATTCAGCAGCACGCGCGCGCCGATCAGCGCCATGATCACCGTCCCCGGGCTGCCCAATGTGTGCAGTACGTCAGTCGTCCAGATCCATCAAGAGCAGCACACCACACCACACGACGTACATGACGGGTACCTGTGCAAGAGTGGGCCGCGCATCGCGCCACAGCACGAGCTCGACTGTGCCGACCACTGCAGATACCTGTGAGCTGGGGCGTCGATGTGCGCGATAGGATAGGGATGCACATAACAGGGAGATGAACCAGAACACGCCGTCCCGCAGGAAGAGCGCCATCACGGGGGTGTGGCGCCAGCCGAGTGTGGAGATCGTCGAGCGGCATTGGAGCATGGTCATGATGAACATGGTCAATCCCTCCGGAACGTCTCAGAGCCCGGATTTTGTCGCAAAGAGAGAGTATGCGCACGATGACGTAGGGTGGCAGCGCATAGAACGTGAATAGCCGAGGGACCTCTGCCATACACAGTGAGTTTCAGAGTGCCCCGAGTCGAGGAAGTTGTTCACGAACCGAGGGAGTAGCAGCCTTGCAAGACAGGGCTATGGGACACTATGAGATCGCTGATTATCGCTCAGAAAAACAAGGGAGGACCCAAGGTGGGCATATGCTGTTTGAAACTCAGCAGGCGGCACGTGGAGCAAGTGGGATTGAAGGTACGTACCAGTCAGTGGCCTAATTGTGTGATATCCCAACAACGACCTACAGGGTATTCAGCACCAAGTTCGGAGGACTGGTGATAGAGCGCGACATGGTTATGGCCTCCACTGGGACAGAAGCGTCAGTAATTGAGCGATTCTCAACCGTCAAGGAGGACTCACTTATCGAGAGTCCGATAAACAGATAGAGCACCTTGCGCGATCTATGGTAAAGAATCCACACTCTGTAGACTTCGGTAGCAGTAGGGGTAAAACGCGAGCGAAGACACCAACCGTAGGGCAAGGATAATATCAGTCAGCACGGTAACCAAGGTTGACGAGGCCATTTCCACCTGACAATCAGTCATTATGCGATTTCTGAGAGTCACAGGGCAGTCCTACAAGGAGCATAGTCTGGCAGCTAAGGACCGTGAAATTCGATGCGCGAGGAGTTATAGTGTCGACTCACAACTGTGTGTGGGTGTTTATCATCACTTCTGGACTGGCAGCTAAGGGACCACCCACCTTGTCCGAAGTTTGTTCTCGCAGCATGACTGCGAAATCGTGTTATCAGCAAGAACTCGAAAGATCAGCCCATGAAGTACATGACAAGTCGACGCTACATGCATTTCCAGCGCTCCAATCACAGAGAAGAAGGGGGTGTGTACGGACCTGACGGCGGCGAGAGTGAAGTAGCGGATCTGCGGACGACGCAGATCGCTCAGACGATTGTTGTGGCACAGGGCACGGAGAGCGTACGAAGATCTGAGAAGCAAAACCATCAACACGGCGGACCTCCCAAGAAACAGCAGTAGCAGACGTGACTTGCATAGATGATGTTCGCCAAGCTGAGGCGAGTTTTCCAGATCAACCGAATCTACAGCGTTTCCGAGTCGGTGGCAGCAGACCGGCGTCGCAAACAGCCTTACTTCGTATTCGAACGTCGAGATATACTCGTGCCTGGAGTGTGCAGATCAGCACGGTCGAAGCGTGAAGTAGTCGGGATGGATGTACAATGCGATGGTCAACAGCGCGACTCACGGACAAGCAGATGAGCACAAGATCGTCCTCACCGAAACAGAAGGCTCACCTGAGAGGTAATTCGTCGTCCTTGCGTCAGCTACGAGGTCAACGACCTGCTTTGCGGGGTCCATGCTCGCTCGGGAGGGTCTTCTGGAGACGAGAAGGTTATATACACCCACCCCTGCACTGCCCAGACACCGTATGCATCATTTGTCTGGGCAGAGCGGTAATCAGGGAATGCAGCGAATCCGCGGGGAGGAATCATGATGATCGTGCGCGCGACGCTCACAGCGTAGCTTCTCTTCTCAACAAACAACGGTCTCTTGCAGCGGCCGACCTCATCCTCATACCACAAACGGTGTACCTGCACTGACCCCTCTCGATCTTCTGTCCAAGTTTTGGCAAGCCAGACGCAGCAGCTCGAGCAGACAAACGAACGGCCCAGCCCCTTCAGGATCCCGGTCAAGATCAGCCGCGGCAGGTGACGAAATGCAAAGCGCCCGCTGCCCATCAGCACCCTGATCGAGAAGTCGAATAGGCACAGTGACGTCGATTCGATATGCAAACAGCGCTGGAGTTGCGGGATTTGAACGTCGAACGTCAAGATGGGGAGTGCTATCTGCGGCCGTGGGAGCCATCTGCACCACCGTGTGAGCCGTTGTTGAATTGATTCGTGCTTCTGCGTGGGTATTTAGAGTCAATCAGAGATTTTGAGACGAGACCAGGATCGCGGTGAGCCAGCACGATCCCAGGGAGTGGTGTACCGTCGTCCATAAGGGTCAAGGTCTGTTTTAGGAAAGTGCGATCATGATCCAATGCTGGGGTCCAGCGAGTGATCTCCAGTCACACCGTGACCTCTCCCTGGTGTGTCATTCGTCGTTACTCATCGCCTCGCCATCTCTTCATCCCATCGTTATCTGTCGCGTCGCGCTTGGACCAGCGCGGTCTATGTGTTCTTTGTGCGTACGGCTACAGCCTCTCATTCATATATATCCTAGCTACATATTTACACACCCTCTGTATTCAAACCCGATGAGAATTTTACAATTCTGATTACCCTCCGTAATACACGACCCTATCACTTTTCAAGGGCAAGGTCTGCTTTACCAACGGAAGAACGCGGAGACGCCTTCACCGACTCTCCCCCTCCTCCTCCACAGACGATGGGCCATTGCGATGGCTGCTCAAGCGCTCACACCTTGCCCGCCGTGTCAAGCCCTCAACAACAACGGTGTCAAGAACCCCAAACCGGACCGGCCTTTTTGACGCGGCAAGTCAAACTCACGTGATGGCCTCACATTAGCCGACAAGCAATGCTTTTTCTGTAGAGCATTGGTCCTAGGGTCTCTCAACATCCTAATATTCGCCGTACAACGAAAAAAAAAATTGTTTCTGAAGTGCGAAAGTACTAGAAGCCGCTGTCACCATCGACGACGACGGCGCTTGCTGTACCGAAAATGTCCCCCGATATCACCTCACTAAGCAGATATGAGGCATAGGGTCACGGAGTGCCAGGACCCCCAGCACTTGGTAAGTTCCCATCATCAAGATAGACCTTGACCCTTATGGACGACGGTAGTGGTGGGACCCATCAGGTTGAGATGATAACCATCACCTGCATCATGGATCAACGATGGTATCGATTCCATTCACGTGAGACACCAATCACAAACCCGGACTCCACCAGTCCTTCTCTGCTAGAGCAGCAAACCATCAGCCGCTTCTTGAATTTCTTCGATTAAACAGAACTCGACGGTCTCCCTGCCTGGGGCTAATTGGCTAGTTTCACATCCAGATTTGCTGAGAAGAAACTATCGCACGGCCGGAAGTCGATTCCATTCTATCTCCAGACCGCCACACCCTAGCAATTTCATTTCCATATGTGATTTACACAGTAATGGATTTTTCCCGGTGCTGTTGTACGGACAAAGCAAAGAACACTGAATCGGCACTGACACCTGACTAAGGACTTACTGCGCGCAGATGGTCAAAAGCGGGCTGCACGATAGTCAGCACCACCATGACATCGCTATACTCACCCTGCCCCGCGCAAAAGGAGTACGTGCGAGAAGTATTTGGAATCTGTCCAGTGTGTTTTATGTGCGCCGCAGAGCCAGTGGTCCAAAATCGGTTGCTGGCCGCCGTCGATAAGAATGTTGGCCTTCGGCAAGCCGGATCCGCTCATTCACCGTCCTTGCTGTCGTGTGCGTCGTCTTGTGCCGACCCCACCCCCTGCGCGTGGATGGACAAGGCATATTTCTCCGCTTCGATCTTTCATGTGTGTGTTGACTCGAACCGACGATCCTTACGCGTGACGGTCTCTCGGGTTCTTGCCGATGATACTGTGATTCTGCTCGTCTTCTAGCACGTCTGATTCTTTGTAGGAGACGTGCGCGCGCGTGGCCAGGACCGTCCCCAACATCGCGAAGTCTGGCTTGCCTTCTGTTGCCTAGATGGCAACAGCTGTTCTTCGTACGTTACCGGGATTTTCTCTTCTGATATATATCCAGTCCACATCCCAGGTCGAGTGCGCCGCGCCTTCCCTGATTTCCGTCTCGGTTGACTATATTCTGGTCTCGAGGTGCGTTTGTAGATGGCGCACTCGCCACGTAATTGAAATAGTTGGGCGGCCGGAGTATGGATCGTATAACCGGCGCCCGAAGAAGACGTGATGCATCTTTCGCACCTTTATCCCGGGTGAATGTACGCATGCCTGTCCCTCCTCCACTGCGTAGACCGGAATATCGGCCGACCGACGATATCCGTCTATGAGTCTGCGCTGTCTCCTTCGACATGATTTCTTCATCGATATTATGGGGGAGTTTCTCTCGCCTTCTCGTCGTTGGCTCCACTCATGCAAGGCCTCCTTTACGTTCAAGATGACACTCTATGAGTGCGGAGACACAGCGCGCACCTCTACTAACTGCGATATCGGGCAGCGGACGCCGATTTCGGCCATCTTGATTTCTTGTGCGAAACGGGCTGTTATCGTTCTTCATGACTCGTGCGCACTCCTACGCTACAAGCACCCCATCCGCTCGCCCCCATCAGGTTTAGAGTGTGGTGACAGGATCGTGAGATTTATCGTGTGCCGGTGGAACTAGTTCAACCTCTACTCCATACTTTTCTGACTGTGCCAGACCTGCTACCCGGTCCCCCTGATTTCCGTCTCGGTTGACTGTATTCTGGTCTCGAGGTGCGTTTGTAGATGGTGCACTCACCACGCAATCGAAATCGTTGGTCAGATTTTTCCGACAGGCTCGATTTCAGGTCATGCAACTCTTGAGCGGATTTCGATGGAGTCAGCCTGGCCGCCGTGATTGGGGCCCGTGTGATTTTGAGCGTCAACTGTCTCGCTGCTTCGCCTCGCTTGGACCACGATAACGAGAACACCGCGGACGCCGACTTGACATGGGGTTTAGCTTTCTTGGCAGCTTCAGGCTACGATGTGTCGCGTGCATACTACAGTGATGTCTCGCTGCTGAATTCAAGCTATGAGTATTTTCAACATATTCAAAGATTTTATTGCTCGGCCTTGAATATCGGAGGTCATAGATATTATTTCCATCCTCGGTGCGATGGTGAATCGCGATCACGAGGCGTTCGAACCAGAGGAGGCGCAGGAACGTCATCGTTGTCGTTCTATTGAAAAAACATTCTGCTGAAAACGAATCGGGGGCAGCTTAATGTGCGCCCAACGAAGCAGTTCTTTCCTGCCCAAAATGCAGTGATTGTCTGCATTTTGAGGTGTTCATGAGGGCATGCACATGTGCAGTTCCGAGTCTGGCACCAACGAAGTACAAGTCTCAAGTTGATTTTCTCTCGCTGTGATCCTCTCCGGTCAGATGGCCCGCACTAAATCCCCACCTTCGGTCCCGTGTTTGTATTTGCCACATCCACTGGGTGCCTGCGAATTGGAACTTGGAAGGGGAGTGGCTGTCCGCTTCCGTAAGCCAAGGGAAAGAACCGGTTCTGCCTGGTTCTGCCCATGATCCTGACCCACGTCATCCGGCTAAGCACATGCAATTGGCCCCGCGATTTGCCCGCAAGCTCGTGAATGTCCATACGATCGGCGCCTTCGAATTTCTCGCCACTCCTCCCGTGACCCTACGCAACGCCGACTCGGTACCGGCTGCCGGTGGAGGACCCATCTAAGGACCGGGGGCCGTCCCCTAAATACTGCTCACGTCCGCACGGGTGCCCGAGTTTCCGAAGTCCGTCCCCTACAACAGGATAAGCCAGTCTTACCCAGCTGTCTCCAGCGCCGCCGCGAGTGAGCAGGCTGCACGCAGGCGGAGGGAGCGACCGACACAGAGTTCGGCTTTCGATCAGCGATGGACGCTCCGGGGATACCTCCATTGCTCACGCCGCAGCAGGCCGAACAGCTTCTGCTGCTCATCAACGACGCGCAGTTAACGAATTACCTGGCTGGTGCGTTGGCGACATCTCTCGATCCTGCATATTCCGGAGCTCACCGCGCGTTGCGACCCACTAGTCGCTGCTTTCGTATTGTTAATGTGCGTGTCCGGTATTCCTTAGTGCTGTAAGTGGCCCGCCCTGATGTCGCATAACAGCATCGAACATATTGCCACCTTTCGAGAAGAAGCGGGTCCTCTCACCAAGATTGCGAGTCTGCCTCACTGATCCTTGTTCCATCAGTGCGACTTCGTCTGGCGGGCACCCTGCAATCTGTCTAGCGCGCTCTATGTGGGCGTCCAATTCTCCAAGAAGTACCATCAGCTGATGCAACATCTCCTCAATCCAGATTTGGGTCGGTCGTTCGCGTTGTCTCAGGACTGTGCTTACGACAGTTCTAGATCCGCTATTTCAGCCTCGTCGCTATAACGTGAGATACGTCTACTTCGTTTCCGCGCGTGCTGATTACCCGCCGCAGGGTTGAAATGTACAGTGGGTGCGACTCCTTGACGGCAAGCAGCGGAAGCTCACTCGTCCGGGCTAGCACTGCTCGCTGTACACACCAAGGATAAAGTCTGTCGCCTCCCCTGGTCTTTCTCGTTATCCGGCTCATGTGTGCAGACGTAAGCGGCGCGTGGTATGGGTTCTTTGTCTGATGGGCGTTGGAATCAGATGCCAGGCTCTCTTGTATGTATGTTGTTGGTCTCCGCTTTCGACTGGACAGAGGCGCTTATCATTCCGAAGGCTCAATTCGCAGGCTCCTCGGTGATTGTGGTTACGTCGGATTGCATCCTAGCTTTGCGGTAGATCTTCAGAGAATGCACCGTGGAGGGGTTGAGGATCTGACGTACGTCGGGAACAGGGTGTGGATTCTGTATCGCCGATCCCGGACCTTGCTGTATTTCTTTTCATTCCTGATGCTCGGTTTGTTTGAATCCCTGCCAGTAAGGTTTGGACTCAATTTCTTCTCAGCGGAAACCACTGTCTTGTGAGTCGTTGATCACAGGCCATGACAGCCTTGCTGATCAACTAACTGGTTGCTCAGTATCTACACGGGATATCACACAGTCGAGCCACTAACAGGTAAGAGCTTTTCGCTCCAGTGGTGTGGAATCAACTGATGCCGCTCTCACAGAATTCATCCACCTTGGGTTCGTTTGCATCGATTGCCGAAGCTTTGGTCTCATCTCCCTGGTTGTGACAGACCTCTACTGCCTGGATGTTACTCGCCAGGTGCGCTAAAGTCCAGCTCGAGGCGTTACTCTCCCATGCTCACATCCACACTCTCAAGCCAACCACCGGATCCTGACATACTACGCATTGCCTGAGCTAGTTCTGGTACGGCCGCACCTCCAGCCCATGTTACCGCAACCCTGATTAGAAGTGCAGTCGATTATGATGTTCGCGATGACGCTGTACAAGTGCCGCGCCTCGTCACTCACCCTGAGGGATGTGGGCATCGGGCGCACGCCGATCGTCGCCATCTTCTTGCGCGACGGGCTGTTCTGGTTTCTTGCCGTATTGGGTCAGTCGTGTTCGATTTCAGGGTGTCGAATCTAATCTAATCTGATTACAATCGCCCCGATCTCAGCTCTTGCGGTCACGAAGCTGATTCTGTGGCATGGCGGACGGCCGACGCTGGTAGAAGCTCCTATCGTGTAAGATTTGAATCCTTCTTCAGTGGTCAGCTTTTGCTGATATTCTGCAACTAGGCCCGCCACCGCGTACGTATCCCCTTCAACAATTCCAAGTCAGATCAGCTCATCGTCGGTGCCCTGCAGACTGGTCTCTGTGATTGGCGCTCGCGTGTTGCTGAACATCAAGAGCCTGGCCGCCCCGCTCAACCACCGCAGCCTGTACAGCACCTCCTCGGCTTCGGCCCCTGCCGACAGCGCAGCGAGAGTGACGTTCTCAGGGGGACCGCGGTCGCAGATCCGAACACACGGGACTTGGCGCGATGTTGCCGAAGATGATGGCAGTCACCCATGGGTCGTTAACAAGAGCTGGAAGTGATGGGCGCAGCACGCTGCACCCCATCCGTGGCTGTATTTTTGAACTGGATACCCGCGCCTTATGTAATGAATATATTTCTCCGAAGATACTCCGGTGGCGAGAGGAGTTTGCGCTTGGTAGCCACTCCACATGCCGATGGTGGTGCTCGCAGATTGCAGAGAACACAAGAATTATGCTTGAGCGACTCCCGCCTTCTCGCAAGTAGGGGGAGAATGAGTCGCGCGCATTAGCCAGCGGCCACTCCGTCCCTGGCGATTCGTGTGTACACGACCAGCCACGTGCACTACGGGATCGTTTCGTGCACAGCAGGATGCGAAGGTTTTGCATGTGCCCAGATGCACTGTGCATAATCCAGATCTCTATCGGTCAGCGATGGTGCAAGGCTATCTCCAATTGGCGCTTGACTGTCGCACGAATCTTTCTCGCTTATTCGAATTCTGCTGATGCATTCGGCCCGTCGAGTAAGGAGAGATTACCGACCCAGTTTTCCAACAGTCATACTGTCCTGCTTTTGTCGCTCGGGCGCCACTGCTGGACGTAGTTCATCATAGAACAAGGGCTGAACTGGCCCGAAGGAGATCCAAAGCAGGCCTGTCTGAGGAGAAGCGAGACCGAGCGATCGAGAAAATGTTGGACGCGTAATTCTCAGTGGGATTTGTTCGCCACAATGTTGGATGTTTCCATCAAAGCCGTTGAAAGTGGAGATACTCCTGTGGTTCAAGGGTAAATTTAGCTTAGAAAGGTCCATATGACACTTCTTGACGTCTGGGAGGGACTGGGCTACGTGATGCGAGTTGGAATACTGATTAGTACCTAGTTGAGAAGTTAAGACGCCACCGATGGTTCAGGCTATCGTTATTTCGTTGACTCATCGGTTATTCGAACGCACCAATCGACAGACCCTCAAACGAGCATTACGAGTTAGTTCGGGCTGAACTCAGGCTATCGTCCATGATGGCTGTGGTAAAGTACGATTCAGTTCCGAGTAGCGCTTACAATTGTCCCACCAGCGGCAAATTGGCTCGCTTCCGCAATGGATGGGAAATTAATTCCCTCTGTCTTGGTAATGTCCCCTTGTGGTGTTGCGTACAGCTGACCAGCGAGGATCCAAATAAATACGCCTGGAAGCAAGAAAGATCTTCAGTCCCAAGTTCTCCCTTGTTCAACATGTCTCTCCCAGTGCCTCAGTTATTCCAGCCGGTCTCTGTCGGCGAAATGCAGCTCAAGCATCGCATCGTGATGGCTCCATTGACGCGCTACAGCTCTGACTCCGACCGCGTTCCTCTCTCGCTCGTCAAGGAATACTACGTCCAGCGGGCCTCACAACCAGGGACGCTCATTATTTCAGAGGCCATGTTCATCGACGAACGCGCTGCCGGATACCCCCATGCTCCTGGTCTGTGGTCGGAGGCTCACATCGCAGCTTGGAAAGAAGTGCGTCCCGAAACGGTGCTACGGGAGGTCCATTTGTAATTTTATATCAGATCGTGGACGCCGTGCACGCGCAGGGCTCGTTTATCTACATGCAACTCTGGGCACACGGTCGAGCAGCCCAGCCAGCCACTCTGGGCAAGAATGCCCACGTGTCTGCATCCGACATCCCGCTCAGCTACCGGCCCGCGGACGAAATCAAACCTCGCCCGCTGTCGACGACCGAGATCGCCGAGTACCTAGAGCTGTACGCGCGAGCGGCGAAATACGCTGTGGAGGACGCTGGCTTCGACGGGGTCGAGGTGCACGGCGCGAACGGGTACCTGATCGACCAGTTCACGCAGGATGTGAGCAACGTGCGGTCGGACGAGTACGGAGGGAGCATCGAGAACCGGACTCGATTCGCACTGGAGGTCATCGATGCTGTAGTCGCCGCTGTTGGACCGAAGAAAACGGGCTTTCGAATTAGTCCCTGGAACAATTACCAAGGTGATTCTATTGCACTCCGAACAGACTTCCATGCTGAATTGCCTCGCAGACATGCGGATGAAGGACCCCAAACCCACCTTCTCGTACCTCCTTGAGCAGATCAAAGCGCGGCATCCCGACTTGGCCTTCATCCACGCCGTCGAGCCGCGATCCGTAGGAGAGGATGTCCTCGACGACGACACGCTCTCGGAAGACGTCAGCAACGACTTCATCCGGGAGATCTGGGCATCCGAATCGCGGCGGCTCATCTCTGCCGGCGGATATAAGCGGGACTCAGCCATCCGGGACGGCGAGAAAGGCGAGCTGATAGCCTTCGGGAGACTGTTCATCGCGAATGTGAGTTTTGTTGGATTGATCAGGGCTTCGCACTGATAATGCGGTCAGCCCGACTTGGCCTCCCGATTGATGCACGACTACCCTCTGAATCCGTACGACCGGGACACGTTCTACCTCGATGGCGTATCCGACCCGAAGGGTTTCACCGATTATCCCTTTTACGCACCAGAGACGCAGCTTCCTTAGTTTCCCCAGGAAGCGCCCCAAATAATTTTTCGAAATAAAGGCCAGAAAGACAGACTCGAGATTCGTCCAGTGTTTAGCCAATATTACCATGACAATAGACATGTTAGACGTTTGCTGCCGCCTCATTCGCAGCCAGATATGTCAGACCTTGCCATTGTCAGGATGGATTTCATCTGTTATCTTCTAAAGCAGAGTCAGGACAGCGACATCCACGGCCCACCGAAGTGGAAGTACTTCAGTTACTTCAACTCCTGATTGACACTTGCACGTGACCACTTGTGGTTTACTCATGATCATTGCTCTTTTGCTCTGACCCTTTGGATTGCCCCAGTGGAGCATCAGCTAGGCTTCTGTGGCGCTCTCAGATGCATCTCAGTCCTTCAACTCCTAGTGTTAAGTATCGTCATCGTCCTGCAAGGCTCGCAGGTCGCCTTCGATCAGTTTATCCCGACTGAAGGCTCCCGCGCTTGCCGTGTCCCTCAGTCTTTCGCTATAGATCCATGAGCGGTTTTTCCTCGGGGATGTTTGCCGGTGGACACTGCCATCAGAACGCGTGTGTATGTGAACGCTGATGTGTGTCCGTCGTCCGATACCTTGCCGGTCTTCCTCAGCATGGGTGGAGAGCTCCACCCGCTCGCAATCCCAGTGTTTGAAATGGTCCCCGCTTTCGCTCATACTCTGTATCGCAACGACGACTTCATACCGGATGCACCTCACGAGAAATACGAGTGAGTGGCCGGCAGGAGAAATGGACGTGGGGGCAATCGCGATGTCACGATCACTCCCCGCTCTGTTGTTGTTTGAAGATGCTCGGGCAGGCATCTGTGACATCTAAACAAAGCTCGCGTTCATAAGACAAAAGGAAGAGCAGATCGGATGCAACTTGCCTCGATCACGGACCCCGCACAGGACGTCGAACGACTCATCCCTCTTATACGCGATGCACGCACCACGAACGACGTCTCAGGTGCCCGAACATCTGCGAGCTTCCTGTTCTGATTTTGACCATTAACGTAGTGACCATGCTGACTGTCGTGCTGTACGGCGATTTCCTTCCCTCGTTGGATGAAAAAGGACTAACGGTGCGCGTCGACCAGTCTTGAGCATGTATCCGCTTTCGAAGAGGAGGTATGTTTCTCCTGATTTGTGTGTTTCCGCACCTCAACGACGCCTCAACTCCAGATTCGGCTAATCTGGAACACCCGACTCAGTCCAGCGAATGTCTTTTATGTAGGTCACTCGCTATGCCGTGGCTGCCGAGACTGACCTTGGCCCTTTGGCAGGTCATTGTCAGTTGCCTTGTGTATTCATTCTTACGCTCCCTCAAGCGATATGTAACTTGTGTAGATCCGCTATTTCACTCTGGTGGCCATCGGGTACGTGATCTCATCCTTCAGCCAACCTGGAACGCTCATCTTGTGGCAGCGTGGACGTGTTATGTATGCCACCCGATGAATCTCTCGTCCTTTCTTACACCGTTTTGCAGTCATGCTACGCTCCCAAAACTCGGACAAGGTAAGCAGTGTCGATAAGCAATGGTATAATCCATACACTGAACACTGGCGTGTAGTTGTGGGTCCGGCATTTGACTCTCCATTCACCACGCTTGACGTCTTAAGCTGCCAAACAATTGTATTTGTGAGTTTGCCACTTCTCAGGCGCTCCATTATCGACCACCCATTAGGTAGAGCTCGCATCGTCGACCCTGATCCTCGTCTTGACTGATATCATTCTTGCCCTCCGGTCTGTAAGATCGGTTAACCCCCGACTTTGTGTGTTGACCGCGATTCAGGGTGTGGCTATTGTACCACAGATCGCGCAAGGTGCTGTACTTTCTCGTCGGTCTCGTCACTGGCAAGTACATTCTATGCCGTGACAAGAGCGAGACGCTTACAGTGCAACTATTCTAGCCGAGGCAACAGCAATGTATGCTGGACGATCTTGCTAGTCCGTTCGGGTGTTTGACCTGTTCTAGGGCCTTATCAGGGTATTATGCTATCCAGCCACTCGACAGTGTGTCCTCTTCCGTTTCATTCAAGGACCGGCCACTAAGTGCTGTACAGCATACGTTTTCGTTGGGTCCGCTTCTCACTTCCTTTGATATCGATCCTTGAATCTCATCTCATATCTGTCCAAGACCGGCTCTCCAAGGCTGCTATTCCCTGGGTCCTTCGTCTTTCTCGTCACGAAACACCCTGAATCTCACGCGTTCACACAGAGGTCCCGCGGCTGTTCACCTATTACGCGCTTCCGACATACATAGTCGTGCGGGACCGTCGCCCTCGGCCGATCAGATCTCACTCTGACGCAACCCACAGAGCATCATCATGTTCGCCATGACCTTGCTCAGATGCCGCTCGACCGTAGCCACTCTCGGCTGGCGCCAGACATCTGTGATGTCTCTGTTTCTGAGGGACGGAGTCTTCTGGTTTCTCGCGGCGATCCGTGCGTTATCATCTCGTGCAGGTAGTCCGTCGTATCAGCCGGAGTCATGACCTCATCTTCCAGTGGTCAACACCGTCGAGATCGTGCTATGGCGAGACTCCCGGGCCAGTCTGTCAGAAATTCCGGTCATGTGGGTGACGCAACGGCCCTTCCCTGTCCCGCGCACAGTAGGCTGACGATGGCGCGCAGTCCCGCGACTTCGATCATGGCTCTCATCGGGGCGCGAGTGCTCTTGAACATCAAGGAAGTCGTCACAGTCGCACCCCACGACACCGAGATCCCGGCGTTCGAGAGGTCGGACCGACATTCCTCCGGAACAGCGCGGGCTTAAGCACAATCTCGAATGCCAGAATACATACATGCTATCGCAGGCCTTTCAGCAACGTGTCGGCACGCCGGTCGTGTCGGCCCGCTTACGACGCCAAGGATCTGTCAGCACGGTAGGATGGATATCAAATGCAGAACTTCTATTTCCGCGCGCAGTAGTACCGCAGAAGCGAATTGGACGAGCAGATGTATGAGGGGTGTAAGCGGATGGTGGTAGCAGTAACAGCAAACAACAGCGATTAATACGGTGCTCCCGTCGTGTAGTACCGGTATCCGAACCAGGCCGCTAGGAGAACGACCGGAGCCCAGGTGAAAAGACTAGTGGGGACATGATCAGCTCCGCCTGAAACGGGGACGGCCGATCGCCAGTGGGCGCACGGACCTGGAACCCTGCTCCACCATCGAGCCCGAGCCACCACTTTTCGAGCCCCCAGATGAGGGAGACGGACGTCCGAGCACCTGCGTGTGTAGGTTGGGTGAGTGCCGCGCACAGACACCAGACTGGACGAGGTGGATGGACGTACGCTGTTGGGCTCCAGGGAGCCGATAAGCATGGGGAGGAGCAGCTCCCGGGCCTCGTCTGAGTGGCCTACGTCCTCGAACGCTTCCGTGGCATCCTTGCCTGTGGGTACTCCGATGAGCCGCGGTTCGGGCAGGGACCGAAGGAAGCAGGGGCACGCACCTTTCTCAGCGAGAATGACCTCGTCTCCTCCAGGGTGCTGGTGGTGGCCGCCTCGTGTCAGCCGGTGCGCTGGCATAGGACAGGGAAGCGCCGACTCACCTCGTCGAGGAACTTGGTCGCGTCGTAGACTGCACGGATGGTGATTTACACCGGGATGAGAAACCGGAGGCGTGTGATTGGACGCGGGGACGCACCCTTGCCGTGGATGAGCACGTAGAAGCTGTCCTTGCTGGTGTGTGCGCGGAACTCGTCGACGGTGATAATTTTTTCAGACATGGTGGAGGAAAGGAGAGAGAGAGTGAGTGTGAGAAGACGGTGCGTGAAAGATGGATGGGAAAGGGAAAAGCCGAGTTCGAGTGGGGATGGACACGTCGTGCCATTCTTGTAATATATATCACTATTTCTCACGCTGGCGTCACTCTCTAAAAGCTGCGCAGCGGTGGTATTACAGCTCGCGAGCGAGCTGTTGGGCCATTCGGCCGTGCTGATTTCTATCTGGCCGGAAACGCGGACTTGGCGAGGTTCAAATATTAATAAATCGCGTCGGGTACGGGATATGCATTGGATAGCAAGGATACATTGGATGGTCTTTATAATACAGGTTGTGCACTCGGCTTAGTACTCGAATGACCATAGACGAGCTGCATGCAGCTGGACATTCAAGCGTGGACCAAGGGCGTCTAGTTTTTCTTCCACATCACCAGTAGAGGTAACGAAGGCATTGTGAGCCGTGTTCCTAGGCAAAAGCAAGTGGGGCAAGATGAGCATAAGCGTAGCGCGAAAGGGGGTGCGCAGGACACCGGGCAGATGACAGAAAACGATGTATTGTCGCAGGCGGATGCAGCGGGGGAAACGGAAGATGACGCTCGAAAATCGCTCAAATACTCGGGGAAGGGGGCCAAACAATACACGACAATAGAAGCTATTCACGTGCAGACACGTCCACGTGTCTTTCTTTACTGAATGTAGTCGTAGCCACCGCTGACTATTATTCCAACTGCGCGCGAAAATGTGCCCGCGTGAGCACAAGCAAAGGAAGGCCGGGGCTGGCGCTGCTCTCATCGGCTCTCTTAAAGAATAGCAAGCGAGGGGATCCTGCTCGCCAAACTCGCCGGTGGTCAGACTGCGCACGAGGTAAGAATAGACACGCAGACCTCAAGTATAATAGCCAAGCCGGCACCCGTGTGAAGAGAGTGAACGGAGAGATTCCACTCGTCACCCTCGCTTGAGGTCATGCTAATTGGCCAATCTTTGGGCCTGCGGGCCGCCCACATGCCATGGGAACCACCCGTGGCCGCTCGCATCACTCTCTCCCGTCGGGCCTGTCACGTTTCGCCAATGACATTGCTCTATTTTCTCGTTACCAGCTTGTTGCCTCTTGTTACACTTGACTTAACTCTTAGTTTTAGGTATAAATTCCGAACCATCACCTGACTCTACGTCGGACATTAATGTGCCCCGTGAATAAATCGGCGACTTCCTCAATTCGTCCTGAGATACCAAGGCGTGGTCTCGATCTTCGGGCGGGTCGGCATCCTCGGATGATACCACATGACCGACGTCTGTGTCAAAGTTTGACTCGAGTCCCTCCCGTTGTTGGTCCGGGCTAGGTTCTTGATGTTGAGAACAACGCGGGCACCGATAATTGCAATGCACCTAGAACCGGTGAGTTGATTCAGAAACGCGGGCCGTCAAGAGGGATGCGCACGCCGTTCCCGGGCTACCAGCGGTACCAATTAGCAACGAGCGGCAAATGTAAATTAGACAGTCCACACTCACACAATCGGAATCTGGGCGAGACTGGGGCGTGCGTTATGCCAGATGAGCAGTTCAGACAACGACAAAACTACAGTCAGAAGTTAGCGAATAGCATGAAAATGCGCGCACGGGACACTTCTCACGCAGCACGGCCAGAAACCAATAACTCCCGTCTCTGAGGAATATCTGTATGACGGGTGTCTTGATGAGACCCGGTGACATCGCCGTGTCGCGGCACTTGTAAAGCGTCATTGCGAACATACAGGAAGACTTTCCGCATAGTGTGAAATGCATGCCAAGGATCAACAGCGGCTCAAACTCACGACGATGAAGGGGGGGAGGGCATAGTATGCGAGCGTTCGCGGGACTACTATGACAAACAATCATCAGCCAAAGTCATCATTCGTCGAACGGTAGCAGCGACTTACTGACAGTATAGCATCCATGCAATGGACTTGAAAGCAGTCAATCTTTCGGACATCAAACGCGCCAAACTGAAAGCCACCCACTCGATCTGGATAAACACTGGTTTCCATTCATTGAATTCGCGCGGGAGAGATGAGACCCAAAAAACGAACCGCCAAGGTCTCTGATAGTGTAGACACCGACAACCAAGCTTGAACCGACAGGGCTGAACGAACTGTAGAACACAAAAAGGCGGCACTTACAGAGCAGCAAATTCCGCTGCCTTGGCTCAGCCCAGTGCGAGCGCAGACGAATGCAACCGAATTAACGCACCGACAATTAACCCCACGAAGAAGCCAATCATTCGCGATGGACGCGCGAAAAGGATCCAGACGCTACAGAGAAATTTGATTCATGATTAGAAAACAGCCTTCGCGTGGGATGGGCGTACCGTAATGCAAGAATCACATCGGTGGAGACCACTATCGTCGTCGAAGTCACTGATTGAGCCTAGACTTGTTTCAGTGATTGACCAGAAGACTCTCGAAATAAGCCCCACGAGAAGGAAGGCTCGACAGCTAGATCGACATGGTTAATAAGCTGTCCGCTGGGTACAATGCAAATATTCGCACGTCTGTCGTCAAGTCAGGAAGTCAAACAGGAGAGTTGGTCCGAAACGCACTTTGTCCGACTGTGGCGGGCGAAGCATCACTAGGTAGCAGCGTCATTCACGCGAAACAGCGCGCGAAGAAAACGCAATTACTGAGAAGATTCGGCCTGAAGTTTCCGTCAGCCATTTGCTCGGTTGAGATGTCAGGGAGGACGTGATTTACACAAATACGATCAGACCGAAGTATCGAATCTCGATGCGCTTCAACTTTGATTGAGTCGATGGTGGGAAAGGTCAAAAACGCACCCATATCTGCAACAGTGGTCAGGGGAAAAACACCGAGTTGACTGCCGATAAATAAAACTCACGTAGAATATACTTGACAAATTCCACCGACTTTTCCAGACGAGTTCGATCTTCAAGCGGTCAGTGAACAGCGGCTAAATGCGATTTGAACCATATCGACCTCTTCTCTCAAAGTCGAGATGTGTTCGAGTCTGAGGGTCTGTTCAGTACGTTGTAGGTGGAAGGGCGTTTTTTTTTTGAAACTCACAGAGTCAGCGCCAATGAAGCGACTGAGGAAAATTGAGGATGGGGGAGAAAACATCGTTCAACGATCTGAACGCACCTGCGAGATGATTGGTGAGCTGAGCATCACTGATGAGGACGAAGAGCTGCTCAAGCTCGTTCGATGTCAGTGCTGGTATTTGAGACGAGCTCATGTTGAGTAAGGCGATCCATCGCACACTCGATGAATGCGCTTATATGAGAAATTGGGTCTGCTTCGAATTTCAGAGGACCTCTGCTTCGATGGGATGCGGACAGTTGAGAAAGCTCGCTCCAATCGGCTCGTAAACGGATGCTTTCGAGAGAATCGTGCTCGCATACAGTTGCAGAGACACTTCATTCCCCGCAGCATACTCTGAGCTGCCACGGGAGGGGCCTGGTTCTAGCTCTGGACTGATTGAATGTCCGGAGCAGCCCGAGTGATGGACAGTCGACGGGAGAGTATGTGTTCTAGGCAGGACTCGAGCCTGGCAGAGTTCTACAGAGAATCTGTTCACTTCTTGTGTTTTCGGATTATGGAACATCATGCAAGATGAGAGCGATGATGTGCGCTCTGGGCGTGGGTCGACTGTGTTAGATGGGGGTGATATGAGCAATAGCCGGTAGAATTGGGTCCGTTGCCCCTTGGGTGGAGGGGTAGGTAGGTCACAAGAGCTTAATCGTGGAGACCGTCACGATGGCCGTTCACACCCAAGTTCAATGGAGTGTGAGAGGTTTGATTGATCGGATCACATGCCGCAGCGCCAAAGCTCATGACGCTCCCGAGTCCTGACTGCTACTGCGACCGCATCCATGGTCCCCCGATATGGGCACTCCTCAGGGAGACAGCGATGCAATGTCTCTTACCACCAGACGATATCTTTTCCCCAAATCCCATCATTCAACTCGCAGCAGCGATGGTCGCACACCCCAGACCCCAGACCCCAATTCAGCCTTCTCTGAATATGCCGTTTGTGGAGGAACATCGCGATCGACACACCTGCACCATGGATCCGCGTATGCGGGTAATATCGCTCGTCCCCTCCCTGAAGTTCTTCGATCCTGAGCGAGGGAAAGCTTTCACGCAGACTTTCGTCGGCAGCGCAGTGCTTATTATGATAATCCGTGCGCGACGATTCTCTTCGAGCAGCAGCATAGTTATCCCTGGTCTGGTAACTGTGTCCGATCTATAATGAGCCACTACGCTGACAGGTGGTGCCATCTTCGCGCTCCAGCTCGGTCTCGACGAGCGGACGGAGCTGAGTGTACGAGACCTTGCCCTTGCCCTTGCCCTTGCCCAGCTGAAAGACCTCGCGATCGCATCTCCGGACCCTATAGACTGCCCACTGGATGTTTTTTCGGCCGCAGCGCTGCTTACCCCAGCCTTGAACGTGAACTTCGAAGCTCATAGACGCTTCTCGGGCGCCGGACGTTCTGTTGCCGTGCCAGCAACTGACCAAGTTCGCATTCCTATCCAGGGACGGCACACGCAGCATGCTCTCTTACGCACCGAAGCTTATCGACGCGACGTGTGCTGGCGGCACCCGTATTCGCCCAGCAACGCCCGCCCGTCATACACGCCACCCAACCTACAGATGCTGATTGTACCGGTCGCGTTACTACCCGGGTACTTCGGTGGCGTCTCGGCGGCTCTCACCCCTGCCTGCTCTCCGGCATTCAGACAAATCGGAGATGCCGGCGAAGTCGATGCCCTTTCTCGAACGGTAGGCTTCCCTGCGTAGACACCCCATCAGCTGAGAGACTGAGACACTCCCTCCCCTCTGTTTCCCGTCCCTGCACATCCAAGACAGACTCAGCGCTTGGGCTTCACAAGTGCGCTTCCCCGGCTCGAGCCTCCGGTCGAGCTGAGTGTGCACACGACGATCATGTCTAAAGTCCGCTGGATGGTCACTTGTTCAATGGCCAGAGCAGGACGAGATATCTGCCCCAGCTTGCGGATTGAGTGGATTGAACCACAGAACAGAGATGGATCTTCGGAGGGCTTCGACTGCTCTGGGACTGTTTGTGCCTCATCTCACTCTGGACGCGCATCCAGTTGTAAGATGCATTCAGTTCGTCGTCCGAAATGTACCCCATTGGCTTGGATCTTCATTCAACGAGAGTACGAGGGAATTAGACATGAAGTGGGAAATTCATTGCTATACATACAAGTAGATAACTTCCGCCGAGTCTACAACAATCTCGCATGCACTGTGCAGAAAGGAAGGGGGAGAAAAGAGAAGGATCTGAACGAAATATAGTGGCTATACAGATAACTGCTCGTGAGATAAGGTAGTTTGAATTGCGTGAGTGTGTGTGCTGGATGGTCATGAGGATAAGTAAGATAGGGCATAGATATGTATGATAGATAAATGAGGGGAGGGTGGGGTGCTTGGTATGATGGGATGGATATAAGTGACACATGAGCAGAACAGCGTGACATCAGAACAACAGCACCAAGAAACACGGTAACAACATGCGAAGCAGATAATACACAGTGCGATTTGCGCGATGATGGATAGGATGAGTGTGTGTGTGTGAGTGTTGATGCTATAAGATAAAGACGGCCTCTAGCGGCTATGATGTCGTCTCGCCCTCGACCGTGGGCGAATTGGAGAAGGGTGAGAAGGCTGATCGCGGCGCTTCCCACCGACGAGACCAGGGCCCGTCCGTCGACGCAGCAAAAAAGCGAGGGGCAGAGAACGATGCCACACCATACTCTTGAGTAGGTGGCGGCGGTGACGTCAGCCTCGGGTGGAACGCTGCCTCGGAGATGCCCTGTTGAGTGGCTAGAGAGACAGGAGCCCCGTTGGCGCTGGTAGGCGTCCGTACCCCAAGAGGGTTCTTGCTGTACGACAGGCGGATCCCTCCGCCCTTGATCATGCCGTTGAGAGTATTCCCGTACAACTCATTGAGCGTCTTGGTAGCATAGTTCACATCCTCAAACTACGAAGCACGGTCAGCGCCAATTTTCAGAAATCGTGATGCTACACACCTCGACAAAACACATCGGGCCATTCGGTTTCGGCCTGAACGACATCTGTCTGAATCCCGCACACTGCGTGAACAGATCCCGCAATGCGACCTCAAGATATTCCATCGTGAACCCGGCGGCGCCGGACGACGCATTGGGCAAGACAGGCAGGTTCCCAACGTAAAGTGTATTGATCGGCGGATTCTGATCAACAACACCACGGCCCAAGCTGCCTGAACTGGCTGGCGAGGCAAGTTGGGGTGATCCTCCGTTGCTGCCACCGCTGGCGCTGCCGTTGGAACTGCCAGGGATACTGATCGGGGCATTTGTGGTCCCTAGCTTCGCCATCCCACGTTCAAGATCGCTGCTACCCTCCGATGCACTGGACTGGGACCGCTCCTGCCGATGGGTGGGCTGAGTTTCTCCCATATACTGTGGCGCGCCAAACTCATTGGAGGGTGGCGGCGAGGACAACGCTCGCGGGCCTTCACCAGCGAATGGGCCTCCGCCGTTCACGTAGAAGTTGTTCGTGTTCGGAGTGGTGTCAGGAGACGTCGACCGACGCCCGGGAATGCCGCCTGCAACGGCGTCCCATGGGCCATGATTGCCGGTGTTCTCATCGCGCAGAGCAGCAAAAGCTTCAAAAGCTCCTTGACGCCGATCTCGATCTCGCCGTCGCAATCGCTCTGCTTCAGAGTCATCCTGCAAACGAGGGCGATCGTCGTCCGGCCGAGCACGAAGTGATAGGGTGTTCAGAACAGATTGTCGCCGTTCCTCGTGGAGCATCAGGGGTTCGTCATCATCGTCGCTTCGCCAGCCCATACGCCCGTTCGCGAATGCAGCAGCCGCATTCGGAGAGATTCCGTTCATGCCCAGTGTCAGAGGATCGCGCGGGCTGAGCTGATCGTAGATGTCATTTGAAACACCCATCCCAAGGCTTGATCCCATCCCATTGATCACAAGCCCTGAACCTCCAACGCCAACAGGTCCTACACCTCTCTTCGTATGCAAGTTCTTCTTGGCCATCTCGGCCTTCAAGACGGCACCTTTGTCGATATCGACACGCCGTCCCTGCAGAACATCACGAGCGCCTAATGCTTCTTCGCGAGTTCGGAACTTGGCGAAACCGATTATCTGCTTGCGGGGGGCAACAGAGCCACTGAAATGATTGCCCGACAGGCCCTGCGAGCCGGCTTGAGAAAGTCCAGACTGAGGTCCCATCTCATCAGCGGGTGGTGCCGGCCAGGACGTGATCCCGTTCTGCCCATCGACCACAACACCTCCTTGATTGACCGTCACAAGATTGTAGGGATCGTTAGAACCGGCGTAACCGTTGTACTGGCCAGCACCACCGAGAGCGCGCTGTTGCTGGGCGCCGTAAGCGGTGTATTCCTTGTTCGGAATCTTCAAGGTGGCGGCTTCGAAGCCAGGCGAGAAAGTAAACATGTTCTGAAATTCACGTTCCTGGAAAAGGGGTGCTTGTTAGCAAAACTGATGATGAAGTGATGATTAGACGGGACGGAGACACGCAGCCTCTGCAGTCACCCGTACGTGGCCAATGATGGGAGCTCAAATGGTGGAACTGACCTGCATGTCCTCTGGGAAGCCTACGACAAATATCGTGCAGATGTCTTCATGCGGCGGATTGGCCAGAGAATGCGGTGGAATCCCTGCACCGTTTATCCCCCCCATGGAGACAGATGTGATGTGAGGTCCATACGGGGTCTGTGAATGCATTCCAGCACTGCCGTTGACATACGGCGCAGCATAACCGTTGAGCTTGGGCGCAGTTTGGTGTGAAGGCGGTGGAGAGCCGAATTCCAACGGTGGATACGCTCCGGGCTTTGCAGTACCGCCAAAATCGAAGCTGGCCCGAGGGTCGAATGGGTGGAGGACGGGGGAGAAAGCCTCGGTCTGTTGAGGGTAGTACTGCGGCCCGTTTACCGGCTGTTGGTCGCGAAACGGAGCACGGGGGCCGGGAGCGCGGGTCGAGTTTGGGAAGGAAGTAAACGATGCGCGCGGGAAGTATGCAGCCATTTTGGAGGCTTGTAGATCTTGTGTGTGGGTGGGGGTGTGGAAGGGAGGATGAGGAGAGTCGTGAGATGAATCGTCCGAGGCGGAGGACGAAACGGGCTCCGCGTCGGCTTGAGCGTCCAACTGATCCAGAAGCGACTTATTCAGCAAGCTTTCGTCGGCGGGAGGGGGTCGGGGAACAGCGTAGGACATGGGGATACGGAGGGGAAGCGCGGCAGCGGCGCTGGTGCGGAGACTGGGCCTGCCGATACTCGGGGTAGGAAAAGGGGGCGGTCGATCGTATGTGTATTTCACCGTGAAGTGATGGAAGAGGGCAAGTAAACTTGTACACAAACGTAAACAGCCCCGCTCGTGCACGGACCAGCCTCGGCATCTCGGCATAGACAATGCACGAATCAGGCATCGTCAAGGGCACAATGGAAGAGACACAAAGCACCGTACCCACACACCGGTCAAGTCGAGAGCGAGTCTCCAAACATGTCTACCAAGCCATCTACTCCCGACCCCTTCTGTGGATGCTTTGTGGTCGTGCTTTGTCTCGCTGAGTGAACGGTCGAGTGACGAATGGCAGCCGCAGCCGTGTCAGCGCAGTGGCAAAACAACTGGTCGCGCGACAAGCGCAGAGCACATCGTTTTGAGAGCGGGAAGAACAAGAGCCTGAGGGCCAGTGAAAGCAGAAGAGCCTGCCTTTCGCCCGTCACCCTGTGACAGCCTCTCGCATCAATTAACACCACATCGCCGAGAGAAATCTGGGGCTAATTATACTAGAAAGCGTCGGCTCCGCCGACATTCTGCCTTGCTATTTGATATCAAAATTAATTCTAATTTTTTCTTTGATACGGGCAACTACGGCGGGTCGAACTCGAGACAGACAGGAAGAGCACGGAGAGGAACGGAACAGCGGGGGAAGCCGGGTCCGACGAAATCGAGCCAATTATGAGGGTGGAGAAGCCTTGACAAGCAAGGCAATGTACATACCATGCTGGTGCCGTGCCGCGGCAGGACCATTCAAGTTGGAAGATCTCTTGTATGTCTTACGCATTCATCAGCAAAGATATCTCCGTAATCACGACACTCGGGTAAGCTCACAACTACATAAGAACATTGAAACGGTAACATGAATCGCTCGCGAGACGAGGCTTGACCAGAGGTCTGAACAATTCTCGTCGCATCCAGCTCCACAACGTTTCATAAGATATCACAGCCCTTTACATGTGCGAAAGACCGATTACACAGCGAGATTGGAGGCATTCCTGCGTGCGCCGAGATCCGACACTTCGAAGACGAGCTGTTCTTGGCAGATTTGAGTCATTGACCAAGCTCCACGGTCCGTGAACTTAGACTGGCGTGCTGTATGACTCAAATGACGGGATGAACGGGGTCAACATGCAAAAGCAGCGAGGACGACGGGCTGAAGTAGCAGTTCTCAGATTCGGAGAATCCGCCCGTCCGCGCCTAGCCTTCGGCATCCCGGAATTTGATCCAAGAATACAAAGGCTCGATTTAGTTTGCAAAGCCACCAAACACTATGCTCAGCGCCGCCGCATGATCAGAGGACTGACTATCCATGCAAAGCCAGACTGTCTTTGCGGTCAGATAGCAGGCGTTCTTCAGACGAATTAAACTGAGAGACAACTAGCAGGTGTCAGGTTCGGGAGTCAGGACTTGACGGGCGGGAGTGTAGGAGTCGACAAGACAAGTAGCCGAAGAGCATTGAGACCGAGAAGCGCATGGTTGCCTGATGGCGGCAGATAGGCTGAGATTATGATAGCGCAACCCAGAGTTAGGACCTGCGGCACAGAGCACTTTTTCGCCAGCCCCGCTGGTCTTGCTATTTCCTTCAGACGACTGCGCACGACCTGCTTGGCGGTTGAGGAAGAGAGACTAGAATACGCAATGCAAACCGTGATCTTGTCGTGACTTGTGACTGCACACACTTTGTGACCGACGCGCCCTTGAGACTTTCGAGTCCACTGTCACCGCCACTAAAGCAGAGGGCCGAGGCTCTGCTGCCCATCTGTCGGTCTACACGCGATGCCGCTCATCCAGATTGAGCTCTGTGACTTCAAGTCCTACCGCGGCCACCAAACGATCGGCCCATTCAAAAACTTCACTTCAATCATCGGTCCTAATGGTGCGGGCAAGTCCAACCTCATGGACGCGATCTCCTTTGTTCTCGGTATCAAAAGCGCGCAGCTGCGGAGCTCCCAGCTCAAAGATCTCGTGTACCGTGGGAGGCGTCTGGGCAAGGCCGGACTAGATGGTGAAGAGGAGGTCGCGGATGAGGCAGCGGAGGGTGAGAACGACGAGGAGGGTCAAGGGGAAGGCACAGCGAAGAAAGCTTGGGTCATGGCGCTATATGTTGACTCAGATGGAAAGGAGTGGAGGTTTCAGAGAACGTTAGAATGCTCTATTCACCAGGTTTTCCCAGTCTTTTCTGACCCTTTCTCAGAATATCTACCACGGGCGCGTCCGAGTACAAGATCAACACAAAGGTCGTCACATATAACGCGTATAATGACGCGCTCAAGTCTCACAATATCCTGGTCAAAGCCAAGAACTTCCTCGTGTTCCAAGGCGACGTCGAAGCCGTCGCGTCGCAATCTTCCAAAGACCTGGCTCGCCTCATAGAGCAAATTAGCGGGAGTTTGGAGCTTGCGCCGGAGTATGAGAAGGCAAAAGAGGGACTGGACCGCGCGACAGAGAACGCGACCTTCAACTTTACGAAACGTCGTGGCATCGCGGGGGAGATCAAGCAATACAAAGAGCAGAAGAGCGAGGCGGATAGGTTCGATGCGCTTTGCCAGGAGCGAGTTTGTGCACTCTCGTCTTGCCCTTACCCATTCACTAACCGGAACAACCAGGACCAACGCATCCTATACCGCATGCTATATAAGCTCTTCCACATCGAGGAAGCCATCGAAACCAACGCCCACGACATACGAGAACAGAACAAGGTTGTCAAAGGATTGCGGGAAGAGCAAAGAGAGCACGACCGAGCGCTTGAGTCAGCTCGTGCTGACCAGGCCAAGGCCCGTTCTGGTGTCATGCAGCTCGAAAAGAAGATCAAGAAGGCGGAGAAGCAGCTTGATGCGAAGCGTCCTGACCTCGTCACCGCTGAAGCCCAGATTACGCACGCCAAACGCAAGATGGAGAATGCATCCAAGAGTAAGAGGGAGCTTGACAGTCAGAAACAGACCCAGGAGGACAAGATCAGCAACCGGGATAAGGAGCTTGCAAGTGTGAGGAAAGCAGTGGCTGCTGCTCAAGGTGCGCTCGTGGATCTGGAAGTCTTGAACTCTGCTCGCGTACCTAATCGAACTATCTAGAATCCCAACGCAAAACCTCCCAACGCAATTTGGCTTTGAATGAGGAAAGTCTGGTTGAGTATCGAAACTTGTAGGCCCATTCTTGTTGTGCTGTGTCGAGTTGATAGCCTGCTCGCAGGAAAGCTGCAGCCAGTATTTTGGCCGTCGACGAGCGACAGACACTCGAATCTCTTACCCGCGAACACAAGACCCTTTCCCGGACCCTCTCTCAGCTCCAAGAGAAGCAAAAGGGTCTAAAGGAGAACCGTGAAACTCGCCTCGCTGATCAGCAGAGCCAGACTTCTCGGAAGAAAGAGGTGAACCATCTGTCCGCTATTGCTGTCCTATGTTCACCTTTGTTCAGTTGGAAGACCGCGTTTCCGAACTGCAGAGGGACTTGACTCGGACGCGTCAAGAGCTTGAAAATCAACAATCTGAGCGGACCAAAATATCGCAACTGGAAGCTCAAAGCAACGAGCAGCTCCAGCACATCTACAATCAGTTGGTTCAAGCTGGCGTGGACAAGCACGAGTCTGAAAAGGAGATCAAGCTGAAAGAAACTTTATCGAGTCTCCAGCGGCTGTTCACCGGAGTGCGCGGTCGCGTGGTTGACTTGTGCAAGCCCTCCCAGCGCAAGTATGAAACGGCTGTTTCTGTGGTGCTGGGATGGAACATTGATGCGATTGTCGTCGACTCGGAGAAGGTCGCGATCGATTGCATTGAGGTGAGTCTCCTCCTCGGTCTTGATTGGATTCTAAGGTGCGCTACTGTAGTACCTGCGCAACCAACGCCTTGGCCAAGCGACGTTCATTCCCTTGGATACCATTCAGGCCAAGCCGATCAATGACAAATTCCGTGCGCTGCACAAGGGCGCCCGACTTGCCGTTGACGTGATCCAGTACGAACCGGTGGTGGAACGTGCGATGCATCATGTTTGTGGGAATTCGCTGGTGTGCGACACTATGGATGTTGCTCGTTATGTGTGTTACGACAAGGGGCAGGAGGTGAAAGGTGCCCGCGGTCTGCTAATACTCGCATACTCACTGCTGATGACAACCCAGCTGTGACTTTGGAGGGCACGATCATCCACCGGAGCGGATTGATCACTGGTGGAAAGAGCAGCCATAACAGTGGTAAGAAGTGGGACGAGAAAGACGTGGCGGGCTTGCAACGCGCTCGGGACAACTTGATGACACAGTTGCGCGATCTGGCTAAGCAGAAGACGAGAGTCAGGACGGACGATCACCTGTTTGCTGAGATCTCTCAGCTTGAATCTGCCTTGACACTGGCGAAAGATGATCTGGTGTGTGGTATCCGAATTTTGTTCGTTTGCTTCTCATTACATGCGGTAGAACGCATGCAACCTCCGGTTGACCGGCATTCGCGACGAGCTGAAGCATATCGACAAGGAGCTGAAGAAGAACAGCCCCGAGCTGGAGAAGGTGCGTTCGACACTACGTCCTATCTGACTTTCATCGACCCGCGACCATAGACCCAAATCACGCACGATAACCTGGAGGCGCAGATCACCCGATTGTCGAATGTAATCAACCAGGCAGAACAGTCGACATTTGCCGCGTTTTGCCGCAAGATTGAAGTGGAGAACATCCGAGAGTTCGAAGAACGTCAACTGAAGGTCGCGCAAGAAGAGAGTGAGGTCCGCCTGCGGTTCGAAAACCAGATGGCCCGATTGACCCATCAGTTGCGTCGCTTTGCTACTCCGTGTGACTGGTCATTGATCTGAGATAGAATCGAGTATGAGACTGATGTTCTGAAACAGCTGATGGAACGACTGGCCAACGTGGACAAGACTGTCGATAAGGAGAAGACGAATCTCGACCAGCACGAGGCCGAGAAGGCAGAGGCGCAGTCGGTCATCGACGAGTTGGAGAAGACGATCGCCTCGTTGCGAGAGCAGCTCGCTGGTGCACAGGAGGCGTTGGACGAGAAATCGAAGATTGTAGAGCAGGCGAGGAAGACGGGGTCGAAGTCTGGCAAAGCGCTTGACCAGGCTTTGAAAGAGATCGCGCTGAAGAATGACGACATTGAGAAGTCTGCATTAGAACGGTCCTCGATTTACCGCAGGTGCCGTTTGGACGAAATCAAGCTGCCGCTTCTGCAGGGCCACTTGAAGAATGTGCCAATGGAGGAGGTAAGTGTCTGTGTCTGTGTCTCACGTTCGAGGTGCCGAATGGCTCTAGAATCTACGCGAAGAGGTTGCCATGGACATAGATGACGACGAGGACGGGACTCAACAGCCCCGACGAGTAGCTGACTACGGGATTGAGGTCGACTTTGCACAGCTTGATGATGAAGACCGCGAGGTGTGCTGTCTCTGCTGCGCTGGTATCGGCTGTCTTGCTCACCTGTCGCAGGACGGCTCTGCCAATTCTTTGGCGGAATTCGACGCCGCGATTACCAAAATCACAGAGGAGATCGAGAAGATGGCGCCGAACATGAAGGCGATTGACCGGTTGGAGGACGTTGAGGCCAAGCTGGTCGACACGGAACGCGAGGCAGACCAGGCTCGCAAAGAATCCAAGTCTGCGCGGGACGAGTTCAACGACGTCAAGCGCCGCCGATGCGAGCTGTTCAACAAAGCCTATAACCATATCTCGGATCACATCGACCAAGTGTACAAAGACTTGACGAAAGGGAAGGCAGCACCGATGGGCGGAGTCGCATATCTGAGTTTAGAGGATAACGAGGTACGTCTATCTATGTCTGGACCACGGAGACTTGTTTTAAGCACGAGCCAGGAACCGTATCTGGGGGGTCTCAAATACCACGCGATGCCACCAATGAAGCGCTTCCGAGACATGGAGCAGCTGTCTGGTGGAGAGAAGACGATCGCGGCACTGGCGCTGCTGTTTGCCATCCACAGCTACCAGCCTGCGCCGTTTTTTGTGCTGGACGAAGTAGACGCTGCCCTGGACAACACGAACGTGGCCAAGATCGCGAACTACATCACCAGCCATGCCTCAGACGCGTTCCAGTTCATCGTCATCAGTCTAAAGGGATCTTTATACGAGCGGGGCAACTCGTTGGTCGGGATCTACCGTGACCAGGATGTGAACAGCTCGAGGACGTTGACGCTCGATGTGCGTGTTCCATGTGCATGGTGCGACTTGTGCTGACCAACCACCCAGCTTACGCAATATGATTAAGTGCCCCCCATGCTTTCTTGCTGCTTTGCTGCTTTTTGTTGTACTTGTACTGTAATGCTTTAGTAGAATGTAGCGTTTGCTGTTCCAGACCATACGCGATGCTACTTATCCCACAAAGATCATTTTTCTCTCAGGTAATAAGCCATTCATCGACTGAACATCCGAAAGGGGTGTTACTATACTTTAGAATGCCACACGAACTATGCTCAATAGACAGCCACTCCAATCTCACTGAAAAAGGAAATCTCCGCTTCTCGATTACTCCTTCGTTGATACATGTCACAAGCCAACACGATACACATTAAAGTACACCTACTTATGTGGAGCGTAGATCAGAATATGTACAATTGCCATGGCAAGATAAATGCGAGTGAATATGCAGGCTGAATGATATATATGCAGGGAAAGCAGTGAATCAAGTGATGTGTATATTGCCGGCAGGACTGGCTGGGATCAGGATGCGAGACTGCGCCACATGCCGGAATCAGGCAGCTCGTTGCGAGCCTGGAGGATCTTCAATGCCAATTGACGGCCGCTCCCGTCATCCGCGCCAAGCTCCGTGTCCAGAGTCATGTCATTTGGATGTGGCGAGAGCGTGCTGTCAGGCACAACGACGTTGACGGGAGCCGGAGCGGGAAGAAGGCCGTCCTCGTCCTCGTCGTCCGTGGCGAAATCCAAGGCACCAGGGTCGATCCCTCGGATCATGTCTCGTTCGATGTAGAGCTGCTTCCGCACAGAGCTTGACGGGATATGCGTGTCTTCTTGCAGCCGGGGATCTGAGGGACCTGGTGGTCGGTACGAAGCAAGGCTCAGCACCGGATGTGACTGCGTCAGAGAGCGCATGGCAATAGGCATTGATCCGGGGAGTCCTTTAGCGCGTTCAGTAACTTGACAGATGGGAAAACATGCTATGCAACTGACCGTTCGCCACTGGGGGAGCCGCAGCCTCAACATCAGCATCAATCTGATCATCCCCCGGTGCTCGCCCTCGTGTGACGAATGACTTCCAGGTCACGCCGTTTTTCGACCAGCCTCGCCGATGGCTGGGAAGGCTGGCACCGACCATTTTCCGGATCTCCAGATCACGCGAGTCGTACAACTCCATCTCTGGCACTTGGTCGTCCTCCTCTGACGGCTCCTCGTGAAGCTCTTCGTCATTTGATGGCTCAGTTGACCATATCTTGTTTATTGTCGAAGGTATCGGCATAGATGCCGAGCGTAGAGCCGCAAAAGACTGCGGAAGGCCCAACGGATCGTCTGACACTTTCCGCCGGGAGGCTCTGATTTGCTGCGTTCTTGGCTGTTCTGGTTCGACCAATTTGATGGCGAGGTGTTCAGCATCAGCTTGCTGGCCATCGTCGTCCGTCTCCAAATCGAAAACCATCTCTGCGATGCATTTAACACTGAGTTCTTGGACGAAGCACAGGCACACACACCTTCAGATTCATTCTGCGCCAATCGTTTCTCCTCCTCAATCTCGGCCTTCACCTCCCGCTTGATGGTAACGACCGCTGGTTGAGAGTCGAACGTGACCACCTTCCGCTTCCCCTTGTCCTTTGTTGGCGATGGTTCTTGCGGTTTTTCAGTCGTGCCATTTGTGCCGTTCACTTTACTGGGGCCAGCCTGGGGAGGTGGTTCCACAACTGGCGGTGCATGAGTGGCTTCAGCTACTGCGCGAGCAGCCTGCATCCGGGCCATATCCTCTTCCAGGTTCTGAAAGTACCGATAACTGGCCACTGTATTGATCTCCTCGTCCATCTGCCTCCGGAACTGGATCACGGAAGAACCCTCAAACGGCCTCGGAGGCACATGAGGCGATCCAGCTAGCGTGGGAGAACTCCCTGTCAACGTCCGGCTCGAACCAGAGTGTGCTGAGGGCGGTCGGATCGGGGTAGCCGGTGCTGCACGTGGCAGATGCTGCCCTGCACGCGTCAACAAAGAGGAGGCAATCGCAACGGGGGGAGATGAGCGTGTGGGGGGGACGGGAAGCGGCTCAAAGTCGCGCGTGACAGATGATGCGGGTACGCTTATTGAGGTGGTGCGTGAGTTGTGGCCAGGGCCAGGCGAGCGCGGTGACCGAGGCGACACGACCCCTGCTGCCATGCCTAGACTTTCTGCCGCCTCTAATCCCTCGTGGAATTTGCGCCACAAGGCTTCGACTTGCGATCGCAACACCGCTTCGGTATGCGCCAGTTCCGCGGTCTTCGCGCGAACAAAATCAGCGATCTCCTGGTCGAGGGCCGCTCGACGGGCATCTGACTGCATTTTGGCGAGCGAAGCGAGATGAGAAAATACAGGGTGACTGGGCGTGAAGGGTGGTGGAAGGAAGAGATTGGTCAAGTGTGTCAGGTAGGACATCGGTGGGATTTCTTCCAGTGTCGGGGGCTCCACCGGTTTCGTGATAGTCGGAACGATCATAGAGAACAGCGGCGAGTAGGAAAGGGACGACTGGGCCTGTGCAATGGACTTTCCGGTCTGTAGGATATGAGATTCGTATCTTGAGTGGACAAAGACATCAACGACTCACCAAACATCGTCTGTGCACCTCGATCCAACCTGAAGACGATTTGAGAATATCTCGCTCGACCCAATCTTCCGCAGGTATCGAGGGCCCATCCTTGCTGTCCGCATCCAAAGAGACGACCTGATGAACGCGATACACCGATAGCTGACAGACAAGACAAGCCAACACCATATACCGCTCACGCCGATGGTGGGCGGCCAACATTCCACGCGTCTGTATCCGTAGCGTTACTTGCGGATGCGTCTGAGCGCCGAAGAGAACACGTCTTGAATATCAGATATTGCAAGAGCGAGGACAGGGACTGACGATGGATATCCCCTCATCACCAACATAGACCCGTGTAAACTCATTCTCCGTCGCGGCTGCTGCGGGTGGAGTCGAGTCTTGTGAGGCGGGCGGTGGCGAGGCGCGGTGTATCCGGACGTTGAGACACGCGCATGCGTATGCCGGTGAAGAGGCACCGGCCATATGGCGCCAGTCCAGGGAGCTACAGAAATGGAGTGTGTAGTCGAGAAGAAAGGGAGGTCGGAAAATTGGTCCGATCGAGTCAAACAAACAACTGGATCAACTCGACGAGGTGGTTTCTGGGTCGAGGTAAAAGTACTGCGCGCAGACTCGGGGCGCTCACTGTATCGCTGGGAGCTTCGGCCGTACTTATTTAATTTCGGGTTTTCAGAAGGCCGTTCATCTACACTGTAATTCTCCACTAAGCATCAGTCACGAGTGCCTGCCCTGCACATGACGGTCAGTGTGATGAGATCCTTTAGTCTCATTTTGCTCATTCGCAGACACCCTGACGCCGGAGAGACCGGGTGCAACACATTCCACGGGACGCCGTGACCCGGTTAGAGCGTGAGCATCGTGCTTACGAGCCGGTCAAAGCAGAAGGACTTGAATGTGGATATATGCTCCCACTGACAAGAAATGATATTAGTTATCTGTATACACAATGCAGTAGTCGGTAATGAGAACAGGCTTAAACGTCGTCGATTGAGCCTTGCTTTAAGACGTGTACGTGCCTGTAACTTAGTTAACGAAGCAACGTTACTCAGTTGTTGCACGCGAAGTCGGCGCGAACAACAGGAAGCAAAGGAAATACCCATGGGGAGCTTGTCCCATTGGACTCAAAGTCATCTTGGCAGTCTGGTAAGGAGGTTGTCGCCATGCACCTATTATATCGATGATCATCCGTTGGAGGTCGATCGTGACAAGGCGGGCATATCAAGACAGCGGAGTAGTGGAGTAACGATGCGATGTAAGGTTGGAACTGAAAGCCGAGTTGGCAGGCCTGGGTGCAGCAGCTATGATCCAGCCGGAGAAGAAACTGCGCATAGCAACTAAGCAGAAGACAAGAAGTAGGTGGCTGTGTTGCTAAACTTGTCTTCGTCCATGAACGGATTCGGCGGGGTGCGCCGCTTCCTGGCATCTGCCACGGGAGGGACTGGAGGGACTGCGTCTCCTCCTACCTCTGAGGCGCCGCTCAAGCCAGGTGCTCCAACATGGCCTCCGCCACTGCCGTCCTCGGGCTCCAACCCTCCCTCACCAATCACCTCGCCACTCCTTCTCAGGAAGGAAAAGCTGGAGGAGGCAGAGACCCCACGATCTCCCGTACGGTCCAGGTCCCAGTCCAAGCGTCCCCCACTCAGCGGATCGCCCAAACCATCATCTCCGTCGTCACTCTCCCGCATGTCCTCGCCGAACACGAGGCCTGTGAGATCTCGCACCGCGTCACAACCACCGGCTAACAGGCGCGACGAGCTTCTAATCAGTCTTCTCGCAAGTGAAGCTGTTGTAGATAGTCGGGATTTCGAGATCTTGAGCTCAGAGGAAGTTGAGGAGCTAAAGAAGGTATGCTCGCATTCCGCAGAACCTGCATCGTCTAAAGGACTGCAGGAACAATTGTCTCTCATGACCCGTCAAGGCGCTTTGACCAAGAAAGTGACGCTTGAGACGAAGATCCGTGACGCAGCTCTCTCACTCAGTAAAGTCAATGCGTCTCACAAGACGGTGTCGAAACAATCAGAAGAGCAGCTGGAGGCATCGAACAAACGCGTCGCTGCTGTTCAGCTAGAGCTCCAGCGTATCACGGAACGTACAAATGAAGTCAACCGCCGTCTGCTCGAACACCGTGCTGGCGTGCTCAGTTACTCTGTGCGCTCCATGGAACGCAAGAACGACTCCACGCATAACGACTCTGGATACACGACGCCTCATCACAGCCCGAGCGGATCGACCGTCACTCGTTTCGACGGCGCACACTTCTTCGCCGGACACGAGAGCAGCGTGATTCCCAATAGCAACATTAGCAAGATAGTTCCTGCGGCAGCCGTCATGGAGCTCGAGGAGAAGCTCACCCGTGCTACTGAGGCACTTGCCGCTTCTAGTGCGAAACAGGCTGAGCTCGTTCGTGACCTTGCTGCCGCCCGTGCAGAAAAGGAAGCTGCCGAGGAAGTTGCTCGTGCCGAAGCAGACCGAGCTACGGAGGCCAATCGGGCTCGGGAAGCTGCGCTCGCAGAAACAGATATTGCTGGCGCCGAGGAACTGCTACGCGCTCAGGAAACCATCGCCGCCCTGGAAGCGGCCCGCCCGGATGTTGATGCATTGATCAAAGCAGAGAGGGCAAGAGCGGATCAAGAGCGGGCAGAGTTGGTTCGAGGGTTCGACGAGGAGAGGGAGTCACTGACACAAGAGAGGAATGCTGTCGAAGAAGAACGGCTGGAAGACCTCGCCCGTCTGCAGGAAGAATCGGATCGAATTCGAGCCGAGGATACCGCTGCTTTGAAACTTCTGCAAACAGAGCTGGACGACAGTACGGCTGCACTTCAGGCGCTGATCGCGACACATAGCATTCCACTTTATGCACGAAACCCTTCGATTACGGCATTGGTGACTACGATTGGAACACATGTGCAGGGTCTAGCCGCCAATGCTGACAGTCATGCGTCTGCGCAAGCAGAATGGGACACTGTTCGGCGCAAGCTCGAGGAAGATGTACGCGCTGGTTGGGACAAGCGAGAAGCCTTGTCACGAGACATTGAAGAGGCCAGGAGAGAGCGAGAAGAGGCACGGAACGAGTTGAGGGCAATGGAATTGCGTGTCAAGGTACGAAAACAGCACATTCCTCGAGTTGGTCCACTGAAATGTATTCAGACTGATGTACCGTCACTATCGCCCCCGGCCCAAGTGGAGACTGCGGACAACAAAGAAATCATAGCTTTGCTGCAGCCCATTTGGGCTATCCTTCCATCTCCTGAGGCACGGGCAGCTAAATTTTCCCAACAACGTGCTTTCCGGGCTGGCTCCGGGCCAACGTCGCCGACGAATAGTTCTCCGAACAGCCCAAATCCTCCGGGATCCCTTTCGGAGCTGGACGTACGGGCTCTGAAATCATTGTATGATCCGCGAGCACCGCCGAGTCCAAACCCTTCCGTAGGAGGCACATTCACTTTTGTAGCATTCGCCGCGCGAGTGCAGGCTCTCATTGCGGACGACCGATCTTTGATCGAGAGACTCATCCGATTCGCGCAGGCACATGATCTGTTGAAGAAGAACGCAGAGCGCGCCCAGAAACTTGCGCAAGAGGGCAATCTTGCCTTGGAGACGTACCAGAAACAGGTCCGCACACTCGAAGAGCGCAATATGGATTTGACTACTAAAGTTTCCGCCTTGTGAGTGCCTTTATTATCAGATCCTAGTTACAACTTGATGACCTCGATCCATTACTCCCAGGCAAAGTGAAGTCACCGAGTTGGAGAACAACGTCGAGCGGGTCTTGAGCGAGAAGCGGGATGTGGAAGCGAGTGCAGCTGATCAGGCAGCCACTTGCATCCAATTGACGGAAGCCAACAATGCGCTTAGCGCTAAGACCCTTGCTCTCGCTGAGGAGGCTGCAGCTGCACCAGAAGCCGTCCGTCGGCAACTCGAGGGGCAGTTGACCGAGGTGCGAGCTGCCCTGGAAGCAGCTCGAACGGAGGTCGATGCTGTGAGGAATGCGGGGTCCGGCCAGCAGATGGCTCTTATGGAAGAGCTCAACAATCTGCAGATGGAGAACGACAAACTCCGTGACCAGGTACGGTCGATCAAGAAGTAGCCGTGATTAGTCGCGAATGCCAGTGTTTATCTGTGCATTGCTATCCTAGCACTTTAATATCATACTTCGTCTGGAATGTGAGCATTCGGATGAGTACTAGCAGTCTTTTTCTTTCCAACGGATCAAACAGACACGGCAAGGAGCGGGGATATTCTATTAGACTGAAGGTCGTGTATTACAAGAATAAATGATGGCATGGCATCTAATTTTGGGCCTGTGCCTCAGCCAGGCAGCGAGAACACTCGCAGGGGAACTTCCATCCCCGGGCAATCTCTTTCCTCCGCCGCAGACGGCAGTCGCTGGCGCTTTCGTCCGCCTTCTGAGTGACATCGACATACGCAACGCTGAGCACATCGCCCTTCTTGAGGTCTTTGGCTGCGACTAAGTGCAGCTCGGACGTTCCGTTCGGGAACGTGGCTCGCGCGTTGGGCTCACAGGAGTGCGGCAAGTACGTCGATATCGAGTAGAGTGCTGTGCCAGTCTGACGCTCTGTGCCAGCTGCCGTGCGCGTGATCTCGGTGTTTTCGGGCCGATGCGTCGACGCCGGCTGCGCAGACGTCAGGAAGACACAAATGGGGATTATGAACAGAAACCCACTCGATCTTCTCTTCCCTCGCCGAAAGTGACCCCGAAGGCGTTGAACGCGAGCTTCCCGCACAGGGACTTGTGTCCGTCCTGAGGGAGAAATGCCTCCAGCCCCGGAAGTGTGTTGCGCATGAGATTGACCAACAAGCCGAACTCCTCCTCGGACGGCTCCCCCTTGCCGGTGGTCCAGCGCTCGACGTAGTCTTCGATGGCGTACTTCTGCGCGCCGTCCGCTTGGGCATAGTCGTCCTCCGCGTGCGGTTGCCCGGCAGCAGTCAGCTGCCGCGCGATGAACTTGGCGACAAGTGAGGAAACAGCTTTCTGGTCTTTGTTCAGGTACGCGGCGAACTTAGACTGCGCTTCGCGGCGCGCCTCGAGCCCCTCTGGTGTGGGGGCAAGCTGTGCGAACTCGGGAACTCCAGGGATCGGTGGGTCGACGGTGAAGAGGAATGAATGCCACTGGGACTTGGCCGCATTTTGACACTTTGTAGAGCAGAAGAGAGCTTTGTCACCAGCGGCAGATGTCAATGAAACCGGGTCACTGAGCTCTTTGAAGCATTGGAAGCAGTGCGTCCCAGCAGCTTGCAGATCGAAATCCAATGACGTCAACATCGGATGTTCCTGCACCCTTGAGGCCAACATAATCGCGACGTGAACCATGTAGCTCACCGTGTAGATTATCTGCCCCGCTTCAATATCTTCATTCAGCACAAGCACTTTGACAGGTCCAGCCAACGGAAGCTTCTCATCGCGTGGCTGGATAGACACTTGCGTCGACTTTGGCGGGAAACTGGCGTAGAACGCTGGAGAGCTGGATCGAAACACGGCCACCATCTAGACAAAGGCAGGCGCACCTTCGATCATGGGCACGATCTGAGCAAGAAAGCAATTCCCCAAAAGTGGATGTATTAGAACAGTTCAAGCAGCATATATGGATGATGGGGAGGATGTATATCGGGGCAGTGGCTACGGTTTTTGTGGCTTACGGAGCAGGATGCCCAGGATCGGTGACTCGGTCCCAGTCCTGTGATGACGTCTCGGACGCCGCCCGGACAGGGCTCACATCCTCCGTATCGTCGATGCCCAAGTCTTGTGTGGAAGAACTCACGTCAAGGTTTACAAGGCGCAGCACGAGCTGGAGGAGGCATCAGCGAATAATGGCCGGGGCGATCTCAGCATGTGCACGAACCTTGACGACTGCTTCAGGGACTGTCTTTTGGTAGATCCCGAGCAGTTCGGAGGGAGACGGATACACGGTGAGCGCCCGGTAGAATGCTAATGCGGCAGGTAGGTAGAAAGCTTCGCCTGCAGAAATGCATGAGGCGTCGGAGGGGATAAGCTAACGACAGGGGAGCGTACCGGTAACCGAAAGCTGCTCTCCCATCGAAATCTGCTCCATAAAGTGAGCCTCTTGGGCCTCCCGGGTGGCAGGTGGAGGCTGGCTCTTGATTGACTTCAATGCCTCCGCAAGCTGAGCGTCCGTAACATAAGCAGCCGCTTCCGCAGCCTGTTTAGACTGTGCGAGGGACTTGTCCACGCGCTTCTTTTGCTTCTCTGCAAATGAGAGCGCTGAGAACAGGACGCGGTAGTGGGGGCCCAAAGTGACCTACTCAGAGTCTTGCGGAATGCGGCGTCAGTTCGACGTTTGTAGTCAAAGTACGCGGCATATGCCACCAGACCGCAGACCGAGAGGCCAGCAATAGTGAGGGCGGTTGTCCGTGAGCTCATGCTGGTTGAATGCAAGCAAAAAACGTCATTCCAGCAACACGTGTAAACTTGATTACTCAGCAGTGTCCCGTTGTCAAATGAACCCAGGTAGAGCAAGGGTAGACAAAGTTTGGCGGTCTTTACTGATTCGCAGCATAAGGAAAGTCTAAGTGAATGGATATGCACGCGAAACTATGATTTTACAGTGATACACAAAGATAGAAATCGACATCAGCTTAAACAGCATTGTTTTCGACAAGTTTGCCACAGATGATGTATTTGTTCGAGAAATGCTCGATCCAGCCTGAAGCAGTGGTCAGCAAGGACTTGAAAAGTTTATACCATGGAGCCTGCCTTTCATGTTGTCACTAAGGAGGGTAGGAGAATGAAGTAAATAATCAGTGTTTACAAGGGAGCACGAGGCTGCGCACATTTCATCTTGCTGAAGATCATCCAGCTTGTCCAGGGGCTGGTCAACTGGTGTCAGAATTTCTGGAAGCCAGGCGCGATCAGTGGATCCGGTGAAGAACAGACCGACAGTCACGCACCGGCGTCGAATGACTGCTTCGCCATCCCCCGGGACGCGTCCCGGCCTGCGAAGTTTCCGTACATTGAATCTGCAGGGATGATGCACCGCCTCAGTGCTCGACTCGACAAAGCTGGAGGTAGGTTGAGGGCTGCGCACCGGGACCGTAGAAGTTGCGCCCCGCAGTCACGTCGAACACGATCCCGTTTATGGCCAGGAGGATTCGCCCTCCATCCCTTCCACTGAAGGGCTCTAGCGACTTCGGAGTGTACGTTTTGAACAGCACCGTCGGTGGGTGGGACTTGGGTAACCACGAGTACCCGGCTTTGAATTCGTTCGGGATCTGCTTTGAGCGAGAGACACTAGGATAGACGATCTTCTGCACAGTGTATAGGATGAAGACGAAAAGTGCGGTGTTGACCGGAGTCCCGAGCTGCAGAGTAAAGGCCATGGTGGTTGTAAGAGACTTGGATTGTTGGTCAAGGCATATGATGTAATCGGGCCTTTGCACACCGTGATCTTGACCACTACTCACAGCCGCACTCTTCATCCGATGACGACAGAGACGACCAGGAACTCGATTGCGAGCTCAGCAGAGTCTGAACTCCCAGAGTACTTGCGTGCCTTCCTTGCCAGCGCAGCATATTTCAAACCAGCTGTACCAGCTATCTTGGGTCCAATCTCTCTCAACCGCCGCGCTACACTCGCGTCCGTCGGCCACAGATCCCTCTCTCATACTCGTTCACCCCAGGCGATGACCTGAACACGATGATGATGATGCCCCCGGAGGAATCCGACGACCGAGGGCAATACCGTGTCTCCGTATCACTGAATCTGAACCCTTTTGTCCCTCTCTCCTACCGAACAAGTGTCCACCGTGTCGAGGAAGCACACGAGTCTTTCATCGGAGACTTCGAGTGAGATCTTCCGTCCAAAATTGCGATCCTTACCTCACCTCTGGTAGGCTATCTCCAAATCAGCGTCGTGCCATCCTAACAATAGGCGATACCACTGCACGTCTATCCGACGTGATGTACGCTACAGCTTCCGTATGTCATTTTCTCAAGGGACCGCCTCACTTACAATTGGCTTATGAACAGAGACATTGGTTGTGGAATTGGGAGGGCGTCGGTCTTCGATGGGACTGTCGTGTGACTCTAGAAGACGGTTCTCCGATGTGTATTGTGAGCAGGACTCCGCTATCTCCAGGATATACTGATTATAGTACTCGAAGTGCTACACGAGAGCGGAGTCTCCGGCCCAGCTGGCGACATTCGTTCCGCCCCCATTGGACGCCCCTCCTCCATTGCCGCACGCTGTGCTCACCATTTTCCCAGACGGACACCATTCTTTCGATCACATTTTGCTTTCTGCGCTCATCGTTCAGCGTAAACTAGCACTCGACTATTGAATAGCAGCATATCAGGGCACAATGGAATGATTCCGCGGAAGTAAATGACCGCATAAATTGCATGAATCCGATTCAGATATATGTGCGCAGTCATGATCACCATTTGATCGGCTTATTGTCCATGCATGGTCTCGGTCGTTGATCTCGTGTCTACTGTGGTATCATACGTCGGGTATCCTTCTCTCTCTCGGAAAACAAAGACTTTGGACAGTAAGAACTGTACCTGTAAAGCGCCTAAGGCTCTTGTCGCAGCACCTCCAAGAAGCTCGAGACCATGTCGCTATTGGAATACAAGTCCCTGGTTCTCCCACAATAGTGCACAGATCCAACTTGGGATCCAACAATTGGCGGCGGACATTTCCTAATTAGGGAAGGATGACCCGAGCCACCGTATGTGCCTTCCTCTAACTCCCTCAATACTGTCTTTCGCCGTGCTTGAACCAAATTTCAGAGCATATGCTTCTTGCGACGATGGATTTGCACTCAGAAGCTCACTTGCAGATGCAGGATCTCCCGCGTTGACTTACCTAGTGAGGCACCGGGTAATTGTGTGGGGATGGCCACTTTCACAATTGGAGATTCTCGAATCGGGATGTGAACTACTTGTGACAATTGTGAACTCTGTGAGAGTTTCTACTCGGATCACTCCTCCACAATACAATGACTGGAGACACTAATTGTATTGGGATCGCATAAATCGCAGGTCAGAGATCTCGAGAGCGTTATCCTCAAAGAGATACTAGACCGCGCAGCCACACTCATTGAACCTTGTACATCCCCCTCGTCGCCATGCCATCCACAACGCGCCCCATATCCACCAACTTCTCTCTTCCCCGCACTCTCGGCCGACCATCATCATTCCCGCCGATCTCCTCTGCTTCGCTTGTCGCGGCGTGCCCTGAACTGTGCGAAACACCGTTGGAGATAATCAGGGATAATCTGCTGGCCACCACTCCCGAGTACGTCGTCGCCTACATCAACTATCTCGTCATTGACCGAATGTCACAGAATGCTCGCTGGCACTTCGTGTCTCTCATCTGCGCATTTGCCCTGTACAATATCTCGTCATGAGCTGCTGAGTGTCATGACGGTCCCCCTCCTGCCTCTGCAACACCGCTTGCGGCCGCTGTATCCGACGCATATTCTGGCCATCTCCGGCCCACCGTCGTCTCACTCTTCTGACAAGCACCACATCTTTCCTGTGCACGGGCTTGTCTTGGCCGCCCATTGCTCGAAGCTACCGCCGCTCCCGTCCCCCGGGATCCGGGGCATCGGAGCGGTAAACCTGCCTGTCCTCCCGCTCGCTCTTCCATCTGCGCCGGCGTTCTCGATCCTGCTCGCGTTCATGTACACGCACCGATTAGATGCGGTTCTCGTCGCGCTGCTACCCATCCCGCCGCAGCTGCCATTCCTTCGGAAGGGCGGGCTCACTCACAAGGCGGTCTGTGCGGCGTTGCACGCGAGCTCGGCCGGCGAACGCCAGCAGCTTGCGGCACACCTGTTTTCCGTCTCCGGGGGGAGCATCCAGACGCTCATGACACACGTCGCCCACGTCAAAGAGCTCTGGCAGGACATGGTTGCGTTGGGAATCGAGGACCCCGCGCTCTGGGACACCATCGAGCTCGCGTATCAGATCGTGCTCGGAGCCCTCAACCTCGCCTCAAAATAGTATCTTATTCGATAATGCGAGCCTTTGTTCGTCATAAACGTTATCTATTGCCGCTGGACGCGCCTCTTGTATCCATAGTGGGTTTGTAGATTACGGCATTGTAATATTGAACAGTTAAATGTATCGCCCTGAATTCGAGATCTTGCTGGCAAAAACATCGTCGACTCGTAGGGGGACATCTCTCCGAGTCTGCTTAGGAGAGAATATCAAAGCTGTATTCGGTTGTGTTCTGAGTAAGACGATTTCATTATGCTGGTTGTCTTGGATGAGAAGATGCAGAATGGCCTTGCTCGGGGTCACCCGGCTTGACATTGAGGTTGAGAAGAAACTTCTCTCGAACCAGAACTAGACATTCGCTAAATACCAGTTTTTTTTATTCCGATTCGATTTGGGGAAGGGCATTCACCGGTAAAGGCTCAGTCTTGAATCAAGCAAATTTAATGTTGGAAAACGGGCAGTCAGTATGTGACTAGATTACTGGCGCGATCTAAATGAGGAGCAGTCAGGGAGGGACGGGGGGCTCATCCGTTGTATCACCTCAGTTACCACCGCCATTACGCGGTATAGACCCCGCGGGGGTGCAGGGGCAGCTGACCATGTTGGAGGCAGGGGGATGTGTGGGGGTCAGGAGGGGGTGCCCATACATACCATGTAATTTGTCCACAAGAGCGGGCATATGGGTAAGAAAAACACAATCACGTGAGGTACAAAATGGGTGGGATGGCGGGGACGTCACGTGCTGCGCCATATGAGATTTTTTAAAATTTTGGCGGGGTTGCTACAGGCTCATATCCTATCTCTGGGCAGACGGCCGAGTTTATACAAGTTTTTCAAGTTGGAGAAAGAGAGAGAAAAGGGGAGAGATTGTTAGGATCAACCTGGTATATAGTGTTAGCGGAGATTCTGGTCCGGGTCTGGGACTTGGATCAACTCCTATGTATGGTCACTATATCTCCCATTTTTGGTCACATTCGCACCTCAGTTGTCTTTTCCATTGACCAACTGAGGTGCAAACATTCCCTTTCCAAGTTCACCCATATACTTACTTACGTACCTGAGACTAATTACTTTGTCTCATCTACAGGTACTAATAAAGAGTCATCTTGTCCATTGACCAACTGAGACTAATTACTTTGCCTTGTCTACATATAGAACTATCATGAGCTCAAATCTACATGTGCAAAGTTTCCCCCTTCTACGTCAGATCAAATGTATTCAATCTAGTGTTGTTCCGGGTTGGGTCAAGACCTGAGACCCGACCCGGTTTTCAGGTTGGGTTGGGTCGGGTCTCAGGTCAGGTCGACCAAAATTGCCTGACCCGACCCGGTTTGCGCCATCAAAATCTCGATTGGCAGCTAGGGAAGCTGATCCCAGGCTGCCAAAGATCATTACATGCTTCTACAGGTCGATTCCCAACTTCCCCACACCATCCCCACCCCTCCTTTGTTGTTGTTGTCATCGCCGACCCGAAAAGTGGGTTGGGTCAGGTCTGTGGCTATGCGACCCGACCCAAAACCGGGTTGACCCAACCCGACCTGACCTGAACAACACTAATTTCAATCACATATTTGAATGGGGAATTAAACAAGTTGGGATTGAAACTGACCACGATCTCATATGGATAATGAAATCAATGGCAGTGGCCCTCACAATTGGACATGGAAGATGGGCATGGCCTACGTACCTGATTAACAACAAACTCCTAGCAGAGTACATCCAACAGGCAGGACTGGAACTGCAAACGAAGATGGAAAAAATGACAAAAAATAACTGGACCCCATCAAATAACCCACAGACCAAATGGGCACTGTTCAAGAAAAAAATGAACAAAAAAGCATGAGAATGGTCAAAAGCCATGGCTCCAGTGATCGTCCAAGAGACAACAAAACTCCAACTCCAACTCGAGCAAGTGCTTGCAGACAAATAATGCCAGAGGACAAAAAACGCCTGAATGCAGCAATTATCAGCAAAAAGCTGGCTCAGCTATAGAAGAAACAATACCGCTTCTTTTGCCTGAATGTGCAAATCCAAAACAGACTCCATGGTGAGATAATAGGCCATTACTGGACAAAAATCAACAAACTGAATAAGCCAAGAGACATCATTCTGCAACTGACAAAGCCAAATGATAACGGCAAGAACAAGAATGAGGAATGGTATGAAACCAATTCCAAAAGGATGGCAAACCTGGCCAGGGATTACCACAATAAACTACAGGATGATCAAAGACACACTGAGGTTGAAGAACATGAACGCATAACTGCCCAAATCTTAGGAAGAACCTGAACCCATACCACAGATGAACAAAATGCCATGCTCCAAAAACAAACAACACGTGAAAACATCCAAAAAGCATTAAAATGTTCAGCCAACTTCAAAGCCCCTGGCCTAGACAGAATCCCATATGAACTGTGGAGGGTCCTCAACAACAGATACCACACAGCAGAATGTGTCAAGAAGCCCTCATTTGACATCCTAGAGATACTAAGGAAAGTATACAATGACATTAAATGCCATGGGATGGTACAAGGAACAAACTTTGCAGAAAGCTGGATTGTCATAGTTCAATCACTTTTTCATCTTTCCATTGACAATCTTATCTTATCTCAACATGGGTTATCTTATCATGGATCACGGCATCACATGGTCTGGACTAGGGGCTCAGGGGGGTTATCTCTATCAATTCAAGGCTGTGCAACATATGCTCCAGAAGGTTCTACCATGACCCATGACCAGCACTCTATGCAGTACATAGTCTTATGACTCATTAGTTGTAGATATGACTCAGACTGGATTTGGGTATAAATACTGTAGCTATTTTGTTGTATTCTCCAGTCTTCAAATTCACTCCTCTTTCCAACATTATTCCTTGTTGATTGTCACATGGATGTGCCCACTATACATAAAGAACAACAAAACAAATATAGCAAACTATAGACCAATCTCCTTGCTCAACATGGACAGCAAAATATTCACCAAGGCGCTGTCCATCAAGCTAGCGGATGTGGCACCTGAACTTATACACCCAAATGAGGCTGGATTTGTAAAGGCAAGACAAATCAAAGACCAAATTTGGCTTACAAAATGGATCATTGAACTGGCCAAAGTCACTGAATAGAATGGGGTAATTGTTGCACTTGACCAAGAAAAGGCCTATGATAAAATCAAACATGACTACCTGTGGAAGACACTACAGAGCCACAGAATACCAGAAGAATCCATAAATACTGTCAAAAGCTTATATAGTAATGCACATACATATGTGATCCTAAACAGTTAGAACAGCCAAAACCCCTTCTGAGTAACAAGGGGAGTAAGACACGGGGATCTACTATCCTGCCTCCTGTTTAACCTAGCAATTGAGCCACTAGCAGAAGCGCTAAGGCAATCAGACCTGACAGGAATAAAGATCACTGTTAACAAAATCAATAGATTATATTTGGATAATCATGCAGTTGTGATTATAAAATCTTATTGACACAAGAGCAAGGTTTATTGGGACTCTTATATAATGGGTCCAATATCCGGTAGTTGTGAATTGTTGAATATTTTCGATCAAATATCATCTGTCAAGATGGATGTTGTGATACACATCTATGACTCCATCACGTGTCATCTAGAGTCATATTGACTCATCCTAAATAGACACAAACAGTCCCCTGTATCATATATAAGGAGGGTTCTATTACTCTTTAATACAAGTCTCTTGACTACTCTCGCATAGTGCCCACACTAAGCTCTCAACTCACACAGGTGGGTTGCTAGACGCTCTCCCCAGTGCTCAACAAATATACCAACAATTAGAGTACTCTAGTATTCACAGATTTAGCAAAATGTGAACATAGAATAATGTATCAATAAACTACTGGTTTAGCAACACAGTAGATGTAATTGATAAGTGTTATGAAGCTTATAAGCTTCAAGGGCAAGTCAGAGTGTGGATAACAGATGAGATTTCAAAGGTAAGATGCCCCTCTACTAAGAGGGTCAATTGTTTATATAATTTAAACTAAAAGGCTGTGTACATAGCATATAACTGCGCTCTGTAGTAAATATCAGAAAAGCTATGTATACAGCAAGGCAGTGAAAGGCTATGCAAGTGAAATCATGTAACTAAGAGTTTTGATCTATTGATCACTAAGAAGCACTTGGTCAATCAACATTTACAATCAATTATAAATTGTAAATGTCTATAATCCATGACAATCACAGGGGTACAGGAAAGACTCATCACTACACTCTTTGCCAATGACACAATGGTATATCTAGACTAGCAAGATGACTTTGGAAAGCTATTAAAGATAATAGATGAATGGTGTATTGCGTCTAGAGCAAGTTTCAACATAAACAAGACAGAGATGATCCCAATTGGGACAATCAACCATAGGGACAAGGTCAGAGCAAACCACTTTGTAAACAGAATAAACGGTACCACAATCCCAGACCACGTAAGAATAGCAAAGGAAGGTGAGCCAGTCCTAGGCGCATGAATCAGAAACAAGGTAGAACAAGTAGACACATGGAACAGGACACTCAAAAAGATTGATAAATCACTGGACCACTAGGACCAGGGCAACCCATGCATGGAAGGCCACCATCTGATAATCCTAATAGTGGTAGGAGGGATGACACAATACCTCACCACAGTGCAAGGGATGCCAAAAGAGGTAGAAGCCAGACCAGAAAAGCACATCCGAAAATTCTTGTGGGCAGAAAAAGACAAGGTAACAGTGAACCAAAAAACGGTATACACACCCATAGGAATGGGAGGGAGAGACCTGCTTGACATTTTTGCAAGGAATGAAGCAACTGCAATTATGTGGCTCAAAACGTACCTGAAATTTGGCCCAGATAGACCATTATGGTGCTTTGTGATGGACAAACTATTAGCACACCATATCTCAACAGATGATAACAGTGACAACGTAGAAGAGTCCATATGGATAAACTCATACCTCTAAACATGAAAGCACAAAGTGTCAGCAAGAAAAATCAGACCAGACCTGGCAAGGATGACAGAGACAGGTGCCAAGAATGGCATACAACTAGATGCCATAGCAGTCTCCCAAGAAATAATGGAAAACATGCCAATTTGGTACCATGCAAAAGCAAATACTCCCAGCCCTAGATTCTGGGCCACTAATGTACACATAGTGTGGTTCCTAAAGGAAAAAACCACATCAAGAAGGTTCAGGACGCGATGCTCCTAGCACACAAACTAGGCTTGAGACAACACACAAACTGTCGAGACTGTAGATCTAACTCATGTCAGATCACAAGAGCTATAACAAAATGCAACACACTGCACAAGTGCTTCCAGAAAGCAAAAGACATGCTCGACACTCTGGACCCAAAATGGGACCCAAGACAAAAGCAACCAGAAGATCACAAAAACCACATGACCCAACAGAGAATCAAAACCAAAAACGGTGAGAAAGCACAGGATATTGACCAAAGAGTAACTACAAAGGGAACAATCAAGGACATCTATATTCACAGACGGTGAAGCCAATACAAGCCAATTTGCACCCATCCGAGAACATGCCCCAAACCCAGAAGAGGAAACAGAATGTCAGGGGAACCCCCGCTTTGGACTGATCAGCCTGGGATCTAGCATGTGATTGTGCTCATGTGACCTGTCAGCTGTCACGCGCAGCAGCCCAGACTGCCGCACCAAGCACTTCTCTTTGATGGCAGGTGTGCCAGTGTTCCTATTGTTCTGTCACAGCCATTGTACTTATTGTTCCTATTGTTCTTGTTTGTTGCTGTGTAGTCTATTGTTCCTGTATCATATAAAAATAGTGGTGCCTGGCAAGGAGAATCCCCAACACAGTTTCTCTTTGGATTCTCCTTTGCCAGGTATGCTGGTCTTGTACCTAGCTACCACTATTATTCATTTTGGATTCTCCCTTGCCAGAACTCTGAGATCAGGTCTCAAGGTTGCCTTTACATGGAAGAAATAACAATATACACAGATGGATCAGCCATGAATAATGGTTACCTAAACACAAAAGCTGGATCAGGAATCTGGTTTGGCGAGGACAACAAAAGGAACAGAGCACTGAAGATCCCCAAAGAGCTGGACCCATCCAACCAAGTTGCAGAGCTACTAGCAGTGAAAGAGGCTGTTGAGATGTGCCCACCAGAGACACTGGTATACATAAGAACAGACTCCATGTATACAATCAACGTGCTCACCAAGGGCCTAGTGAATGCAGAAGACCATGGATTTATCCTTGCCAACAATAGGAATCTAATCAAAACAACCATAAAAAAATCAGGAATAGGCAAGCAAGAACATGGCTTACATAGGTAAAAGGTCACTGAGGTGTCGAAGGTAATGAACGAGCAGACCAGCTAGCACAAAGGGAGGAGAAAATCCAATCCCGACATCATTGACACCCAAATAGAGACATTGATGATACTCCTAGGAGCAAAGCTCCAAGCTATGACATAGTCATCAGTGTACAAGATAATTAGAAATAGGAAGATGCAAATGGAGCAGTGCCAAGATGCACTAGACAGAAGAGCCACATGAAGTAACATAGAGAAAGCAATAGACATGACAAGAGAGACTGGCACTGAAGTCACAGAAGAACAAAACTGGTCCAGAGTACCGAGCCACCAAGAAAAAGCAATATGCTCCAAATGCAGCTCAGACGTGATAGAAAGTATGGAACACATCCTCTTTGAATGTGAATGCCAGGCAAGAACAACCACTGCATTTAGTGGCAGGCTAGTCATAGATTACTGTCTAGGACACTGGACAGCACTGGGCCAGCCTAGACAGGTGTAATCATATGACATGCCTAGTCTGAGTTGAACGAGAGATGACTACCAGTGTTAATGTCTGTATTCTATTCTAGACACTTTTTCCCCATGCTAGTCAAGGCTAGTCACATCTCTTCTCATGCTATCTGAGCCCTGTTAATTTTGTTCTCCTGCCCGAATTGAAGTTGCCTCTTGTCCGGTGGTGGCTTATGGGACACTGTTTAGCCCTTCCACCAATCCATCATGTGGTCCGGCCCATGTTCAGATCAGTTCCTGTCTGATCTTGGCTTGACAATGGACAGGAAAAAAGGAAGGAAGATCGAACTGAAACAAGACCCTGTATGACTTCATGGATTGTTGAACAGATAACAGCAAGAGATCCATGATTGAGAACAGAGGGCATTGCTAGTCTGACATAGACAACATCTGACTAGAAGTCTCTCACACATGTCCTCTGCATGTGTATGTGGCTATGTCTAGAACCGTGGTCCAACCAGTCCAAGGGTTCTAGACCATGATCAACAGTTCTCACCATCACTCTACCTTGATCCTCAGCTGGCGGACATAGTCGGTCTAGGTACCGCTGATAGGCTGGCTACCAGACGCGCCCTGCACCAGCTCTATAAGGGCGTATTTTTGCACTTTTACAGAGTTTACTCTTGAACCATTTGGTGTATCGTGTTGCAGTTACAGTGTTGCGCTCAGTAGGGCTTAAGGGTCTACTGCCCAGTCGACAACTGTAGATAGTGTTGACGATAGCAAGGCAGTCAGACCACTACTGTGGAATTGGTCTTATAAGTCTATACCAGAATCAGGGCTAGTAGCGACGGACACTCGTGTTGTGGCAATTTCTCAAAAGGGATATTCTTGTTGCGGTAACTCCTCAAAAGGGTCATTCTCTGCAGATGGGAACTTGGTCTGAAGGGCTTAGCAATGGGCGACGTTCTCAATATTACAACTACTTCTGGACAGGACTTGGTGTTAGGAGATTG